GAACACCACCTAAACTGATAAATAACACATACAAATTGGATCATCTCATGCGTTTATCCCCGATAGTCCCACTAGCAATTGACACCAATTTCTAATAAAAGTCAGCGATAAAAAGACATCACTGGAATTGTTCCCATATTGGATCATCTCATGCGTTTATCCCCGATAGTCCCACTAGCAATTGACACCAATTTCTAATAAAAGTCAGCGATAAAAAGACATCAATGGATCATTGTTCCCATATTGTCACTATTGTTTAATCCGCACCAACTCCAAGGTCCTACTTCTGACCAAATTACCCAATAATAGCCTTCACCTGACATGAGGCTGGCCCACATTAAGAAGACAAATTAGTAACGTACATAAACTAGTTAAAGCGGCTCAGGGTTGGGATCGCTGAAAGCCTGGATACTTACAATAGACGTAAGAGGTTGCAGACTGTGCAATGAATGGGTAAATTTGAAGTTACAAACCGGTGAGAAGACGAAGAAGACATCTGAAGAGCTGGAGTCTATTTGGACTTAACTGCCGTAGTTTACAGAAATTGACACAAGCAAGTCACCTTTGTGTGTAGGACACGATAACCCAGTTGCCCCAAAGACTCTCATAAACAACAAGGCACCGCTATAATGCTACAAGCGAAAAGCACAAAAGGAGAAAGCTATTATGACCAAGTAGTAAAAGTTACTTGTAGTTTTTTCAAATTCGTAAAAATATTGAATTTAGCGAAACCCAATGAGAAGCGTTGCCTATACAGCCTTGTTGAACTATCTTGGACAGTTATTGACTATTACCTTCCGTTACCTCCAATCAGCTTCCGTTACGTTCAGTAACCTTTCGTTAATTTCTGTAACCTTCCGTTACCATTTGCTACTTTCCCTTACCAAGAGCCCAGAAAAGATGGGGGTTACACGGGTCAACGATTGAGAAGAATGCTGGTGTAAACAAAAGAAACCAAAGTACAGCACCAAATCACGCCTTGTTTCAACGGTTAGAAAGGCATTCAGAGTTTAAAGGTATTGCCCGAAAGAGGGATAACTGCAAAATGGAGACTGGGGTTAACAGTTACCTTTCTTTACTTTCTGCTACCTTTCAATACCTCTTTTTACTTTGCCATACCTCATACTTCCTTTCGTTACCATCTGCTCCAGGGAGGAACCGGACCCAAGGTCCAATTTCCTCGAAAAATATTCCGATTGAAAGATTATTTAAGAAAAAGTGTTTTCATACATGGGAATCATTGATTCTTTTCTTAGAGGGAATTGGTAAAAACAGGAATATTGAGGAGGAACAAAGCTAATATAAGGATAAAATCCCATCTCATCCTAATACTCGTATCCGTTGCCCTAGCAGTCTTTCGACAGCCCTGGTCAAGGCCTACTCAACATTCCGAACATGCTCTTTCTATAATTCACTAAGAGAGACTCACAACAGCAATGTTTCACGTTTGGCAATCTGTATCTCGATTTTTACACCACTTTAAAAAGCCAAAAAATCTATATTCGTACATCTTTTTAAGAAGAAAGTGGGCCTAAAGTTTATCCAGTTCAAACAAGTTCTATCAAACTGCTGCGCTCTCTCGACTGCTGATGCTAGTGGCCCCAACTCAATAATAAGCTAAAATTGATTTAAAATCTAATGTTTAAAAATAGGAAACAAGACCAATAAAGTTTTTTTGATCAATTTTTTATAAGAGCGAAATTTCCACGAAACAAGTGCAATTTTATAGCTACGTCATGCTGACAAACTTCAATCAGTGTAAAAGAAAGGAAAAACTTCCAGTTGAACTGAAAACAAGACTGAAAGTTGCAATTCTATATTTTTATTGAATGAAGGGTAGATTATTAATGCCGAACAAAAAATAAAAACGAAAGAAAATTGTTAACTGAAAATTTATAATGAATTACAAATGTAGTAACTTAAAAAATGGCTCGTAATTCTTGGAAAGTAAGACAGTACAAGAGAATGTGATTATAAATCTTGCAAATCTGAACACGAAAAGATCTAGCATGGGAAGCTTACTGAAGTGTCTAATGTCTTTCCTAACAGTAGCTAACTTATTTTTTAAGTTGGGGGAGGGGGATTGATCAAGGTGGGGTTAGGTTATACAGTGGATTGTTCTTCTCTTCTTCTCTGAAAGATCATTTTTTGTAATGTTCAAGATGACAGGCCTACCCATCGTACCAAATGTGCTTGTCTTTAAAAGCTGTATAGGGGACGAATCAAATACTTCCATTCAAAAGGTGGATTCTCTTGACTGCAAATAGCCCCCCAATGACCAGAAAATTACACACTGGTGACAGCAATCATCAACGTTTGAATATTAGAATCATATAGTTGAGCTGATGAAGAACCTCCCATTGTTCCTGAATTACTTTTTTATACGCATAAGGCAAATTCCAAGAGTACACCAGATGTTTTTAGACATAACTTGATAGCACCTGAGCTAATCCTTCGTAATAAAGCTTGACCTTCATTGCAAGATATAAAATAGGCTTTCCTTGATATGTGCAAGGATATCTAAGTATAAAAAAGGAACAAAAAACTGATTGGCTGGTAATTAGCATCAACAACAACAGGGATCAGAGTATCACTAACTCTATGACAAACCCGGAAGCAATCTATGCAGACATAATGATATCTTTATGAAGATGAAATCAGGCTCAGCTAAGCAAAGTCAAAAGCCGTCCACAGACGATTTTTAGAGAGAAAGTAAACAGTTACTGTAATGGATGCTAATAGGGTCTGATGTGTTAGCTTCACTTTGCATCAAATCATAACCATCTTACTGGCATTAGTCTCAAATTGGTGAAAATTCTAAATTTTTAAGCATACTGTCTGTGTAAAACTTTGAATGATAGAACTGTAGGCCTGCGTTTGGAAAGAAGAACGAACATTGACAGGATCCAGCAAACACTGGCGTATAACGAACTGACAAAATAGTTTTTCATAATGACCATCTAAATAGAGATAATGATTTGTTGCTTCAATGAAAAAAAGAATGTTAAACATCAAAGAAGAGGAGTTATATGAAAATAGGAATTGGTAAAGATACACGAATTGATCAAAATATCTCCTTTCCTGTGAATGTTGATAAAGATTAGATAATTAACCGACTCATGAACTCAGTTGTTGAAAAAGACACTCAAAAAATAGTGTCGCTTGATTTCTCATCTTATAGCATCAAATTTTCAAAGGCGATACTTGCAGGAATTGTTCTGACGATGATTTTAATTAACGGTGTGGCAATTAAAAGACTGAACTCTTTAGACTATAGGTGCATTGGGTACATTGTAGTTTTGTAACGATTGTAGCGGCGTGACAATTCATGTGAAGGAGCAAAGCTGATGATTGTGGTAGGCACCTGACTGATAGACAGTGATAGACTTACCGATTTGTGACTGACCGAAGTTTTATGGAAAGCGTAGATGGTACTTCCAACGAAGCGGGAAAGATAGTACTGTTTGAGCTTTCAAGTACTTTGAAACTGCAGAAGTATTGGTGATGAAATTAATGAAAACGTCTATCATTTGAAGGAAAGTGTTTAAATTACAAAGATTAGTAACGGGAATGTAAATAGGTGAAATATAGAGAAAGAACTTTAAATATTGGCCTAAGTGTTTTTCATCTGCTTTGGCGCGCTAAACAAAGACTACAGATCCAAGGTTGTGTGTTTCGATTCACTGTCATGACCATACTTTCACAATGAGTGAGGATGGTTGCCAGATCTCTGTATTTCAAGGCGTAAAATTGTGAGGTTTGGTACATCGAGAGGAAGACCAAGACCCTGCTCGAAAGTCACAGCTTCTCAGTACCATAAAAACTACCCTCGGAAACAAGTTTATAACAGATTGAAATACAAATCATACAGAGACAAAATAAAGCAAATACAAGACGCAGCTTTATGCCTAATGGACAAATGAAACAGACTTTGAATGAATGTTTTCATCTGCTGAAAATCGATGCAAATAAGATCAAGTTTGAAACAACTTCACTTGTCATATGTAAAGCATTTGACATTCGATTTGGAAGAAACTAAACGGCAGGCCGGGTCAACACTTGTCCTTTCCTGATGCCTTTGTCGTTTGTGAAAAAGAAATAATCAGCTTCCCGAACAAATATTTTAATTTATTAATAAATTCGATGATTAGATTTGAATATGATTAATAATTTGAATTAGGAAGTTTCAGAGAAATTGCGCGAATGGAAAAGCATTGATTTCATTCGAGGTCCCATGACCTTACAAAATGAAGTTTTGATCTGTTTTCTGCTCGATAGAAATAAAAAACCATGAAAACGAATCTTCCCGTGGCATGGCTGGAAAGATCAAATTGCATGCATCAAAAACATTGGTTTGTGAACCTGTATCAGTTTCAGCTCCGCAACCGTTGGCTTCAAAATACAGCTAAGAAGGCTAGCCAAATCTCCGTACAAATCAACAATACTTTGCGGCACAGAAAATCCTCAATTTGTATCACGATGCCTCGTGAACATTTGCTTTGTCTGGCTCTCTGTTGTAATTAACAGTGCAATACAGTGCAATACAGTGCAATACAATGCAATACAATGCAATACAATGCAATACAATGCAATACAGCGCAATACAGCGCAATACAGTACAATACAGTGCAATACAGTACGGTACGATATAGTACGGTTACAGTACAGTACAGTACAGTACAGTACGGTTACAGTACAGTACAGTACAGTACAGTACAGTACAGTACAGTACAGTACAGTACAGTACAGTACAGTACAGTACAGTACAGTACAGTACAGTACAGTACAGTCCAGTACAGTACAGTACAGTACAGTACAGTACAGTACAGTACAGTACAGTACAGTACAGTACAGTACAGTACAGTACAGTACAGTACAGTACAGTACAGTACAGTACAGTACAGTACAGTACAGTACAGTACAGTACAGTACAGTACAGTACAGTACAGTACAGTACAGTACAGTACAGTACAGTACAGTACAGTACAGTACAGTACAGTACAGTACAGTACACTTCAAAGAAGGGTAAAAGAGATACATTTCACATACTTTACTCATACTGCTAAATGCAATTATAATAAGAAAATCGCAACTCCGTCTCAAAGAAAGTAGCAAAAGTTTAAGGTTTAGCAGAAAATCAAAACTGAGGAAATTTAGTATCAAATCAAAACTTTTGGTACTAACAGCTAACCTTTTGTATCTGCACGGTATATATAGTTAAAAATAGGTCTGAAAGCATGGGAAAATACCAATCAGGCAGAATATACTCGCAATGAAGAAGATCTTGCAATTAGGGCGACTGAGCATTTCGACTGACTCGTTCAAAGAGGCGGAGCTTTGCGAGGTTTTTTATACTCAATGGTTTCTGAGTTTTCGATATTTTGAAGAAAACGACGTCGTGCGTATTAAATATGCATGTTTTGGGTATTCTGTTCGAAAAGCAAATCAGCGAAAAAATTAAAGGCAAGAGAAAAGCTTTAGAAATTAGCAACATGATTTTTCTAAAGGTAGGCAAAATAATGTTAAATTAGATTCCATTCAACGAAAAATGGAGAAAAAATGCTATTGGATTTGACTTAATGTAAGGTGTTTAAATATTTGAAAAAATTTAAACTGTAAATTGCAACTAGCATGAAGAACGAAAAACAGTTTGAAAGCATTTGATCAGTGAAGTTTAAGGGATGATTGCTCCAGTAGCTATGCAGACATCCAGTGGTATCAGTTAGCGGCATCGAGGGACGGGTGCGGATTCATTTGGACCTTATTCCGTGTAAATGGGACCTTACATAAGACGTCGCTGAGATTGGACATACATCCCAAAATGAGCTGAAACGGGTACGGAAAACAGACTTTAATGTGCTGACAGCCTATGCCTATCCGTACATATTTCATTACGGATCCTTCTAGTTTGATCTTACGTAAATGGGATCTTAATTCCCGGTTAATATATATTTACTTGTCTGTTCGATAGCATTATATTTTAAACCATACAAAATTAACTACCAAAAGCATTTCCAACTTGAATCGAAAACTAGATGATGATGCGTGACAAAATACAAGGCGGAGTATACGTTGCACTAAGCTTAACTCGAAAAAAGCAACTTTGAAGGTTTAAAGGTAAAGCAGCTCCCTTTGTATAGATTCATTTATAAAATACTGACACATTCAAGGTAAAACAACTTTATTTGAAAAGATGCCAAATGCAACTGCGTCTTGGAGGTATCTTTCAAAGATTTAATAAAAATTTCATTTCCTTGGAGCCAAAATGCAGAAAACTGGCTCACAGTGTTACAGTGAAGAATTGGCTCTCTAGTTACAACTACCTCCTAGCAGTCAAATGCAGAAAACAAATTAGTACATTTAAACTTTTTTTAATCGGTAAAAGAAACTCAGAATGTGTCAAAAAAAATGAAAAAACAAAACCAAAAAAATTCAAAATTTCAAAATGTAGAAACTAAAAATGAGACAAATAACAAATTATTTTACAAAAAGATCCTGACAAAAACTTGCATTGAAGCTGACAAACTTGGAGTTATGCATGAAGACTGTTTCAAATCCTCGTAAGTAAGGCGACTAGTTTTTAGCATAAAGTATAGTAATTCATGGTCCTGGGGACAACTAGTGTTTAGCATATGAGTTTTCTTTCTACAGGAAAAACGGGTTTAGTCTGCTTAAAATTACATGAGAACTTTCTTCGTAAAAAGTTTATAGCAGTCCTTTAGGGAAAAGAAGAAAAATTAAGATTTTTACGTCAATTTTGCCTCTAATTTTGCCTCTAATTTTGCCTCTAATTTTGCCTCTAATTTTGCAACTATAAACTTTATGCAAAACTAACAAATATTAACATGAACATAAGTATAAAATTAGAAAAATAATAAAAGTAAAAGATTAAACACAAACAAACTACAGAAAATGGAAAAATCTAAATAAGATTAAATGATTAAAAAATACATATAAAGAAAAAAATGCAGCGAAAAGTAGAAATATATCGGTTCATGGGACAAAATGAAATACTAAAAGTTAATAGAAATACTAAAAGCAAATTGCCAAAAAAATAAGCTTATGAATTTGTTCGAATTGATTTCCACTTAAAAATGTAATGATTAAAAAATAAAAAAAAGAATTCAGGAATCGAAAGGCATTTGGAAAGCAACATTGAAACGTATTATTCGGTAAGGGTTTGTATCATATGCATCAATGCCGAAAAATGTGACTGAGAAGACCTGACTTTGTGAAAAAAGAAAATATAATTGAAAAATTTAAAAATGACAATACAAAAGAGCGACATCAACCACGAGAAATATCTTAGGGTGGTTGACAGCCAAGGGTGGTTAAAAAATTTAGAGAGAAAATTCACTTGAACCTTTGTGATATACATAAGCAACAAAGGTTAAAAATATCTTGATTTAATAAACATTGAAAAAAATCAAGCACTGTATTGTTCATTTAGAATTTGCGCTGACCAATCATTTCACTAATTACATTCTTCTAAGCGTTATATTTTTGTTTAAATCGCGAAATGCGAGTATTACACACCCACCTCCTTAATAATATTCCCCACTGTTAGTAACGAATCTTAGCAGCTGATAGCACTAAGAGACTTTTACAAAGTTTGAAGCACTTGCACGTATTTCCTTTCTGAATCTTTTCGAACGAAATACCATCTTTTTACTTTATGCTTTCTGTTTATAAAAGCATAACTTCCGTTAATCTAACTCTACTTACAACCAATCAAAATCTATATTTAACTGACTTATCAGTGAAAATTTTCAGATTATTTCATTCAGATCTTAGTTATCGTCCATGACCTATCAATCCACATTGTCCCTAAAGTAGTTTCTTTCATCATCTTTTAACTTCTCGTTGTCTTCATTTACTTTACCCCAGTCATATTCAATCTATCTTTCTTTACCAATGAAAATAATTTAATAAAGCAGTCGACGACTTCAGCATTCTTACACTACCCAAAAAAAATCTTGATATAGTAGCCACTAATTGGCATCTTATTCTTACTTATAACAGCCTTCTTCCCATTTATTTAAGTCAAATTTTAGTAGTCTTCCAATACCTAAAAATATCTTGTAGCCATTAGTAGCCATTGACTTCTATCATTCTCAAACTTCTCATAACTTTCTTCGATCGTATTGGATTAACTTACAACATATCATAAATTTCTTCCAAGTTGTTTCAGTCATATTCCAGCATTCTTCCATTCACTTCAAAATACATTGATAGAAAAGCCACTAATTTCTTTCTTCTTCCAACATATCAAAACCTTAATCCCTGCTATTTTAGTGACATTGCAGCACTTTTCTATTTACTAAAAAACATAATAAAAGAATAGCTGGTTACTTCCATCTTCTTCTAACTTAAAATTACCTTCTTCCGAGTAATTTCAGCTATATTTGAGATATCTTCCAATACCGACAAGAATATCTTGATAGAGTAGCCACCAAGTTGTATCTTTTTCCAAATTATCATAACCTTCTTCCAAGTTATTTCAGTCAAATTCCAATACCTACAAAAATATCTTGAAATTTAGCCATTCACTCCCATCATCTTTCAATATATCATAACCTTCTTCCAAGTTATTTCAGTCAAATTCCAATACCTACAAGAATATCTTGAAATTTAGCCATTCACTCCCATCATCTTCCAATATATCATAACCTTCTTCCAAGTTATTTCAGTCAAATTCCAATACCTACAAGAATATCTTGAAATTTAGCCATTCACTCCCATCATCTTCCAATATATCATAACCTTCTTCCAAGTTATTTCAGTCAAATTCCAATACCTACAAAAATATCTTGAAATTTAGCCATTCACTCCCATCATCTTCCAATATATCATAACCTTCTTCCAAGTTATTTCAGTCAAATTCCAATACCTACAAAAATATCTTGAAATTTAGCCATTCACTCCCATCATCTTCCAATATATCATAACCTTCTTCCAAGTTATTTCAGTCAAATTCCAATACCTACAAAAATATCTTGAAATTTAGCCATTCACTCCCATCATCTTCCAATATATCATAACCTTCTTCCAAGTTATTTCAGTCAAATTCCAATACCTACAAAAATATCTTGAAATTTAGCCATTCACTCCCATCATCTTCCAATATATCATAACCTTCTTCCAAGTTATTTCAGTCAAATTCCAATACCTACAAAAATATCTTGAAATTTAGCCATTCACTCCCATCATCTTCCAATATATCATAACCTTCTCCCAAGTTATTTCAGTCAAATTCCAATACCTACAAGAATATCTTGACATTTAGCCATTCACTCCCATCATCTTCCAAAATATCATAACTTTCTTCCAAGTTGTTTCTGTTATACTCCAGCTCTCTTCCATTAGCCATAAAATTTTCTTGATAGAGAGCCACTAGCTTTTTTTTCTTCCATCTTATCATAACCTTCTGCCGAGATATTTATTCCTGTTTCAGTACCCTTCAATTACCTACCAAAACATATTGACAGCGTAGCAATAAATTTGTAATTTCTTCTAACATATCATTATGTTTTCCGAGATATTTTAGTCATATGTCAGTAGTCTTCCATCAGCCATAAAAATATCTGGATAGAAAAGCAACTAACTTCTACCTTTTTTCAACTTATCATAACCTTCTTCAGAGTTATTTAATCATGATTCAGTACTTTTCAATTAACTAAAAAATATCTCGACAGAGAAGCTATTTGTTTCTCCCAGGTTATTTCAGTCATATTTCGAATCTTCTCCATTAACAGCCAAAATATCTTGATAGAGAAGCTGCAAACTTCTATCTTCTACAATTATCTTGACAGAGTAGCAATTAACTTGGATTGTCTTCCAACCTATCATAACTTCCTTTCAAGTCATTCCAGTCATTTTGAGATATATTCTATGACCTAACAAATCATATTGACAGAGAAGCCGTTCGCTTTTCCCTTCTTTTAACTTATTTTAACCTTCTTCCGAGTTATTTTAGTAATATTGAGATATTATCCCTTACCTGAAAAAACATCTCGATAGGGTATTTACAAACTTATATTTCATTACCAAATATATTGGCAGGGTAGCTGTTAACTTTTTTCATCTTCTAATAAGTTATTTTTATCTTCTTCAAAGCTGTAACGCTCAGGTTCAAGCTGTCTTCCATATTGTACCAAAACCTCCTCATTGCAGTTTCAGCCAATTCTCGACATACTTTTATTTCACCCCTTTAGAAATGGTCGTATTGCCCCTTTCCGCCCAAATTTCAGCCCCTGTCCCAACTTCCAAACCGAAGAAACGTTTGAATAGTGTATTTCTATAAAGACCAGCATTGCTTGCATGGTCTAGCATGGCTTGACAGGGGATAGAGAAAACTAATGAGAAATTAATGACAAAAATGCTATTGTTGTTGCAAGACTTTTGATAGGCATTAAAGCCTCGATTTCAGTAACCATTTTTTATTGACAATATTACCTGAACATATTACAAAAGCATCATGGTTTCTGGAAACAACTCTTCTGATCCATGTATATTTTTCCAATCAATGTTATGTCATTTTCGCAAGCCATCTTTGTCAACACAAAAACAAGTAACAAAAATCTTTATCTCGACCAAATGATTTTTGCCCAAATTTCATTCAATTTCAACAACGTCTTGACACTGAGCAGCAAAAATATTTTTTATATCATTTTCCACCTTTGACCAATACATTCTCAGCCCCAAACAATTTCTGTTAGACTACAACTACCTTTTTCACTTTCCAAAAAGCTCAAATTCACTACCAACTATCTACTTATAGCCTATCCCTCTCTTTTTCCAAATTGATTATTTCAAATATCAATTATTGCCTGCCATTAACCAATGAAACTATATTCATTAGCAATTAACACACTCTTCTGATACATTCTTGTTTTTCTCTACCTTGGATCCTTTCTGTTTTAATTTTCGTCTGTCACTTTAATCATTCTATTGCTTGCATTTACCTCTTACCTAGCTATTTCAGTTTCTATTAACTTTTGCCAGACGTTTGCCACTGATTTCAACTTGTGTGACATGATATGTGATCTCATTCAAGGAAATTTTGTTAAACTGTTTAATGCAGTCAAGACTATTAAACATTAAATTTAGCGCGAAAATAGCCTGATTGATACGATTAAGTGACAAAACTATAAGCAACACCTAAATGAAAATTGTTTAGTCTTATGAAGATACTGCAGATATCATATTTTGCAGCATTGCAACTCATAGAGAGCGTTGAAAGGAAAGTATGTATAAGGGCTTGTAAAAGTAATGAGCACACTAACAACACTGTTGTAAAAACAAGATGAATAAAAAATAAATGAGCAGCGTTGAGAAAGAGAATGTTGTTAAATAATTGTATTGAAAAGCAGTCATTTTCTGTGAGGCAAAATTACTCATAACCTCTTCGTGCACAATAGCCCATGTTTAGCCAAGAGTATTTTAAATAAACACGAAATATGGAAGAAACATCATTTCCTGATGAGACAGAAATGTCTTATATGCATCATAGAATACAAAGGAAACTCTTTTACGTGGATGATAACACACCACCAGGAAACTAATTGCAAATGATATCTTCAGTATCTAGCCATCTGTTAGCTCAATTGCTGATTGAAAAGAAAGCCTAATGGAAAGTAGATATGTTTAAGACTAGTAATCTGTCATTACAGACATTGTGGCACCTACAATTAGGCTTGATATGACTCACAATTTATACAATGCAGCGACGTGCAGATTATAAAGGAACACAAATTAATTTGCAAGAGAACCTAAGGAGGTGCTTGGTAAGCTGTGGATACTCGCAAGAATAAAAACAATGACATAATATAAAAGTAAAACAATGACAATCTGCGATTATGACTTGTCTTCTAACATCTTACAACTTAAGCTGCGAATAAACTGGTTAACATGGAGCAAATCTGAGGATTCGGGAATACTTAAAAAATACTAGTTTTCAGAGGGTATTCATTACAACTATATTTAACAATCGTTAAAGATTAGAGGCGTATGATCGGAGATAAACTGTCGGCAGGCTTTGTAACTAACCAGAGCCAGTTAAAGGGCTTTTACTGATGATCCCAGTTAAAAACAAGAAAAGTCCGAGGCTTAGGAATCTATGAAAAATCAGCGTCCGCTTAGCAGTACTATCAACAAGGATAAGTTGGTGGAAATCGGGTGGGCAAGCAACGGATTTCTAAAGAAGCCACATTATTAAGCCAAATGAAAAACTGTAAACATACCAGTGTGAGCAGCCCTGCATGTTTCTGAAAGTCTGTGTCGAGTTCTTTGTAGGTAGCAACACGGGTAACTTGAACGCTAGAAGAAGAAAGCAAAGAGCTACAGTGATGGCTTCCCAACGCACAGATTAACCAATGTGTCTCTGTCTAAGATACAAATTTCACTTATAAGAGAGTCTGTTAGGAAAGTAGATGTGGTAAGGCCTGTAAACAAGGCTGCCAATCAAGAGATTTAGGCATAAATCGCTGGTGAACCAAATTGTAGACTTTATAAGACTCTCTTATCCCTATCGTCAGTACTGCGCAGAAATGGGTAAGCGGATTTCAGTTTGAGTGTTTCCTACGACTGTATATTGCCATCGTAACTTAATATCAGGATTTAAGAAACAACTATTATGGGAAGTAATGACTATTTAAAGGCTTTCAAATCAAAATCAAAGAGCAAATATCTTAGCTAAGGGAGGGTCTCGTGATTTGCGAATTTAAGTTCATCCAATCATTCCTTCGGTTTCATTTACAAACAGCATTTTGTCAACGAGACACATCTATCGCTTGGGTTTAACATGTTAAGCTATAATGAAACAACTTTGCTAGGGACGTACAGCTCTTTAGCTTTGATTTCAAAACAATGTCCTAATTTACTAACAAGGTGTTACGTGGCTGTAAGGTTATACCATACAATCAACTAACAAAACCTAACATCAAACAGCTATTTTTCTTAATGACTGTGCTGTCAATCGCATTTACAACGTGGAATATTCTTATCAAACACTAATACTGACTTTATTGAGTAATGACCGTAAGTTTTGCAAGACATTAGCGAGATTGCTAACAAAAGAGCACACATACAGAGATGCTATGCTGTGGATTTGGACAATATAAATGTAAAATAAACTGGACAACAAAAGTAAGGCGGACATTTGGTGTAGGAAAGATAAAAGTTACAAAAACTGATAAAAAGATTTAAGCAAAGGGACAGATCAACACTTTTTAGGACAAATCAAATGAGAAATATCTTGTTTCGCTAATTAAGATAGCAAATAATTTTGTACCATCTCCACTTCTTCTCGTTTTCAGTTTTAAGATTTTAAACTAGACCCTAAAAGGTAATTGCCAAAACGGCCTTCATGGGGAATCGCCTTCATGGGGAAACAGCCTTCAAACAGGAATTACCTTCATGGGAGAGCAATCTTCTCGCCACAAATGAAGATGTTGCCAAAAAATTTGTGTTGAAGAAACCCTTTTATAAAGATGAAGAAATGTTGCGAATGTACCTACAAACTTGGCAAAAATATTTACAAGTAAAGAAATCAAGATGCTCCATTTCAAATTGCAGCTACAATCTGGGTGCTCATCTTGTTTCTCCACCAAAAATTTCTTTGACTAAAAAGCCACCAAAACTAATACTTTATCCGCAAAATGGTGGTTCTTCGTGGTTACATAATTTAACGTCTTGACTTAGTAAAGTAAGTAGAATACAAGAAAGACCCATTGTAAAAGGCAAGTAAGACAAAAAGGACCTGAATTTCATTTTTTGCAAGCCTTTATAATGGTTACTGTAGATTAGATTTCATTACGAGCAACAGTGTAAAATAGATATCTTGCGCAAAGAATTAAAAAAGGGATCTATTTACCGTCGGATGTTTTCTATATGAAAAGAGGAAGTAATATAAGGAAATATAAAGCAAATAAATCAAATAATGACATAAAAACCAAGGAGTATTGTTTGAGAAGACAGACTGTCAAGTGATTCGGAATCGAAGAAGATATGGAAAACTAATGACATCAATATTGATGAAAATTGGTGTGGTCGAAAAGAAAAAAATGCAAATGTAAAAAGCTGTGACCAACGGCGGTGGCGCTGTAAAAATACGATCTTTCATTGGTTTGGTAGAACTTTGGGATACTCTAATAAATTTTTAACTTAGAAATCCATTGAAAATAACTCAAAAAGGGACGAAAAACCAGCTGTTCGTGCATCAGTTCTGTCTAGTAATCCATGCAAACGAATTTTTCACAAGGAATCGCGAAAACTCCCCTTCATTTGGATTAAACAATCACTCGGGTCACATATGGATTTTTCCACGGCATGTTGCATTTGTAACAGAGCTTCACGGCCGGGGCTCAGCAATATCTTTGAAAAGCAAAAATATCACATGCTTGAAGTGGAAAAATTTACAAAAAATGCGATGAGTCGTCCTCTTGGCATTGTCGTTTAAGACAACACAAGGTGTCAGCAGGCCGGGGAACAACGTGTTTTCAAGCGACATATTTATACAAAACGTTAAAAATAAGGGAGATCAGCTAAATTATTGAATAGCAAGCAGTTTTACGCTGTCCCCATTAAATAGATGTGTCTGGAATTCAATGATTTTCCTTAAACATTCAACAGACCACATTAATGCAAGAAAATACAGCCAATCCCCACAATCATATCTTTGTTTTCAAACTCACTGGAAATTATTGAAAGAATCTTCTAAAAACGTGTCAGTAGAAACTGTCTAACTTTTAAAACAGCCATATCTGTGCAAGAGAGTGTCATAAATGCATGTAAAGGAGGCCTCCTTGGTAAACGTACGAATAAAGCAAAGCTTTCATATTTCGTTGAATGACGTCATAAAAGTTTTCGACAAGGTCCTAAAGAACTTTGGACAGTTTATGTTCTCCCATTTAATTGGTTGCTTTCAAAAGCATTCGATCTCGTGGGGTATAAATAATGAGTAACTGAAACACATCCTTGCCAATTAATGATCAAATTAAAAGAAATAAAGTTTTTTCCAAAAAATGGAATGTTAAGATATATAAATGTCATTGTGAAATACATTTCGGCTCAACCTTAAAAGATCAGATGATAGAGTAGGTAAATTTAATTTGAAAACTTCCAATTTTCTCAAACTCACTGGCTCATCTTTCACTACTCAATGATAAATAAATCGACACTACTCACTACTCAAAGAAATCAATGATAAATATTTGGACGGAAAAAAAAGAAAACACAACAATTAATGGCTATATATCTTGTGTTACAAAATCTTGTTGTTTCTGTCTTGATTTTTAAATTCTTCAATGTCAAAATTTAAAAATGGTATTTTAGAGTGTTTGTTTTTCTCAAAGCCATTATTGTAACTTTTTCAGTCTGTAAGAAAGATGTTATAAAGGAATTAACTATTATTTCTTTGCAAAGCAGTTGACACTAAAGAATACCATATAGCAAATAATCAAAGACCCCTCTGTACCGACCCTTTAGGTCTGAACTGTTCGTTTGCTAGAGCATCGACAGGGCTGGGCTCGGTACAGAGGGGTCTTTGTAGTAAAACCTACTGGACATGGACCTTAAAGGGGCCAATCAAAACTTAATAGAATAACATCATAAGTAACCAGCTCGAAAGGACCCTGACATTAACTACTTATCACACAAGTAGCATCATCATAATCATCACGGATTTAAATTGGCTTGTCTATCCTGATAACAAGTGATTGCATACACTCTTTTTTATGAGAACAATTTTATAAGGATACGAGCTTTAAAATTTGTCAAAAATTAAGAACAAATTAAGAACAAGCAGAGACTGTGCTACTGTAACATGTAGTTTTTAAAAATGCTTCATCTCATAAACGAGGATCTTTAGCATGTGTAGGTGCCTTTTCAGTGAATATTTAAACTTGTCGGCAAGTTATAGATGTCTCACTCACTTCCTTGTCAAGCAAGGCCTGAGCCCCTCCCTACAACGCAAAATCTAGCATTTGCACTGTATACACTCTGATAATTTAAGAACAAATTAAGAACGATCCAGCCTCAGATTTTGGAGAAAAAAATAAGAACAGGGGCCTGAACTTGAATTAACTGGTTCTCAAGGTTCTTTTAAAAAAAGAGAGTGTAGTAATCTTGATTGATATCGCCGCTGATAAAATTGGTCGCCTACAGTCAAGAAGAAACAGACACATTACTTTCAACAAAGTTGCATCATGGTTATAACATTGGGAATCCTTTTCAGCTTTGCAGTTGTTAGAATTTTCAGAAATACACTCTTTTTTTATAAGAACAATCTTATAAGAACACGAGCCTCAAAACTGGTCAAAAGTTAAGAACAAATTAAGAACAAGCTGAGGCTGAGCTTCTGCAAAATGCAATTTTGAACAACGTTTTTTCTCAAAATCGAGGATTTTTAGCAAGATGTGGGTGCTTTTTCGGTGAATATTCAAATTTGTCAGCAAATTAAGACTGTCTCACTCACTTTGTTGGCAAATGAGGCCTGAACACCTCCTTAGAGCGAAAAAGCTAGCAATAGCACTGCTTACATCCTCTTAATTTAAGAAAAAATTAAGAACAATCCAGCCTCAGATTTTCGAAAAAATTATGAACAGACAGCCTGAACTTAAATTTACTGGTTCTTTTAAAAAAAAGAGTGTTATAGAAAAATTCAATTTCTACCCAGTCATTCGGATAACATACATCATCAGGCGCTAATGTGTTAATCACAAAAACAAACAAACATTGCTGTTCGTGAGCAGAAAACGATTGCTATGGCCAGGAGGACAAACGCGTGTTCAAACGAAAATTCTTCAGGCATGCTTTGTGCGACACGCAATGGAGTTTAAATGCCCGTCCCCACAGTTGGTCCTTATCCAGTTAACATACCCCTGAAGTCGAAATTACTTTGCATAACAGCGAAGGAAAACTCATCTTTGAATATTTGTTAGCACCAATCTGGTTAAAATTGCATCATGTGAAGACACGCTCTAATTAATAGCCGATTAGTTAATTGACTATCCAATCAGAGAGGTCAAGAGATGGGTAGGTCGCAGAAAAACGCGGTCCTTTGAAACACTGGCTACCGAATACACGCCACATTTTCCAAACGAACCGCGGTCAACTAGTTCAGTTTACAAACATGTGCTAATTAATTGGTTGTAATCTGTTGATCGTCCGATTAATTGCAAAGGGTCAAAGTATCAAACAGTTCTACATGCAAAATGAAATGAAACTCCATTCTTTATTAAAAGAAACACGGTACGAGCTGATGACCAGTTAAAATCACTCAGTACTGGTTCAAAATATTAGCAACTTTTGTTTTCATCACAGAAGGACCAGTAAATTTAAGTTAAGGCTGTTCTTAATTTTTTTGAAAATCTGAAGCAGTGCAAGTGCTAGCTTTTTCGCTCTGGGGAGGTGTTCAGGCCTCTTTTGCCAACAAAGTGAGCGATAAAGCTTCCTGTTAATTCGATGCTGCCAAGTTTGAAAATTCACCGAAAAAGCACCCAGGCATGGTTAAAAAATTCTAGTTTATGAGATAAAACGTTGTTCAAAATTACATTTTACAGTAGCTCAGCCTCAGCTTGTTCTTAATTCGTTCTTAACTTTTGACCAATTTTGAGGCTCGTGTTTTTATAGTTCTTATAAAAAAGGAGTTTATCTAATCTTACTGAAATTTCAATATAATCTGATTAAAATTTAAAGGTACATTGTCTTTGGTTATTGCATGCTGCTAATCCCAAAATTCAAATACCATATAACCCTAAAAAACACAGACATAAAAAAAGAACCGAAATATATGGTCTATTGACAATGCTGATAACACGAAACAACTGCTATTATTTCTAGACACTAATAAATAGGGGACACCCAGATCGGGAGAGTATACTGAATAAAGGTCCCAAAATAATCTGTCACAAAATAAACATTTTGTGCAGACATAAATCTGCATATACTTATAGATTATATACAGAATAGATTCAACCCATACAGTAAAATAACAACAAGAGGTTGTTTTAACGCTAGTTCTTCATTGTGTGTCGCTTATTTACAGTTTCAAGCAGAAAAAACAAACACAAATATCTTCGAAAATGGTGTTTCAAGAATTGATAGAATGTAGCCATAAAATATATCCTTTCAAGCTCCTTTCTCTCTGTCCAAGAAACACAATCCCGATAGGAGCCGCCCTTAGAAGGAGTCTTGCTCCTCGAGTACGGTTATCCATCGATTGTTATTAATTGGAAGAAGGAATTCAGAACTGAAACATGGAGCCAGTAGCTAACTAGTTGAGAATAATAAGGGTAATCACTTGAGGCCAGTTTCAAATATTGTATCGCTCTTACCTGGAATCTTGGAAATTTGAGATTTTAATATATTATGAAGGTCCTTTGCGATATTCCTTTACTTTAAATATCTATCAAGATACCTTTACCTCAAAGTCAAAAACTCAACATTAAATCATAAAGTTTTAGCGTAGAGCCTCTTTTATTAGTTTTAGAGCAGAAAAGAAACAAATAAATATATAGTCACAGAAAACCTTGCTTTGCCTATAAATTCAAAAAGATTTCTAGAGAAAAAAATTTATCGGGGATCGATTTATTGTTGAGTCAATGTACACTAAAAGAGGCAAAAAATGCTTGACTGGACTTGATTTCATAATTCTCTGATGTTACTGTTAATGTCCTTCCTATCTATATTGTTGCGTGCACATTTATTTTTCATTGAGGACGATCGCAAATGGAGAGACTTGACCCTTCATATGCTAAAATTTGAAAAATAACAGCTATTCTGGAAATTTAGGCACATTGGCCGGTAGGAAACATCTGTCAACCACCTGTGGTTTTGGAATTCCAAGGCAGGATACTCTGACTAAATTGAGTTGATTCATTTTGCACGTTCATATTCAAATTACAAAAACATTTCAAATCTAGACAAGTTCACATTGCTGTCTTTTCGCGGGTCTCCTTGCTAATGGTCTGTGGTTAAAATAAATTCAAATTGTATGCCCTATGCATATTAATCACCTCACACCCATACACTCCATATTTTATATCATCAGTGGCTATGACCTATTTGATCATCCCACAAAGCCAAAACGCATAACACACTTTTTAGAGACAGTATCAATTAGCCAAGCAAACGTTAGTGGGTCCACAGAGGCTACAAAATGCTCTACATGTGCCCTCAAACTGAAGATATATTGCTTTCAACTTGAAAACTAGCGAATTAAAAGCATTTAATCCATATTCACTTTAAGGTGCTATGCCAATCTACTTGCGGATACCAATCCTAAGAGCTATCGGCCTAAAAATAGTGCTTTGGAGAGAGACGCAGTGCAATTACCACGCACATAAAAGCAGCTCAGCTTGCGTGAAAATATCATAGTTATCACAGGAAAAGCTTGAAAATTTGTTGTAGCACTCGTTTAATGATTTGTATCCCCCTTTTCCCTTTTCATCTCATTTCCATCCCATGGAAACTTTGTCTCATTTTCATCTCAAATTTTACTACTTTAAAAATTGTAACAAGTGATTTCAAAAGGCAACCTTAACAGAATACAGTCGTGACACCTAGTCAGCAAGAAGCTCCTTAGTAACATCTCCTGAAGTAGGGAATATCATAGTCAATTTTTCATATTTTCATCACCCTCCGTGGAAATTATCAAAGGAACAATAGCCCCAATAAGAAATATTTTTACTCTATTGAAACAAAATTTATAGCAGTCATTACTAAAAGTTTTGATAATTTTGCTCGTAAAAGTAGCATTTGTCGATAATAAAAGTTAAAATGTCTCAAAATGTAATTCACTGAGCGTCTATCTATTAAGATTTTTCAAAAAGGATCAGAATATATCATTTCAATTTAAAAAAGAAACAATTTAGAAAAATTGAGAACTGATCCGAAATTTGAAAAAGCAAATTATTGAATTTTTTGCTGAAGCAAAACCACTAAATTAAATTCTAGTTGAAATGCCTTAAAACTGAAAATAACAATGTAAAAACTGAAGTGAAAAATATACAATAAGACTAACAATCGGTTCTGAAAACAGAAATTGATAAAGAATTTTAATTCCCTGACTAAAATTGCAGATCTACTTCTAAGATTTGGCATTGACAAGGGATAATATGATCATATGTAAACTCCTGATTGTGAATTGATGGAAACATTTCATATTTATTGGCAAGGGCGTTGTTTCCCGGTGGGCCTCTTTCAAGTGAGTTTGTAAAACCTAGGACGAGCAAGCCTCTGTGAAAGAGATGCGTGGAATATGAACAGGGCCACCGAAAGGGGGACAAGCAGGGGCAAACTGCCCAAGGGTCTCAAGGTTTAGGGGGCCTCTTAAAGCAAGGAATTCTAATTCAAGAACTTAATTTTAACAAAACGCAACAAAGTATGCCTAGAAAGTTGTAAAACGTGGTAAACGACTCCGAAAAACATTCTGAAATGTATTTCAAGTTAATCTAAAGGGGGCGGGCCACAAACATTTTTTGCTCCGTTTGTGTTTATATAAAGTGTGCACTACAGAATTGGATTTGTTTCACATTTGTTGCAGTCTTGAAGAGACAAAAAAGGGAGATACACCCCAACAAATATAGCAAATGAGTCTTTGAAAATGATAAAAACTAGCATCTTTTTTAATTTTACATAGCTGCATGTTTTCCAGGTACGTACCATTTTTGGCTACCTGTGGTTTGTCATTAGAGATATCATACAAAAAAGCAGGCCCTCTTATGATCACTTTCTCCCGGCCCTTTTCTAGGAGCCACAACGCCCCTGTTTATTGGCGCAAATGGGAAATAAGAAGTTGAATATGCGCACGACAACAATGGAAACAGTAGGTAAAAAGGTAGGTATAAAATATCATAGGTCAAAAAAGAAGGGTACATCCGAATGCGATACATTATCAAAAAATTTTCATAGCTTTGAAGGCATAAAATCTGATAACTCTGTAGAATGTTAAAGAAACGATGAAATAAAATAACATTTGATAAGTAAAAAATCTTTAAGTTTCTCGAAATTCGATCTAAATGAAAATTAGAAGAAGCCTTCGCACATATTTAATAAAGTATAAAAAACTTACATCTATAAAAAGTCTACAATTGAAATTTTATTATAGTTTGATGCCCTTTAAATTGAAATGAATGGTACCATTTGGACAAGAAGCCTACGAGTACATCTGCATGCTATAAAAATAGCTTTTTAATTTGTTTATCTGTTTTAGGTACTTTTTGCATCAGTTACACTGACAAACTTGCTTCAAGTTTTGATTTTTTTCAAATACCTGTAGCCTAATTATTGGTATGATGAAAACCTGAGAATTACCTAACTGTAAAAGCTAGCAACAACGAGCCATTTATTATATTAAAGAAAGCAATGATGGGCTGAAAATTACCAAGAAAGAACAAAATTATATGATTGAGGCTCTTTCAAGAATTTCGTAATGATAGTAATCCATTTCTCTGAAAAAATATTGTGCTTCACCTAGGAAAACTCCTAAATTGAATCAATACAGAACTCTCAAAAAGTATTGTCAAGCAAAATAACCCTCAGTGACATTGGATGAAGAAACTGGTACAATTTAAGTCTAGCATCCAAACGTGCAAGATTTTATAGCAGCTCTAAAGACAACATAATCGATAATTTGTTGACTTTTGTGACAGAGTTTACAGGGTTACTCTTTTGTGACAATATTACTTTGTACAAACCTTGGAGGAGCAGCCACCTGTTGAACCAAGTCGTCCTCTTGAACATCATCGAGATCCGGAATAACAGGAATATCTAAAAGTTATTAACAAATTATATAACGCAATTACAAGTGAAGACCTGATTCGATGCCACTTAATCAGTTTTGATTAGTGATTAGGAAATAGATCGCAAAAATATCGAATAAAATGATACTTATCAAATAAACGTGAAGGGTAATAAAAAACCAATTTTCACACACACCTTAGTCAAATCCCAAAATAAATATTGAAATAAACTTTCTAACAGCTAGTTACAAAATTAATCGCAAAGAAAATTATCAACTACATTATGAATATAATCGCTGAGAAAACACATAACTGAGTGTTAAAAAATTGTGTAATCCTCGTAAAACCAACTTGAATTAGATTAAGTTGACAATCAAATAAACAATGAAATTGAAAAATTTGACACAAAGTTTATTGAAAATTAGATCTGCTCGTCATTCAAGAAATTTATGCTGAATAAAAATCCATCAAAAAAGTTTTTGAAATACAATGGCAGCTTGAAAATTAAGGCTAAATCAATAGCTAAAAACGTGTAAATATATAATCGATTTTTTTAGAAAAAGCAAACGAAACAGCAAAAATGTAAAAAGGTGCAGCATTAAAGATTCAAGCATTGAAGAAATAAAAAAAAATCAGAAGGAAATAACTTGAAAGTAAATCTTGAATACGATAAGACAATAAAATTTGCCTGTGAAGGGTTGTCCGTTCAATTTTGAAGCAAAACGAGATAGAATTCGTAGAAAGTAACCATTTTGTAAAATAGGATAGAAAATAATTCAGAGAAAAAAGAAAATTTCCTATACAATGATACTTTAAACAAAGGATTTAACGACAAAATTCTCTAAAAGAATAAGTAATAAAAATTAATGCTGAAGTCGATTCAAGGCAAAAAAATTAATGATATAAGAAACAAAGCAAAAAAATAGAAAAAGTTAAGTCTAAAGTCGATGCTAATTTTGTGTTGATAAAAGAACAATGGTTATAATTATATTAGAAAGAAAACTTTCCACAGCAAAACTCGTGTCATAAAGAGCTGACTGACAAAACGTAAGAAAATAGGAAAGTAATATCAGAAGTGAATATTCATTCTTTGTTACAAAAAGAACAGATAAAAATAAAAAACGTAAAATGTCAATATTTACTGTGTGTTACTCAATGAATAATAAATAATGGAAGTACGATAAGATTTTAGAAAAAAATGCAGCTCTTCAAATCAGCTACAAAAAGAAAACTTTGCAAGGCGAAATAAATGTCATAAAAAGTTGAATGACAAAACATAAGCAAATTGAAAAAGTAAAATAAAAAGTCAATATTTATTCTGTGCTACTAACAGAAAAATCAATAATGCAAAACGATAAAATTTTTAATCCAAAATTCAACTATACATAATAGCTACAGAAAGAAAACTTTCTAAACTTTAATAAATATCATGAAGAGACGCCAAAAAATTTAAAAACGCAGAATAAGAAAAATAAAAGTTGATTTTCATTCTGGGTTACTGGAAAACCCAATGCAAAATAATAAAACTGTAAAACCAAAAGTCAATAATTCATATTTATTTTAGGAAGCAAACCTTCAACAGTAAAATGATACAATAAAGATATGATTTAAAATAAAGATAAAACGTAAACTAATGGAAAAACTGAACTCAAAAGTCAATATCAATTCTATGATATAGAAAGAAGGACTCCTTATGCAAAAGTGGTGACATTTAAAAACAAAATTGAATTCTTTTTAATTTCAATAGAAAAAAGTTCAAAAACAGCCAAATACATGCAATAAAGAGATTACTAAAAACGTAAAGAGAAAGAAAAAGTAAGATCAAAAGTCCATCATTATTCATTGTTACTAAAAGTAACACCCTTAATCCCAAAACATTAATATTGTACAACCGAAATTCAACCAATTATAGCTACAAAAAGAAAGATTTCTTACGCAAAATACATATTATGAATAGATGACTGAAAGATATAACAACAAAATATAAAATGAATAGTAAATATTTATTTTGTGCTGGTGAAAGAAAAACTAATAATGCAAAAACTATAAAACTGTAAAACCAAAACTCAACCCCTTAAAATGGACAAAGAAAGAAAACTTTCTAAAGCTAATTCATACCATGATAGATGACTGAAAAACGTAAAAAAAATTAGAAAAATATAATAAATAGTCTATATTTATTCTCTGCTAGTGAGAATATAACTAATGGTGTAAAATTTTAAAAGCGAAATTCAACTTCTTATAAAAACTACAGAAGAAAAACCGTCTAAAGTTAAATACATAGTATGATGAGATGACTGAAGAACATAAACAAATAGACAAAGTAAAATCTAAAGTCGGTATTTATTCTGTGCTTGTGAAAAGAAAACTAATAATGCAAAAAAAAACAAAATTTACAAGATTAAAACCAAAACTGAACTCCTTATAAAAGTACAGAAGAAAAACCTTCTAAAGTGAAAAACATACCATAATGATATCATAATACCATAATGGCTGAAAAGCGTAAAAAATAGACAAAATCGTCCATTATTTTGCGTTTTTGAATTAAAAACTAATAATGCAAAAACTACAAAATTATAACAAAACTTCAACTCGTTATAAAAGATATAATGAGAACTTTCTAAAGTTAAACACCTAGCATGATGAAATGACTAAAAAATACAAACAAACAGAAAAAGTAAAATTAAAAATCAACTTTTATTATGAATTACTAAAAAAAGTTGATAGTAAAAAACGAAGCAATTGTTAAACCAATATTAAAATTTTCTTTTTAAATTCGTAAAGATCCAAACAAGAATACAGATAAACCAAACAAAAAAACCGAAAGAATAAAACATATATGGTACGTGCAAAAACAAAACGACATAGATAGAATCGAAGAATACCAAAAGACAAAAATTAACTCATTTCTAAAATTAAAAAAATTAAAAATGCTCTCCTTTCTTAATCAGATAACTTAATGCTCTTTTTACAATTACGGTATGAATTTGATCAATTGGTATAGGTTTTTGAAAAGGTATGCAGCTGAAAAAATCTTTAACCTCTAGCTAGGCGATTTTTTGATACATCTGGTCACATTTTAACCCCCCAACCACTCTCCGATATTTAAAAAGATAACAAAAGATATAATCAAAATAAATGACTGCCAGTTATTAAACTCTGTTCACCATTCTCTCTTTAATTTATATTGGAAAGCTTTTAAAACACTGGATTAATGCATAATTTAAAATTCATACCGTCATCTTGCTCTTCCAAATTGACAGTTGCGTCTGGGCGAAGCCGTTCGCTAAAACGAAATTCGGAAACATGATAAGATTGATTTGTTTTTATAATAAACAAATTTCATTTCATTACCCTACTTCTTCGTTGAATTAAGTATATTCATAGTGTAGAAATTTAAAAAATGGCTGCGAAAATTTCTTTCCAAAACTGACGATAGTTGTCCCAAGTACAGTTCATTCCAAAAAGGGGAAAGACATTTTCTTTGAATTATGTGACAAGAGACTTACACCTCAACATTACTGATATACATTTCTAGATGATGAGATTTATTGAAGTGGTGTTGACTAGGAAACTTTTAACTGTTAAGGACATACAAACAACGTGCAATAACTAACTCACATATAATTAACGTTTCTACCAGTGTCAGTAAACCATAATATTACAGGTGCCTATAAAAGACTGTGTATTTCCTAAACCAAATATTGAAAATCAAAACTAATGATCAGATTTCAAAATCACAACACTATTCTGTAAATGCGCAATATCATGCTGATACGTGGAATTTAACAAAAAGAAAAATACAATTTGTAACAAGTGGCATATCTGAAAAACATTGCTAAACGAGGAGTAATATGGACATTTCATATTAGAGATGCTTTTAGCAAATTGTTGATAATGAAACGATTGATACTTGACAATTGTCTAGATTTTGAGTTTTAAAATCTAGAATAAAAAACTAAGAAATTATTAGCATTATAAAAGGAAGCTTAAGTTCTCTTTATGAGTATCTAACTTTGATTTAAATTAATCTAACTTAGAAAAAAACTAATTTTTATTTAGCCTGAATTTTTCACTAATTTTTAGCTTGAAGTCTTGAATTTCTGACAAATCTAACTTGAATTTAGACTAACTTTACTTGAAATTAGACTAATTCAACTTGATTAAATTTTTTTCTAACATCAGTTTAGATTACCCTCACTTGAGCTTAGATAATCATCAGCTTAGACTAAAGCTAGAATGGCTTGAATTCAGACTATTCTAGCTTAAATTTAGACTAACTTAAATTTAGACTAACTTAACTTGAAATTAGATTCATTTCACATTAGCATAGACGTGTCTAAGGGCCTGTTTATATGAGTAAAGTTATCCCCCTTCCAGTCTATGGGCTGCGAGATGAGATCCAGCCTTCCTATACAAAGCTTTGTAATTTCAATCTGGTGCTTATCTCAGAAATGCTCTTTCCGGGGCAAATGAGATCCTGCTCTCAGCTTGCCGGATCTCACCTCTTGGGATGAAATTTTTCCATATCAACACAAAACTGGCTGGAAGTAAGATTGGAAGGTGGGATTGGAAGGTGGGATTTAATTTTTATCTTTGCACATGTGCTGGTGTTGCGATATCCGAGAAACCGGCGAGATGGGATAAAAAGAGGCCATAAGCTGGAAATGAATTTGCATACAAACATGCGATGATATCATCCCATTTGCCAGCTAATAGGCTGAAATATGGCGTAAAGTTACTCATATAAACAGGCCCTAACTTTGGTTTAGATGAACTTTGTTTGAGTTCCTATAACCTCAGTTGAGTTTAGACACTATATCTTGTGTTTAGACTAATACCCTATTACCCCGCATTAAAAACCTATGGGCTTGTATGAAATATTTCTATGATTTTGAATTTTTCAATTGGAAAAATGCACCTTTATGTAGGCTCATGGGCCTTTAAAAATTTAGCTGTTGCATGTCACCAAAGAAGCAACAAGAAGGAAAATGGTTACAAGTTCATTGCAAATACTATCTCAAGGGACCAGATACATATCTTGAAAAAGCAGAATATTTAGACAAAGATATTATCGAAAAGTTATTTGATCTTTTATGAAGTACAGGTTACTCTAAAGTACCATTTACATCCACATTCCGAAATGAGAAGCCTCTCCTTTAAAGGGCCAGTAGGCCTATGCCCGGAAATAAGCCCATGATCCTTCATACAGGGTGGACCTAAATGAGGGGTAATAGGGTTTAGGTTGAGTTTAGACAACTAGCAATTAAACAAATCTCACATGAGTTTATACAAGTCTAACTTAAGTTTAGATGATGCAACTTAAAACGAATCTACATTATTATATTCAAGTTTTATCTGGGAATAGAATGGCATAAATTTAGAACAAACCCTATAAAATCGACAATTGCTGGTTTTACCTTATCAATGAATAAACAAATTAGAAATCCGATTGATTTTTCTTTATTGTAACTCATTGTTGTGTTATTTTTGGTAAATCATACCTGCCATGAACATGTTCACTTGTAAAAAAGAAAATTGATCATCAAAAGGATAAAATAAGTTACAAAACTTACTCTATTTCTTCCACATTTGTACCCTTTTTCTTCCTGTAAAAGTTGTAAAAAGTTAGTTCATTGAAATCAGGAGTAATGAACCACCTTTTATATACCTCTAAAGAAAAAGCACCTGCGCTTTTTAGTGCACATATCGAGAAAATTGACATTTATTTAGCCAACGTAATTCAACACCATTTAATGCAGATAATAAAATTTTCAACGAACAAGTTTAGTAGCTATTTAGAAATCTTCTACTGAGAAAATTGTTACATGTCTAGCACTGGGCCGTTATTATCCATCACTATCTCACGATGTAAATCAGGTGATATGTTCTCTTGTCTCTAGCAATGCAAAGACTGAAGCAAGCTAGAGAAAACGATTTGCATCATAATGCTGCCAAGCATATCGATTAGAATTCGGAAAATTCAACATAAAATTTATAAAGTATTGAGCAACAAAACATCAGAAAAATGCACAATTTTATACTGAAAAACTTGATGTTTCTTATTGCAGATGCTGTTGCTGCAACTGAACACTCCTTTGAGTCAATGCTTCAGTTTTTAGTTTCATTTCATTTTAAAATACCTACACCGGGCAAGTTTCTAGTTAAACAGTCGTCTTAAAAAGACGATATGTGAATTGGTTAATTTCTTTAGTTTAGATGCCTTGACCTTGTTTTCGATAATTTTTAAATAAGGCTGTCAGGTAGTTAGGTCCAAAATTAAGCTCGGAAAAAAATTCGATTTGGATTGTCGTTTACCAAAATGAATGGAAATTGTTGTTCATACTGAAATTGCTAGAGTCTCGTCTTTTTGTTCATTTCGTTATATTGGGCTATAGAACTGATTGCACCCTTCAGTTTTATTTCCTTAATAGCTCGTTGAACTAAATATATTCTCGTCGAAATAAGATTCAGTTTATTTTAATAGTCAACGCGACTGCTCGATGTAGAGTGCATGAAGAAGCTTAGCCAACAATGTATTAGCTTAAAAAACTTTTACCAGATTGACGATAACTGTTTCAATCAAGGGTGTAATGCTTTACAACGTTAACAATGTTTGAAACCCCCTTTTTTCGGTACTGGTGCTACCATACCAATAAGATTCACTGAGAGCATCCAAATTGCTGTAGTTTTGGGGTGCATAGCTTGCAAAGCATGCTTTCTGAGAAACTACGTTTTAATCAACAAAGTTCGGTTGAGATTTAAGCTGTCTGTTTAACACTTAGAAAATCGTGGTAAATTCATGATGCAAAAACATAGCGATTTACAAAGGACTCTGAACTTCCCAAAACCTTCAAGGCAATCGTCTTCAAATCCATTTTAAAGGGACGTTTTAGCTCGAGCAATAAAAACAAAACTTTTATATCGTGTTTTCTCCGGGTAAGATTTCAAGAGAACAAACGAACAACTTTATGTCAAACGACATATTTTGTGTAGAAAAGCTTGACCTAGGTACGATAACAGCATCTAAAGGTACAGCAGAAGTTGAAATATAAACCAATACAGAATTATGGTCATTAAGTCTCGCAAAAGGTCGACCAAATGAAAATTTTTCACGGGACGTAGGATAAGTATTAAGGCATTAAAATTTAAAGTTATGAAAAAGCAAACTGAGATGAAACGCATAAAAGTAAATTGAGTGCGGGTAGCATGATATAAGCATGCGATGACCACCACATCATACAGAGGTTCTGTTACAAACCTGGATTTCAGGGACATCTTTATCATTCACTTAATTTAAAGTGAGTAGCTACAATAATTTTGGTAAATCTAAATTAAAACAAAGAGCGAGGCTAAGCAAGCATCTTTCATTGTATACGGGGAATAGCTTCGAGATAACTGAGATGAACACCCCTGGCAAGATAGCAAGATTAACTCTGCGAAAAGGCCTCATTCCTTGCATCCCAGGCAGTTTATACGCTAAAAGCACTGGTATACATATTGCTTAAACAATTTTATGAGTTCAGACTCGGTTTCAAAACATTCATTCTTCTCGTTGAATGTAATTTTTCATTTAGTTGCAGTTGTAGCGGTAACTTTAATACATCACGCTGAAATACCTACGTATTTTCAGCTCTCCAAATATAAGAGGGGGTTGTATCGAGCAAATGTGGAAATTTTTCGCTAGACCTATTATTTGAGGGCTGGGGTTACCGACGAGAGAGGAAGGCGTTATCAAAGCAATAAAGAAGATCTATATGGTAAAGATCTACATCAGAGGAAAAGAAATCTCTAATATTCGTCATTGAAAAAGTTGACTTTGTGAAAATGGAAAGGATAAGCAGGGCATGTTGGATTAAGACCTGAGTTCGAAAAAGTTGTCAAAAGTCGAGGAGTGGGAATTGGTTATTAGGGATCCTAAGGTACCAAATGATTTAGATTTCTCGTCGTCTCTTATCGCTATTTCGAACCAACTGAAACTCCCTTTGTGGAAACTCCCACCAAACGCTCTTGTGAATTTTCAACAACTGCCAGGCCCTCGCAGTTCAACTGAACGAGAACGGTAGTACCTCCTGATACATTCTTTCAGGTCCGTACCCACTTGAAAATGACCAAAATACTACCATTACACAATTCCTTTCATCTATCTTTGCAAAAATAGCATTCGTTTATAAAAGAGTCCTTAAAACGTCTTATACTAGGCTCAAACTTTTTGGTATTATAAACACAACCCAAATCGACATTGAAGGGAGTTTTACCGTCTTTAAATCAATTTATGTTCTCAGTGCTCCAGTGACGTGAATTCATGTTCAATTTGCCACTTGCATATCGCATAAAGGGCAGCTGAAATTTAGCCTGAGCCCCAAACTTTCAGGGGTAAAGAGCCTCCAAGCTATTAAGATGGGGATTTGAAAATTTATGCAAAATCTAGTAAATATAGTGGATAGATATGTAGAGCAATAAATAAAAAGAGAAGATTGTAAGGTTTGGGTGTTGGAATAAAGATCAGGAGGGAGGGTGTAGGAAAGACTTTGAGGGAGTGTAACGAGCTATATTCAGAATCACCAGAGTAAGGGGAAGAGAACGCATAGGCCGAAAGGCATAGGCAATTGCTTGAGTGATTGGTTAACGAAGAGTAACATACACAGAACAAGGGCAAGACAGGTGAAAAGCTTCTAACAGATAACGGCAAAGAAAGATGGGAGGAGAGAAACTTCTTAAATATTCTTACCCCACTTCATCGATGTCTTCGCTGTAATTGATAAATCATTTGTTAAAAGAGTTTGAAATAGACGATTGAAACGAACGACGGGTCGAATAAAAAGTTATAATCAGTGTTACCTATTCTTCTTTTCTTTAAAGTCGTCTGCCCAACCACCTTGCCGTCTTGTTGGCCTTGGAGATGTAGAGTTCTGAAAATAAAAAAAACAGTCTCAGATTTCAGACAGACGAATAATTCTTTTGCATTTCAATGAAGACCTGTAAATCTGGGAATAAAATTTGTTGCAATAAGTACTGGATCCGTGTTTAGCTTTGTGTTTAGCCCGTGTTTAGCCCGTGTTTAGCCCGTGTTTAGCCCTGTAGATGATTCTTACTTCGTCTGAATTGGAAGACCCCTGCCAGAGTAGATGCATTGCTAGTAGAAGACACGCTTAAAACACCAACAGAGCAAACGTTCAAACCAAAAGCCAAAGTGTCATTTGACAAAAAATCATCAGGCCAATAACGAATTAAATCAAATTCAAAGAAAGGAATTCCTCCTGATAAAAAGTTTTCAAGTATCTTGCGTCAGATAAAGACAGAGAAAGAGTGAGACAGAGAAAGAAAGAGCAATTCCAAAGAAAAAAAAGTTAAGAATGTATCTAGCTTGAGGATAAAAGTTAGAGTGGGATGAAAGTTTAGAACATTCATAACAACTAGAAAAATGATGTGATCGAGTCTTTATCAAGTCGCTTCTATAAAGAACACTGGAAGCAAACAACAGGCTCAAAGGATGGAAACAACTTGCTAAGAAAACTGTCTATCACGTAATAACTACAAATTCCGACTAGATATAAACATTGACCAGAAAGATACATGTCTCATAATTAAAAAATTCTACCACCACTAACCAATACTGAGACAGCTATTTGCATTAGTTCAAGCAGGAAACTATACTTATTGGGTTTGTTTGATTACATGATATATACCGTTTTTGCCAGTAAAAAGTAACGAACTTGGCGAACACGCCCCCTTCGCATAGCAACAAGCGATCAAACATAGAATCAAACAAAGTAGCATGATGTCAAGTTGCTTGCGGATTAGATAATGCAGGAATATTAAGCCTGGCTTGAGGATATCATTTATTCATCACACTGAAGAGATGGCTAATCAAGTACAGAATGGTGTGCACTCTTTACCAAGTAGCGAAATTAGGCAGATGGCAGGCATAATCCGATGATAATGCAAGCGAGGAGAGAAAAACGATGCTCATTTCCAAGTCCTGGCTGCGTTTGATCACGGATCGCCAACACAAACCCCGAATTCCCGATAATACATTACATGAAAGAGCATTTTAGGTAGCACTCGTCATCATTACTACTACATCAAAACTAGAAGCAATTACAAGCAGATGAAATCGTGACAAGGCAAAGTTTCTCAGGTACAAATCAACTTACTTTAAACTCATCAAGACCATCGCTCGAGCTGGTGGTTAGGCCGGACATTGTTGTATAGGAAGCTCTGAAGATCGAGCAATCACACAACTAATCATATGTTACCAAGAACTAAGACGACTATATAAGTACCAGCTGCCTATTGCATCCAAAATGATAAGAAAACAGGTTGCGCACAATAAGCCAATCAATAAATTATGAACCGCCAATTCTTTGATCTTTGAATATTCGCATGTTCTCACCTGACTAAAAGCGTATTTTTATTACTTTGCAAAAGCAAACCTGTCTAAAAATTAAACATAATGATATTAAGATTAAATGGATTGAATATTTTAGCACCTATGATTGAGTATATTAACAAAACAGAGGACGAACATAAGATTTATACCATATCTATACATGTTATCCTATTAGGCTATCAAAATGGTCATAAGTTTCTGAAATCGCACCGTTAGATAATTCTTACGAGGGCCATAGAGGACCTGCTCCGAAATTTACAAGGGCCACACCTACAGATATTTCACGAAAAAGAACAATCAACACTACTGCAAGAAAAGTTACAGATCCTTCATAAAGAACCTTGAGAAAATTAACAAGAGAAAGTTAAAGAAAAGAATAACAATGAACTTTTCGACAATATAAACTATGATGAAGAAGATTTGGCGCCGTTTTCCATTGTTATGTAGATTGAATGACACTTTTCAGTAAACACCAGGGCCTTTTTAACATACTGTCTAGGGGGGCGATTGCCCCTCCAGCCCCAGTGACTCTCCGTTGTTTAAAACAATAGGCAATGGTCCTCCTCTTTTTATAAACAAATTTTTGCCCCCGCAGCTAATTGCCCCTCCACTCGACACCCAAACTGGGAAGATAGGATAAAGCAATTTAAAATAGAAAGAAATCGTTTTTTTCTTGCTTCGGTGGAGTTAACAAGAAAGTTCACAATCACATCGACGGAGATTTACAACACGAAAAGGCAAATAGCATCTCTGATGACGTCACTTTCATAATTTTATCCTAACTTTAACAATAGAATTTCGATATTAGGACAAGGGATCTGCGATAATGATAAAAATTAACAAGCCACTCTCAATGCAAATAGAAGGCTGATAATGACGCAAACCAAACTTTAAAAGGGAATTATTTACTTATGCAGCAAACTTTATGCTCAGTCGCCACTAGTCAAAGGTAAGGTATCTGCCAAGACGGGAATAAATTAAGCCAGTTTTCAAACAGCACTAAATGAGCACTAAAGCTAAAATCGACAGACAACGATACCAGAAAGTCAGCCAGGCAGATGATACAATCTATACTACATGATTTGACCGGGAAACAACATCCCATTATTATTTACAGCTCAAGAGGGGCAGAGTTGGATAATACCTCGATTCAATAAAACCTAATCGCATTACGGGGATTCCAGCAAGCTTAAAGTTTTCAATAAGAATCCGGAAGATCCATAAAAAACGGGCTGTTTCAGATCATTTAAAAGAAAGGTTGTTCTTTTTGGTTTCTTTCTCAGTAAAATACAATGGATTCAAGACTCGTGATCAATCGATTTTTAGAACGCGATAAGTATTTTTTAACGTGGACATCACTTCAATAAAATTAAGAGAAGAATGCCAATACATGAGAAACTATCACTATTTAATTCGCAAATAGGGAATTTTTTGTACATTATATGTTAATTTGTTAACTATCAATTCTCGTTTAAATAAAAAACATGAGGTTATACAACAGTGTTCTGCTATGATAAGGATTTATTGATCCACGATTCAGCTATTCAGCCAAAACTGATATTCTATGCAAATAACGTATAATACTTATTGACAACAATCGCTTTGAACTGTTTTAAAAAGATATGACACAGAACTAATCATGAAAAGCAATTCTCGCCTCCTATGTCAAATGTTATGTTTACTTCTCCAATTATAAATGCTACGAGAATGGAGGCAGGTTCTCTTCGTGTACAAATAGCAAATTGTTTGAAAAAGGTAAGAATTTTCTAAGTTTAAACAATGTGTATACTCAATAGCGGTGACAAAAGTACATTTTCTACGCATTCTAAATTTAAAGCCCATAAGAACGGTTAACTTTCACAATATTTGTTCAGCCCTTCCAAGATCTATTAGTATCAGTGTTTCATTGGAGCAAGAATTATTGGTTAATGACCACAGAGTGTGTATGTGGTAAAAATGGGTTCACCCTTTGTCTGCTTGTTCTAAACTGATTCCAAAACACGGAAATGGAAGAATGACTTTGCTCAGCAAGATAAATGTCATCAAATTAAAATAAAGCACCATTCTAAAGGTGTGTTACCAATTATTTAATCACTATTTTTATTGCCACTGTCTCAATCCAATATACCCAGTTAACTTTTTACTATCAACCATAACTTTGAAAACGTTTCCAAACAGAAAATAGATTCCAGTTTACAAATAAGACTGCTAACACATTGCAGTGTATGTCGTATTTCTTACCATTGTTCCCTTGAAATCATCAACCTCTGTTGAAACATTATCGCCAGTTTCAAGAGCCTCATTACTCCCAGAGAATGCATTCTTGCTACTTCCGAATTGTAGGCCAGTTCTTCTGCCTTGTCTTGCTTCCTGGCAATCAAGCAAATAATAATTCAGTACAACATAGCCTTTACATATTCCCTGGGTTATTGACACAAAAATATTTGACAAAATTGTATTTTGAATTCACTACATTTAAAATTTTCATAAAAAATTTGGAATGATGGGATATAGTTAAATATTATTGAATTCAAACAATTGAGCAACTTAAACTCAATTTAAGTGGCATATATTGCTAATGAGTCTTAACTGTCTTATGTTAGCGGAAGTCCCCTTTTGAAATCTTCATCAAAACTGCTCTTATGACACCTCAAGACTTCTACCCTTGTTGTATGTACATGCTTTGCTTATGCGTAAAGACTGTGAAAAAATGTCCTGTGACTTTTTAAATTACACTTACAGTTTCCAATAAGTTGGGAAGCAAGATAATCATATTAGCATTAAATACCAGCAGGTAAGTAAACAGAATCAAATGATATGAGTGGTTCTGTTCAAACGAGAACACATTCCAATACCATTTTACTTTGCCTAAAGTTCTTTGACCAACTAAACTTTGTTTTCAACTTGTTTGGGACAGATTATTTTACATTCAAGACCTAATTTGCGTTGTAAGGGTATGAAATACTGAGTTCTACATGTAAACAGCCTAAGTGAAAAAGAAGTAAGAGATAGAGAGCGATGGAGAAATAAGATGTGAGTAGGATATGCCTAACGACCAGTCTGCAGAGCGTGGCAGTTCTTGACAAGATCTTGTGTATGCAAGAGCAAATATAAATGTGTGCATGTGTACAAAAGAGAGTGCTGAAAAACTGTGCAATGTGTGCACACTGTTCAGTTTTGATCCAAAGTGTGCAGCAAGCTTCTAAAGGGCAAAGTATTTGTCAATTTGGCCCACAGTGTGTACACAGCAATAATAATTGAGAATTAACCTAAGACTGTAGTTTCCCAGAGAATTGGAACTGGGCATGAATGGATTTAGGGCAAGCACAGGTCATTTTAAAATATCAAATCAAAATACTGAGATATGATATGACTCCAGGGCCATTCTGCGGTAATCTATGGGGTGTGGCCTTTACAAATTTTCCTGGGGACTACCCCTAGACTCCCCTTCTTCTAACTTCACAAAGCTTTCAGATTTCATCTGGCAACCCTGAAAAGCTGCGCCTAATATTTCATTCCATGCATTTGCATGCCGGAAGCTTTTCAAATCAGGAGGAGAGTATACTAGAGAAAACTCTATCTGCTCACAAAATGCACATATAGCTAAAAGTTGTACATATTTTCTCTTATTTAGTTATAGACAGTAACTTTTTCAACTTGTGACAATCAGATGTTTCTGACGCTGACCAACACAAGTTAAAGTTGTTTTATGAATAATAAAATCCCAATTCATCAGCATTTTGAAATTTCAAATAAAATGTTGTTTAGACCAAGATAGGAAAACATTGTTTCAAAAAGGGTGGTCCTTAAAATTTTTCCAGTAGCCAGAAAAATTCGTGTGCAGCACTATGTTTTTGTGTGCATTAGACAAGCCTCTGAAAAAATCTTGTGTTTGCACATGCCACATTCTGCAGACTGGCCTGATGATGATGAAAAAACTTCTTGGATTGTAATTGTAATAACTTGAAAGACTGACAGCGTGGAAAAACAGTATCGAATGGCCCGATCTGGGTTTTGTTTGGAGGTTATTGATCACCACAAAAACTTTATTTGACAACAAAATGTCCATTGAGAATGAAGAAATCCTAAAATTATTTACCAACGTTAGACGTGCTAGTCGTTTTTGTGAAGTTTTACTCAGTCAGAGCCCATCTCAGCTCTGTCCATATACTTATTGTTCGTATTCTGTATAACAAACCACTCTTATTTATAAAAAAAACGAATTCTTGAGTATTACCCTTTTTCCAACTGTGAAATTATCCATCTTCTGTTCCACGATTCTATGCAATGGAGCAGTTGATCCAAGAGGGCCTAAATAATATTATTCAGCAAGTGAGTTCGCTTGTGGTGAGTGTCAGCTTCTGCTAGTCCGACACATCCATTTCAGAGATTTTTCCTGTCTTTGAAGAAATTCTGATCTCTAAAGATATTAGGGTTCCCAAATAAATGATCCAAATCTGACTTAAAGCTTCCCTTTCCAGATTTGACCTAGTGATCTTCTAGATAGCAACCAAGTAATTTGCACAATGCTCCTTCGCAGTAGCGTAAATGTAAATAGCAACTCTGCTTGATGATAGCAACTGAACAAATAGAACAAGAATCTCGAAATGCCACCACCAAAACAAAACTCTTAAAAGGTATTCATGTAAGCCAATTTGAAATTGCTAGCTGAAATACACGGCAAGGAAAATCTAAAATACAGCAGCACAAAAATATGCTAAAACATAAACTTAGCCCAATTGTTTTTTTCTTAAGCCAATCGTCAAGGAGCCTCAAGGATTCTAAATTGCTTATGACAGATTCACATTTAAAAAAGCATGCAGTAGTGAATGTAAGTGAAAATTATATCTCTATTTGTCTTCAAATCAAGAACTTGGTGCAATAGTTAAATGCCCATGTCTCAGACGAACATAGCTGGTTGCTTGTGAAGAATGTCAGATTCCAAATGCCCAATGTTAGAAGGTTGTATTGACCAAATCACTTGCTTAAATTCTGGCACTGGCATTTTACAGGCTTGATACAATATTTTGAAGTTCTTTCTATGTCTGTCGAAGTAAAGTAGGCCCAGTTGGCACCACATAGTTTATTTGGCTACCTCTACGATTGTAGCCTACCTGATGGATCTATTTTCACAGTCGCGCATAAATCCACTGGAAATCAAATTTGTGCATCCTTTGACGCTTGTATAATGCCATATTTGATTTTGTAACTAAGTGATTTTTTGAGTCTCACCAATAGGCTTTCCAAGAGAAAGTGAAGTAAGAGATCTGAGGAAATTGCAACAGGGAATCTATCGCAGAGAAAACAATCCTGCTAGCAAATATTTTGATAACCAGAGTCCAGCAGAAGCTCTGGCACGTCTGAAGACACTTCGACCTTCCTTTCCAGTCTTGCTCGTGAAATTTTACGTGCAAATTGAAGAAAACTACAACATTACATCAATCTCAACAGTTTTGCCAAGTCATGTGGCTGGAGCAATCAGTGTGATGGTCGATAATTATTCGAAATGGCGATTAGAAAAAAGCTTAAGAAGAATTGATGATGCACTAAATTTTATAGTTTTTCTCACGGAGGTGCCCTAAGTTACTTTGATGGCTAAGCTGATACTGACCTACAAGCTATTTAGTCTTTATGGAATAGAGAGACTTTGCTTCAAGAGAAAGGAATTGTCAAACTGTCGAATGATTTGGTCTTTTGTAGGATTTAGAATAGTATTTGAATAGTTGTGTTTTGTTGGAAATAAGCTTGTTGTGTCTTAGGTATACTAGCCCTTGTTGATTCAGATGCTTCTGAATGAAGAAAAGACTATAGTAGAGGAATTGCATTAACTCAGTCAATCGACGAAGCATGATTTTGGTCCAGGTATTTATTCGCTTGCCATATACACATTGAAGAATATTGCATAAAGAGCTGAAGAAACACAAAAGGATTTATATCTTTGTTTCATCAATTATACAAAGTCATTTGACACCCTCAACTATGAAGAACTAACGAAAATCCTCCAAAAACTAGATGTGGTTGGTAAGGAACTAACAAATCATCAAAAACCTCTATTGGTAACAGACGGTGGCCATCAGACATGATGATGAAATAGGGCAACCTGTAAAGATAAAGGTGTAGAGAGGGGAGTGCGTTAGGAATGTGTTTTCTTCAGACCTATTCTCAATCTGTAGTGAATACATCATGAGAGTAATAGATGAACTTCCAGGAATTAAGATTAATGATAACATCATAAATAATATTCGACTTGCAGATGACACAGTGTTAATTGCGACATCAGAAAAAGATCTGTAAATACTAGTAATTATAGTAAAAAAGAAGAAAGAGGACTGAGTCTCAGTGCCGATGAAACGAAGACAATCGTGGTATCTAAGAGAGCAGAAAATCTCAAATGCATCAAGAAGATAAAAAAATACAAAGTTAGAGCAAGTAAGTACCTTCAAATACCTGGAAACTAAAATTAGTAGCGATGGAAGATCAATCACTGAAATTAAGAACAGAATCGCACAGACAAAGAAAGCTTTCACAGACATGAAGAAAATGCTGACCAACCAAGGGATCTCCATTACAACAAAAATCAGAGCACTGAGATGCTACATAGAGCCCATTCTAACCTATGGATGTGAAGCATGGACGATCAGCAAATCAGTGGAAGCAAAAATCAACACTGAAGACGTGTATTTCTTAAGAAGAATGATAAAAATGTCATATACAGAAAAAGTTACCAATGAAGAAGTGCCAAGAAGAACGAAGCTTGAAAAACACGCAGGTTTCTTTGATCACATAATGAGACGAACTCCAGCACATGACTACAACAGGAAATCAGGAAAGGAAAAAAGGCAGAGAAGGCAAAGGGACAAACACATAGATGGTCAGTGTAAGTGACTAGCTGCTAAGTCGGCCAAAGAAGATCGAAAAGGTGGATCGTGAAAAGGAGGAAATAGAATTCATAGAGTGCTGGATGGAGAAAGGTGGAAAACCATGATCTTCACAGCCTGTGAGTATGACACCTGAAGAAGAATAAGAAACGGTTCAGAGGTTTCTTGAAATTTTTTTTGAACTGCCACTGGTACAGAAAACCCAATAAATCGTAGATCTAATTGAATTAGGATTATAAAGCATCATATATCATGACAACGTCAAAAAATCTCTTTTTACTGATCCAAGAGCAGATAGAGTACCACTATTATTTCACCATATATGTGGAGGACTTTGAATTTTTTCCAAATTACTCTCAACAATGCATTGTGGACTCCAGTAAAACACAAAATCAAAATACATGCGACTCTCCTAAGATGAACTCTTCAATTTCGTTCCTTTAGCAACCCTTTATAAGGAACAAATCCTTGAAAATCGCGTTTAGGATATTAAATACGGTACGTAAAGCCATGGATTACATCGAATTGATTTGAAATATTTTTCATGCACATTTAAATAATTTTATATCATTAGTTATTATCGTGAGCCTTTCTGCTGCAAGCACGTGTAGGTATGGCTGTATGGAGCACAAGAAGGGTTGAAAATTTGCATATCAGGCACTCATAGAGCAACTTCCAGGCCAAAATCTAAGGACATTATTTGAGGTTGCAGGCTCCCAAGACCTCTCTCAAATGCTTTGAACCCAATTTGGCAGTAAAATTGCAGATTTATATCAATAAAAAAGTTTGCATAGAAAGCAGCCTTATCCTTATCAATGTTATTCCTTATGGTTTAGCAGAGACAGCACTTTGAAAAATAACAAGTTCACTAGTTTATTTATCCAAGTTAATTTTCTTTATGCTTCATCCAAATTCGCCTCATGTCCAATAAAGCAATTTCAATTTGACGTAACAATCGTCTGGAGCCGGCTACCGCACAGTATAAAAGGGTTGTAATGATTAAATGACTCATGCTTCAGATTTTACAACTGTGAGCATCGGTGCATTCCACTTGTGGATTTGCACTTTGTTTTGTGTTTTTGTGTTACTTACGAGCACACAACACGACGGAATGGCGAGTTTCAGTGCGGACGGCAGTGTCCGCTGTTGGATATGCATGAAGAACGGCGAGAACCGGTTTTTCAACGGTCATGCCGCGCGGAAAGTTCATGAGGAGACGGTGCATGCACCACGTTACTCCCAGGACAATAATGCAAACGCAGATGCAAGTTTTCGTTGGTATACCAAGGAATATGCATCTCAAACTAACAATTTTAGCGGTAAGTACGTGTTTTGTTATTAATTCAAATTTCATTTTGACTCACGAACGTTAATTCATATTAAGATTAACAATGTAAGTCAATAGTTTTCATCCTATCCGATAAAAACTTGATAGCAGTATGTATTATACACATTAAATTGATTTTTACTTCCTATACAACAACAGCCCTTTGAACAACCAAATATTTGTATCAATTCGTAAACATTCATATTAACTTGATAAAATTGAAACAAAATGAAAGCAGGTAGGAAACCTTTGCATAGACACCACAGTGTCGAATTTTCGAACGACTGATAAACAATGGTATTTGATTTTAAAAGATATTAAGATAACATCAATTTTATTAACATAATAGTTTTCTATATTTCTACATTTTCATGCAACTAAGAATGATGACTATTTGGAAATGTTACCAAACCACAACGCGAATCTTCTACCCATTGTAATAAAATTGTAACATTTTCTTTCAATTTAGGGTATCATTCAAGGAACAGATCAATGCCTACAAAGCTAGGCAGAGCATGTTTCAATCAATTTGAAAATCTCAAAAGGAAATTGTATTTCCAAGACGAGAGAGCAGAAGATACCCCTGAAGGCCGTCATTTGGCTAAGGTTGATCAATGGCTTGAAAACGGACCAGATATTCGAGAATACGAGATCAAGTCACTTAACACGAGGTAAATCCCTTCATTTTAGACATTTTTGCAGCAGCTATGAACACATATTACAGTATATTATGATTTATTCGATTTTGATTGACTAAACATTATTTACACAGAGTGGAACAAGCTCAGGATGAGATCAACGCTAGAAAGGCGGTCATAAAGAAGTTGCAAGCAGATCTCGATCATGCCCAAATGACACTGACTGAATCTCAGGTCAAAGAGACACATCTGCAAGAGGAGCTTGAAGCAGCTAAAAGGCAGCTAAAGAAAGCTACAAATGAGCATCATCGTGCAATTGGTAAGTAGAATGACAATCATTCGACAGTTATAGGCAAAAGATTTCAGAATAATTTTTTGTTTCGTCAATCATGTATGGTCATGAAAGAAATGCCAGCTTCAAATTACTTCAAGTCTTCTTTTGAATAAGATGGGATTTGAGTAAGCTGGATATGTTTTTACAAAGAGATAAACAAGACTTTGGAACAGGTGACAAGCGCCCATGATTTTTGGAATACAATCTGTTCGCTAAAACAGCTTCCTTCACCACTTTTCGAAAAGAGCCATTTTGTCTGAGTCTCCTTTCCCAACTTGATCCCTCATAAATTGAAGTGCTTCTATGTCCTTACATTAAATGTTAGCAGGATTCCAATAAAATGTTAATTTTGCCCAGTCATTTGAATATTTCATTCCGATTGAATTTTAGGGGTCATTGAACATGAAAGGGAACAGCATCTGCAAATGCAGCAGTCGATGGAAAGTCGTTTAAAGTCACAAAAGTTGCAGATAATTAAGCTACGAGAAGAACTTGACAATGAGAAGATGGTGAGTTTTGCAATTCTATACTACAATCTAGTTGCATCATTGTAAAAATGGTAGGGCCACAGCCTAACAATAGTTCATAGTTTATATTCAACTTCAGTCATTGCAAAAAGAACTTGGAATACCCAGCTATATGCGTTGTGTTTTTTATTTTTCATTTCTTTTCCCAAATACTCCTACTTCTGGATCCCCTCCCTCCTAAACAATGTTGGTAATTTAGAAAAAAAATGTCATAAAATTGAAAAAAAAACGTACCTCCTAATTCCCTTCGTCGTTTTATGGAACACCATCAATGTTCAAAAGGGGAAAGAAAATTGCTGAATTTGCCCTTGAAAACTGATGTTAGTGTATCAAGGCATTAAGCAAGCATTGTACCTTGTTGTTCCTTGTGAAAAGAACTTAAGATCTAAAGACCGAATTCCCCTTGCATTCAGGTGTCAAAGCAAAAGGAAAATGAATGCGAAGAGCTTATTGTAATCAAGCGAAAAATGAAGCAAATAGAACAAGAGTTGATGGTGGAAAAACGCTTGAAGCTAGAAGTCAAACAGAGCAAAGAAGAATTTCAGGCTGAGATTGACGAACTGCTGTTAGAAAATGAAGAAATAAAAAAGAAGTTAAGACAATGTCATCATGATCTTGAACGACTTCATGACGAAAACAGATCTCTTGTCTCCGATTATAACTCCATGATGGACAGAGGCAATATCATAGAGGCTGAACAACAGCTTCGTTTGATGCAAGAACTCATGGAGGAAAAATTTGAAGAGGTGAGAGCTAATTTTGTCAACGAAATTGAAAGATATCAATTTGAAGCTAAAGAATTCAAGCAAAAGTTTGAGCAAACTACTGCAGAATTAGAAAAAACACAGTCTGAATTGGAAGCAGCTATTTTGTACAGGCAGGATGACATTGACAGACTTTTGAAAGAAAAGCAGGCCCTGAAAGTCGACCTTAAGAGCAAAAAGACAAAGCTGCAAAGCTTAGAAGCCTTAAATGGTGAACTGACCAGGCATCTAAAAGAAAAGAAAGGGCACCTAAGTTATTTTCAAAATCTCACAAACTCCAAAGACAGCAATGGGAAGCTCAATACCTCTGACACACAGGTATTAGAGAAATGCATGGAGATCGAGCAGCTGCAGAAGAAAGTGGAAGAGCTACAAGATATAAATCGTTGCGAAGAAACATCAAAGCTTAAAGAAGAGTTGCAACTAACAAAGAATGACCTACTTGTCAAAAATCAGGAGATTGAAGATCTTAATAAGAAAAATGAAGACCTCTGTCACCTTTTAGAGGAGTTCCAAGGAAAGCTGCAGCAAAAAGGAATGAGCCATCAGAAGTATGTGCAGGCAACAAAGGAACAAGACAGAATAAGTCTTGCTAAATCTGAACAAGAGAACACTTCCTTGAAAAGAAAATTAACAGAGACAGAAGTTCATGGACAGTCTCAATTGAAAGAGCTCTTAGATATGGAAGAAAAGTACAAAGAGTTAACAGTGAAGCTTGAAAACAGCATCGAGCGGGAGAAGTTTGAGTCAGTCAGAGTTGAACTAAACAAGCAAAGTTCTAAGATCGAGAGTTTATTGCATGAGAAAGAAATTCTTCAATTGACTTTTAAGGAAGAGCAAGACGATCTTAATGACAAGTTAGACAAAGTTTTTGAAGCCAACGTTGATCTAGAGAGGAACTGTATTGACTTAGAGGCTCATCTGGAAAAGAAAGAAACAACAATAAAATCATTGGAAAAATCTTTGGAGGAAATGCAGGAAGGTACCAAGGTAACAGCCTCTATGGCTGATGAGAACAAAAGACTTAAGGGTGACCTCACGAAATCACACGATGAAGTTGCTACTCTCACGGCACAAATTGTGAAGCTAGAGAAAGACTTTGAGGCAAAGGAAAAGGTGCAACAACGCGCTTGAAGGATATCAAGGAAAATTTTCAGAAATTTGAAAAAGAAAAGGTAGCTGCTGAAGGGCAAGTATCAGATCTAATTAAAAAGATTGAGCAAATACATGCTGATATGCACAAAAAGGAAGAAAATTTTCGAAAAGAAAATCTAGAGTTAAATGAGCAGCTTCAACAAGCAAGGTCAAAAGAAAAGAAGCTTGTGGAGGACAACATGAATCTTAAGGAAAAGGTTGCAACACAAACCGACATTGTTAAGGATCTTGATAAAACCATCGAAAAGTTACATGAAGAAAACAGAGAGCTAAATGCTGCCAAATCATCGATAGTGAAAATAAATGATCGCGTTAAGGAGTTAGAAGGCAGCTGCTCCAGTTTAAAAGCAGAGTTGAAATCAAAGAAGGAAGAAATTAGACAGTCTTATGCAAAGCAAGCTGACTTGTTTAAGAAGATCAAAGACCGAGAAAACACTTGTGACATACTCGAGAAAAAACTTTCTGCAGCCGAAGAGCAAGTCAAACAGCAAACAATGCATTGGCAAAGCAGCTCTGAAAAAGATTTAGAGCAATCTAAATCAGCAATTGATGAGCTGACAAAGAGTAAAGAAGAACTGGTTATGGAAAACAAGAAACTGAAAGATCAGATAGCCAATTGCGAGCAAAAGCAAATGAGTCGTGCAATAATTTCTGGAAAAGAAAAGGAGCTATTAGAAAAGCTTCAAGAGCTGTCTTTGAAACTCGAAGAGATGAAGGAAAGAGAAAAGCAAATCCAGAAGCATAACTATGAGATCAAAAAGACACTTGATGCAAAAGATCTTCAGCAACAGAAGCTCAAGGAAGAAGTTAAAGCTCTCAACTTAAGGCTAGAAGACAAGGAATATGAGAATAATGATGTCATATCTAGTATGGATACTTTGAAGAAAGAAGCTGAGGACTGGCAACGAAAATTTGATGATCTTGCCTCTACTTTGGCCGATACAGAATCTAATATTGAAATAATTGCAAAAAGGTCAGCAGAAAAAGAGAAAGATTTGGAGACACAGAGGCAACACATAAAAGAAGAACTTGAAACAGCAAAGTTTAGTCTGAAAGAGAAAGAGGCAGAACTTCTTTTGATGAAGAAAAGAAGTGAAAACAACGAATTGTTGTCAAAAATTGTCGATAAAAAAGGAGAAAAAATAAAAGCAAAAAATCAAAGCATCCAAGAGCTTGACAAAGAGAAAAGAAAATTAGTCGATGAGGTGAGAAATTTAGAAAAGATAGTTAATGAATTAAAGGAGAAGATAACAAAATTTGAAATGGAAAACAAAGAATTTAAACAAGAAAAAGAAATGTACGAAAGGGAACAGGAGAAGCAAAAGACAACATCTCGGATTCTTAAAAACACAGAGAACGATTTAGAGAAAGCATATGATGAGATTCATGAGCTAAAATCCGAGAAAAAAGAATTACTTTCCAAGTGTAAGCACCTTCAAACAAAACTCAGTCAAGTGGAGAACCATCAGACAATAGAAGCTGAAAGGTAAGAAGAAACATAGATCTTCTGGAATATTATATCTAAATTCAGGAATGTTATAAAGTCTTTTGAATTCATGTTTCTCTTTATGTTTTTGTATAAATTTCGTAAAAACTGTAAAAAGCCATGGGGAGGGGGGACTAATTGATATTTTAGGGTTTAGAAGTTACCAAGATGATGTCAATGAAAATGTCTTCATCTTTATAATGATAACCTGGACTAATTGACAAGTCTTGTTAAAAAATGACAGGGGTCTAAGAAAGGGGGTCCTATTTCAAATTTTGCTTCACAATTTTGAAAAAGAAGGGAATACTGAATAGGAATCCCTAGTCTATATTCCAATTATTAAATACTATCTACGCCATGACATGATAAAATTTTTAGCAATCGTATGTGACTATTAATACCTTTCTAAATATCAATCTACCGTAGATTGACTAACCTTTATAAAAATTCTTAAAAAATCACACATTTCAGCTCTAAAGAAAACTTGGCCAAGGAAGAGAGTTCTTCCAGCAGTTATGAATCAGATTTTGAAGAAGACAGCCAGTCTTCTGAAGAGAGAAACGATGAAGATAAAACAAGATCCGTGGAAGAATGCGATTCTGATAAAGACAACTCCACAGGAAAATCTTGTGAAGAGGAAGGTGTGACTTTTGATGACGATCACAATATTTGGGACATGATACCCGACAAATCATCTACCACACCACTGGAGAATTCAAATGCAGTCTTTCAAAGGAATCTTTCAAATGGTAAGACCAGTGACAGGAAAGCAAGGTCTGAGTTGCAAAATGGCGTAGAAAAGTGGCCTAAGGTAACGGAGAGGGACCAAAGCAAAGACCAAAGTCCTGAATCTGAAGAAATAATGAAGTTTGAAGAAGAATATACTGTTTTGGAGGACATTAGCGTAGAGAAAGACTGCCTTGCCAATCATCTCAGTGAATATGGTCACGTTGAGGCTATAGAGCCACTAGAGAAAGATGAAAAGCAAGATGAAAGAATTGGATATAACCTTGTCAAGAACTCCACTGCAGCTACCAAATGCACTGATGAAGTCAAACCTTACGAAAGTCAACCTGCAAAAAGAGGAAACCGGAGAAAAGATGAACATAAAGAAGGTCAGGACAAAACCTCACTTTTTGATGACTTAGGAATATAAGAACTGCAACTGGGAAATCAAAATTTGTGGTTGTATACATATAGTCATTATCATTAACACAAATGTTGATATCTGTTAAAAGCTAGTGCTATAATGGCACAAGGGCAGTTTCCAGGCTGCTTTCCTTATTACCAAGTCTATTCGACAGCGAATTATTCAAAAATTTGAAAACATTTAAGTTTGAGTTCAACTATCTTTAATTGATTGTTTTCTATAAGCGGTAAAATGGGCTTATTAAAAGAAACTCAAATGGCATCAGTTTTTCACATTGGCAATTTCAAATTTCCTTTGTGATAGGTATTGGTTCCAGCAAGTATTGCATCGATGATGAAGAAGATGACATGCTCAGCTCGTTCGTAGCGAAACAAAAGACAAAAAAGACAAAATCATCTTCAAAGATCATAAAAATCCCATCTAAACAAAAGCAGATGGCTAAAGATTTGGGTTTTGACGACGATGTTGAAATCGAAGATCTGATATCAGACATCGAAACGAGCGACGAGAGCCAAAGCAAAGGTGACAAAAAAACCAAAAAAGCCATTGGGAGTACCAGCTCAGTTGATGGATCAAGCCCCTCAGATTCAGGCAGCGATTCAGACACTGGCTTAAAACCACAGCAAAGTGGACTTTTGTTTAGTCCATCACTTGCGTCACCAAAACCACTAGGAAGAAACATGCTGTTACCGGCACTTGGGGCAAAACCAAGATCGTTGCCTCCTCTTCGCAGCTTGAAAAAACCAACATTTTGATAAACTTAACTCTCTATTTACTAGATATGTGAATTTTTAATACCTCAAATATTTCTAAATGGCATTTATGAAGATTTTGACACGAGAATGATTTTTTGTATCAAAGATTTCCAAATTAATAATTCGTGACTCTTTTTTGCTAATGTCTTGATTTTTTATTCATTTGTCGCAATATTACGCGGTTGACTATTCGGTAGAAGTTTGGGGTACAATTCTACAACAGGAATCGGAAAAAGGAATCAAGGAGCAATAAATGAAATAGAAAAAAAGGATACAACTGAAAACCACGTTTAAGTCACGGTCTGTACATTTCTTCAACCTAGTTTGAACAGTCAACTCGGAATGAGATCCAATGGACTTTCAAATGTGGTGAAACTGGGATGGAAGTTAATATGAAGAGAGGTCATGTCCCTCAGATAGAAAAAAATTTTTCGCATCAAAACGATGCAGTGAGCAAGCCAGGCAATGTGTATTCGTTAGTTTTTGTTTTGAGGCAAGCCAACTCAAGTGCAATGAAAGCTCTCTACATTAAGAAAGTCTTGTCTTTTCCCAACTAAATGGGACATTCTATCTGAATTGGACATCCTAAATGCATGAGACATCCCACTAGAATAGGTCATCCAAACTGAGTAGGTCATTCAGGTTCTAATTGATGGTAATAATGATAATTTTTAAACCAGTTGTCATTTCATTTTGCAAAAACAATGAACACTTACATTGAAAAAACTATTGATAAATGCAAAAGACATTGTACACAAGCATGCTGATGTAATGATTATGATTGTAACAATAGGGCACAAAAAATTAAAAATAAGGGCCGTTGATATTTTGTTGATGACAAAAGTGGTGATGAGGTTTATAATGACAATAAAGATTCTAGTGGTAAGGTGATATAGTGGAGATAGAATACTAGATGGAAAGAAGCTCTGGGTTAGGCCAATGTTTGTTTCTTTAGCAGAATATAGAGTAGGCGAATCAAATTATAATAATAATAAGATAAAGAAACAAGACTTAATTCATAGATTGGTATAGTTTTTAAAGACTTCCTTGTGATACGATCCCACAATATAAAAACTTTGTTAGTTTAGCTGACAAATTTGCACTGTAAATGTTGAGCTAATTTTATGTGACTGATTAATTAATGACACAGAACTGCATTTATAGTTCATCCATCACAGATGTTATGGGCATTTTAAAGCTACTTTGAAAACATATGTCTCTGTAGAGGGTTTTGTAAGATTTGATTTGCCAACCCAGAAGATAACTTGCTCCCAATTGCACCCAAAAAATTAGATTACTTTGCATAAGACCTAACAGGAATGAAACATTTTTTAAAAAAAACAGCCTGTATCTACATTGAGGCCAATCATAAACTCTGGAAAATGATGGGAGCAATTCCATCAATCAATCCGAACACCCTGATTGCATGTTTAAAAGAATTTCGTCAGGCAGTCCCCAAAATGTAAGGCAAAAAAATTTGCCAGTCCCTAAATCAAAAGAGGTAGTGAAATCAACCCTGAACCTGAACTCAACTGTAACTGGTGAAGGGGATACTACATCTAGCCATTTGCAGATGATTCACCTGATTTAAAAGCAAGTCTTCATCCAGAAAAGGGTTTTACAAAGCAAGGCACAAATTCAGAGAACGCTCAAATTAATCAATATAGTTTCAACTCTAATCAAAGGTAATTAACAAACTATTTTGCATAATTTATTACTTCTAAAAAATCAAGTCAATATGGAAATGTGATAAATGATAAAACTAAATTACAAAAATATTCAATATAAATGATTGTTGGAAGGTGATACCACTTAGTCTTTTTATGCAATTATAATTACCTATTTCAATTTTACTATCACAAGCAGGATATAATACAGAATTCTAATACATTTAAGGTAGCTCTATTAGTAATCAAATCTGACTTTCAGCAGCATAAATTCAGTTGTACACATAAAAACATGCAATGTTAACATAGCCTTTAAGGTGCCAAGATGGCAAATGTTTGTATTTGTCTATATTCTAATCATAGAACTCATTTGACTTGGAATACATACTACAACCTACAACTGTACATTTTCATTCAAAAAATACTTTAGTTCTAACTAGCATTACAACTACACATAATTGCTGATCTTCTAGTTTCTTGTGCACTAAGAATTTGAAAATAACTACAAACATAAATGTTAAACATTCAGCCTTTTTCATTAAAATATTATTTAAAAAATATTACGGTTTTAACTACCTACCACCTTTCACAAAGCAAAAATAAAGAACAACTTTATTCATAAAATTCATGCAACAAAATCAAAAAACAATATCAAAAATTTGTGCCAAAAACCTAAATGACTATATATATACTTAACATCTATTACAGCTAAAAGTTATTCACCTACTGGATGTATGTTTTGAAAACAAATCATTTCCAGAGAGTTCAACAAATTTTAAAATTACCTCAGGCACAGCATTAAATGGCAAAAAATGATGTTTCTGGGCAGGCTCAGGTGGAGCTTTCTGCAGCCTTTTGGGAATCATATTGAACAAAGTCTGCTGACAATTTCCACAGCTTCTCGGCTACCTCTCTGTTCATTGATTCCTGGGAGCTATCAACAGCACTGCAATCAATGAAATATTTTCCACCTACTCCTTGAAGACTATCATCGGTTGCAACATATACAATAGAATCTGCAGCTTTTGATGCAGAACGGGAGATAGGAAAGCACCGTAAAATACCTCTAAAACATGCAATCACCAGGCATCTAATGATTTGGTTCTTACGATTGAGTCGTGTTTGAGGTACAAAGCCTGGGGAAACACAGTTGCAGGTAAGCCCTGACCCATGAACGTTTCTGTCCAACTCATAGCTAAACAGGACATTTGCAAGTTTTGAATTCTTATATGCCAGCATAGCATCAAAAGTTCCTGGAGCAAGAAGCTGTATATTTTCAAAGTCCATAGTTGGAAATTTACTCCCTCTGTGACCTTTTGAGCTTGGGTTATGCAGTTCTGAAGAAACAACAATAACTCTGGAATCAGGACCACTTTTCTTCAGATCATCCAGCAGTAGCAGGGTGAGCAAGAAATGTCCCAAATGGTTCACTCCAAATGTCAGCTCAAAGCCATCTCCAGTGAAAGTTGGTGACTCATCTCTTATATTGCAAATTGTGGCTAAAGACAAAAAATAAAAATTTACCAAATTTTACAAACTTTTTTATAATTTTAATTTCATTACCATAAGTCCTTGAAAAAGCCCTGAGGGCTCCATTTGAGCCTTCTGATTAGTTTTGTAGATATACATGTAGAAGTTACATAGAATTATCAAAGCATACTCCAGAGATTTGCAATTTAACAGACCTTTCACCTGTGAAAGAAATGATTTTGAGAATAATTTTCAGGTATGCAAAGATATGAAGTTGGCCACCATTTGTCATTAAATTGAACTGCGTGACATAGTAGAGAGCATTATCACGGCAGTTTAGAAACCTAACCGCAATATTATAACATCTGTTGTGTGTACGAAGTGTTACAATGGCAAACAACAGATCCAGTTTGCATAATAGAACACTGTGTGACAAGTTGTATACATAACATCGTTTCATCCTCTGTTCATCGGCTCTGCGCGTGGACCAGTGGGCACACTTGATTTCAACTACACCATGAAAATAGGTTTGTGTGTGTTGTTAATGAAGAATGTTAGAAAAATCTTACAGTGCGTAAACAATTTTTGCTGCAAATTGGATATCCTTTGGAGAAGTGTCAAATACATTTACGTAGACAGACAGTGAATGGTTTCCTTACCTGCGTTGTTTATTAGTACGTTAAGCTTCTTTCCTGTTTTATGAAAATTATCAACAAATGTCCTGACAGATTTCAGTGATCCTAAATCAAGCTGCATGAAAGAAACGTCGCATTCTGGTATTTGCTGCCTGATTCTTGCAACGGCTGCATTGCCTCTGTGGGCGTCTCTACAGGCGAGAACAACTTCGTAATCAAGTGCTGCCATTTTCAAAGCAGTTTCAAAACCGATTCCACTATTTGCACCAGTAACGATGCAAACTTTGGCACTCTCAAGAGCAACATCGTCGAGAGTTGTTCCTCTTCCCCTCTGCAGCAGTCCAATTTGTGATTTCGAAGCCATTTTGCTTGCAGGCCCTTCGGTGATGCCAAGCCCAACCTAGTCGAGGGTCAAGGCTCCTTCGCAGATACGTAACCTATTTGCAAGAACTTCTACAAATTAATTCATCTATCAAAGGTGATTTCAATTGACAAATTGTCAATTAAAATCACCTTTGAAGTATGAATTAAATGACAATTAAATGACATTATGAAATTTAATATATGACTAAATTACATAAAAAGATCTGAGATAATCATGATTAGGGTCCATCAAAACAGAGCCCGGTGTGTCATCTCACAGTATGTCCTAGATATGTGACAAAATTGAACCCTTTTTTCAGAGATATTGAAGACACGGATGCTTACACTTGACAATAAGAGTGGACCCGCCGGGTAATAGAGCTACAATGACAGGCACCGTGGAGCATTGAGAAAAGTGGGGGGGTTTAAAATGTGGGAAGGGGGCTAAAACCGTATAAAATAAGGCTTTACTGGTAGTTTATTTCTTAACATTTGGCATCTTTTTGCAAAAATTGGGGGGCTAAAGCCCCCAAGCCCCCAAGCCTCCCAGCCCCCTTTTCCGCAGTGCCTGAGTGACAATTGAAGTCGACAATATAACTAGCGCAAGAATAAAACCTTGAAGTTAAAAATCTTATTCGAGGAAGGGTAAATATATAGCTAATTGCAAAAATAAAGAAATTGCCAATGATCAGGACGTATTATTTAACAAGAGCCTTTTGGATCATCAACCAGATGAAGGGGGTTTGTGTTCCTATTCATTTGGTTGGTGGACTTGCTCCAAGTCTATTTCGTGCTTGAGAGAGGAGTATTTGTTTCCCTCCTGTGGACGCAATTCTATTTGGTTGGTTACCATCTTGGAAAGGCGAAATTTAGCAAAGTGCCCCCTTCTTTTTGGTATAATGGACATATTAAGAGGAAATGAACTTCATTTAATGAAGATGCAGGCAATACCTTTCAAATCTCGGTGTGTTGTTGGTCATTAACCATATTATGACATTAAATATAAACGATTATTTGTTCAAACTACAATTTCATTAGTAAAACGCATGGCTAATTTACCTAGCCAAAAATATCGATACAGTATCTGTCTTTTTGACTAATCCATCAAATGAATCCCATGGTAGTCTATTCTCTAAAAGTAAGCAGTCAAATCTGACTAATTTTTACAGACAAAAACTGATAAAATAACTAGTGAAATACAAGGAAATTTCATTGTCATGATCAAATAAAGGAAATGGGACTAGATGAATAGGTATGTGCACTGCCAATAAGAACACGGATAATAAAAACTTGAATCTAACATTCAGCAAATCAAATTACACGTTTTTTTGTTCATAGTTCTTGAAGTTCCCTATTTTGGACAAATTCTTTTTTTGGACAATTGTAGTACTGAAAGTTCCTTAATGGCCTTAATGTTTTATTAATTTAACTGCACATTTTGTGCCATGAAAATTGAACATAATACATTGAAATCAGTTCCCCTAGATTCTTAACTGCTGCTAGAAAACAAGTTGAGGAACAGAAAGAAAACTAAAAAGATATAAGAAAAATGTGAACAATTTTTTTGCGGTACAGAATTTGAAAATGGCTTTGAAAAAAGCAAACATTTTTGCAATAAAACACTCGATAGCAACTTTCGTAACACATAATTTTTTGTGATTTGTATGTCAAAATGAATTGAACCGGCTCCCTAGTTCTTGATTGTTTGCGATTATAAAAATATTCAAAAATTAAAGGCTATTTAGGGTCTAAGGATTTTGACTTTAGTACTAACGGTTCTTGAATTTCATCTTCCTTCTACATGTAGGTTCCTTATAAAGTGGTTCCTTATAAAAAAGCGTCTATTAAATACGTATAGGCAAAATGTTTGACAAATCTTGGTAGGCAGCAAACAATATATGTTTTTAAGACCCCGTTTACACTGTGCCGGATAAAATTTATCCGCATAAAAGTTGTTCGGATTGATTTGCGTTTACACTGTGCCGCACAAATTTTGTCCACTTTGCCCTCCCGTTGACACTGAACTAGCAACGAAAGTAGGGAAAGCTGACAAGGATGCCAATTTTACGTGGACTGGCAAGATACTGCACTTTTAACACGAGTATTTATCGACAACAAGGCAGCCAAGATGGCGAAAGGTCTTGATTGGGAGACAGTGAAAACTAAATAGGAAGAAATAACCAATCGCTTTCGAGCAAGATACGATGTGGTTAAAATTTATCCGGATAAAAGCGTTTACACTGTACCACATAGCTATCCAAATTAAATTAATCCACTTTCCTAGGTGAACTAATTTTGTTCGGATAGCCGCTCTTAAATTCGTGCGAATAGCGTGGGTCTAGTGTAAACGCGACGTCTATCTGAACTAATTTTGATGCGGATAAAATTTATCCGGCACAGTGTAAACGGGGTCGAAGTGTAACCCCAAGTATTACTAGCGTTTGGTAGGACCAGCCTTTGGGGAGAACAGAGCGACATTTATAAAGCATTGCTAACAAGGAGATTAATCCATCACAAATTCATTTTGGGCCGACCTTTTTAGTCACCTTTGGCGTGGCGCCCTAACGTCCCTCTGATGTGCGCCCTTGGCATATAGAACTTTCAAGAGGCAAAAGGGGAAATAATGTACACCCTCATTTTTGTAAGAAACTAACGTACGGGGCTTGTAGGCATTTTGCTACCAAAAGTTCATACATATTTCTTCATTTTCTCGGTAATGCACCCATGGTAAAGAAAATAGTATGTCTCTTTCTCGAAGGCCCTGTGGAGTGTTTCAGTATACAATGGTGTTCAAGATCAAAACTCTTTTGTGTGACTGGTAAATTTCTATAAAAATTTTCTACCAATTACAAAAGTTTCTCAGGTATCATATAGAGCTGTTACTAAACTTTGAGCTTTTAGTTTTTGAACAAAATGCGAGTACTGTTATGCAAAAAATTGTGTAATCGAATTGAATGCATTTAGAAACATCAGAACTTACATCGGAAGAATCTTGGCAAAAGAGTTGTAACAAACCTTTAATAGAAGCTAATCAAAGAGTGAAAACAACACCGGCGCACAGGAAAAGCTTCAAGAGAACGAATTAAAAATATTTACCCATATTGATAGGAAATTCTATCTTCGGTAGTCAAAATATCGGTTTTACATCCTAAAGAAGGATGAGGGCGAGTTTCAAAACATTGTTGAAGTCATAATAAAGTATCCATGAAAAACGGCTTTGAAGTGAAACATTTTAGCCGAATGTTATATTTACATTCAAATGCAATGAAAAAACATGTTTTTTGGTTGAATTAATTTTTGTAAGAGTAAAAGCCTGCTTATTATACAAATTACTTTTATCTCGTTGTTATACTGGAAGATGAAAGAAGCTTACATAAAATATGATTTTGCTTTGAAGGTCGAACGCTAAATATCAGCCCTTTGACATTATTGAAGCATCTAGAACAAAGGACTCTTTGATTCGACCAACATTTAACATCGATCAGATGTTTCAATTTGACGGTCGGTTCAGATCTTTAAAATAATTAACAAGATATGTCCTGAGAGTCTGCACGATAAATTTGCTGAAAGATCCACGATAAGCAAGTATGGTACAGGAAACATTAAACAAGATTGATCTCCAAATCCCAAGGCTAAATTTATGCTTCAGTAGAAAAATTTATAATTACACTGGTCTAAAAACCTGGAATTCTATCCCAAAACACATAAAAGAGTCAAATACAATAACCCTGTTTAAGAATGGGTTAAAATGTCATTTCCTAAGCTGAAGAAAAATATTTCCGCAGGAATCCAAGGAGGGAACATTACTGGTTTTTAAATCCGTTTATTCAAATTATCAACTGTATTTATTAATGCACTTTATTTGTTACACGATGACGTCAAAATATTAACTTTAATTTGTAATTAGAATTTTTATAATTGATACTGAATGGATGTCGTAATTAAATAATTATTAAATAAAGACTTATGAATTTGCTCGACATATAAGGTCTTAACCAAGTTATACATGGCCTCTTATGCTTTACTCTTTCTTCCGAGTTTTCGAGTTTTCGAGTTTTTTTCTTCACTTTATTTTGAGTTGGTAAACGTTCACTACTACCTATACTAAAGCTAATTAAAACCAACTAAATATATTACCAATAACCGAATCTAACAACGCAACAAAAATAGACGAATAACTAATAAGATACATCAATTTAAAGTAAGTTCCCTATCATTTTATATAGCCCACTTGTCTTATAGATGGCTTACAAATGCGTCATGAACAAGAAATCGCAAGCATAATTTTGATACTTGCTTTAAAGGTTTTTATTTTGGAGCTTGAGGTCATTTCTGTGGGAATCGAGTTCCATACTTCTAGCGAAAATCAGCCCCTCCTGAGGTTATAGGGTGATTCAGTTATGCTAAAAGTATCTTCCATGAAACTTGGGTTTTCGTGATGAATAGTTTTGTAAATTTCTGTTGCAAGTTGCTTTAAATTCCTTGTATGGATTGTAACCGTGTTTTTCTCTGAGCAGTAGTTGTTCAAAACTAGATGAAAAATCGCTATAGGCTATTCGCAATGCTTCTTCATGAATGTTGTTAATAAGTTTATTGTTTTTCGTAATACAATACATCCATACCAAGGAACAGTAATTGAAAAATGTCAAAACAAATGTTTTCATCAAAAGTTCTCTTTTATCTTCGTTTAAATAAGGCGCTATTCTTGCAAGTGCATTAATATTTTTCCTGCTATATTGTTACACCTATAAATTTCACTTTGTCTTCCTCTTTAACTATTTGGCTGTTTACATAAAAGCTTCATTTTTCAACATTGTTCGGATTTGCTGAAATCATCATAAGTTTGCATTTGTCTCCATTGAGCTGCATAGCATTGTCTATAAACCATTGGTTTATGATATTAATTTTGTGTTCTAGTTTAGCTGGTATGTCCTCCTTATCAGTACCTTCAATCCAAATGGTATTATCATTAGCATAGTTGCATAGTTTGTTTTGATCTAGGTTTATGAATATGCCATTAAAAAAATTGTTGAAAAAAGGGGACCAAGGACAGAACCTTGGGGAACACCCGTTTTTATTTCTTTTTATTCGCTAAAAATAACATTAATTTTTACCCGTTGAAATCGCCCTTGTAGTCTTGGATTAATAATAATGCATCTCTACTAAGTCCATAAGCATTTGTTATAATGAAATAAAATTTGGGTTTCCGCGACAAAGAAAGGGCGTGGTCTAACACTTTCCCAAGGACTGCGCTTATTACCCATTCCCACTCAGCGGCAACTAGTGTCGCCATTAGCTTTCCTGGGCACTGCCCCCCCCCCCACCCCAAGTGTACCAGCAGTACCGTATTTACCACTTTGCTTCAGGAGCTCTGTGCTCAGGGCCTAAAAATACTTCAAGCTTATTTTAGGGGCGTGGCTATGCACTAAAAGCATTTTTATGCGAGCAAGGTTTCTCCACCATTCGCTTTCAGTTTTATTAAAAAATGCAAAAAATTAAAGAATAACTAAGAATTTTTAAGTCCTTAAATTTGGCCGTCGGTTCAGGAATTTCAGTATTGAGCCAAATGCGTGTAACAGATAACATCAAGACAAGCAAGATGGTAACCCACATAGAAAGCTTTTTGGAACTCATTGCTAAGACATTTTTTTATGAAACACAAGAAAAAGAATTGCGTTTACAATGAAAAAACAGAGTTATTGTTCTCCTGTTAAAAAAGTACCAGAACCTAATCCGATTTGAAAGAGGCATACCTTTTCGTTAATAGATCTTGTATTTCGAGGCTCTGGCACCTGAATAATTTCCTCCGTAAGAATTTCTGCACCCAAGAATTGAAAAAACCTAAATCAATTTATAATTATTCTAATAAACCGATTTTTAAGTCTTTAGCCCATCGAATTGCTTCGTGGAACTAATCCAAGAAACTCTTTGAGATATGGCGTCACGATCAATATAATGCATGGAGAGGCCTATGCTTACGTTCTACTTGTCTCTTGCATTAGTTTTGTCATCCTCAATAGACACCTTTGAAGGTATTTTATAGTGTTACATAACATGTATTTAGGCAGTAAACAGCTTTTAATCTAGCTCTTTCAATAAAAGGAAGCTTTTGCTTTCTATGTGCTCGACTAACTATTCAAAGTCCTCGCTGTGCTTCTCTAGCCGGTCTAACATAATTTGCCCTAGTGACTCTGGCTTATAATTCGTGACTTTACCAGCGTCGGACGCAACAAGGGGAATGATTTTGAGGTCTATATTCGGATCATAAAAGAATGGAATAGAAAGTCTGTCTGTCGTTCCGTCAAGCATCACCCTGTGCATCGTTGCTTTGTATGAGCCACCACTCCAGCGTTCAAGGACCTGACCAATGTTAACGACAAAGTAACCCTGTGGTGGAATTTGAACATCGAGCCACACTCTTTTGCCTACATCCACTGACTTGTCCAAACAGACCTGAAGACCAGGCTTTCCGTCACCAATCAAAAGGGTAAACATTCCTGAGTCACAATGTGGCCTAATGCCATAGATTTCCAACGATGCGTCTGATCTCTCTGGAAAGTAATAAGTGAGGCCTAATAACCACGTTGGCATGTCAAAATACCCAGGCTGTTCAAAATAATTTTCGTCTAGTCCTAGTGATACGGCGAATACTTTTCTTAATGATGGAACAACTGTGCTGAGAACTTCATTGGTGTAATCCTGCATGATTTTCTTCCAACCAGGAAGCAGACCTTCCTCGGGCCATGGGGTCATTCCACTACCTGAATACCCTTTCGAAGTAACTGCACTTATTGTTATATCTGGACCCATATTATAACTCTCTCGTGTATCTGATTTGAAATTTGCGTCTTCAGACACCCCTCTGTAGCCACTGCCAGTTCCAGGAATGCTCTGACCGTTTACTTTCATCTGCGTCAAAACTGAATTGATTAACTTCTGCTTTTCGTTTGATGGCAACTTGAAAAACTGTTTTGCTGCCTCGATCACTGATGGTATAAACTGCTTGATACCATCTGGCATTTTGAGTAAGAAAAACCCGGTAGTCATGCATTCTTGCTTGATCAATGATGCAACTTCCTTGAGCTTAAACGGATCTTCATTCACACCAGAAATGTCAATTAACTTTAAAGAAAATGACTGTGCCATATCTACGAATATATGAACTATATAAGAAGAAAATACCAACTATGAAATTAAACAGGCAGTGAATTGAATCATTTTTATATTATTAAAAACGTAAATACTTGCAGCATTAAAATTCATGACGTATTCAGCTGCTGGACTTTCAGCAAAAAGTTTTGTTCTTTTATTTTTTATTTATCTATTTATTTATTTATTTATTGGTTTATTTATTTATTTATTTTCACTAACATCTAAATTTGATAACAGCGCTCTACGAAACAAAAAGCTGTTATAAGTGTGCGCAGTGCGTTTAGTCAAGTAAAATTAACACTAATGAAAAATAAAGCTACTAAAACGTAAGATGGGCGTAAAGCTTTTAGTTGGATAACACCTTCGGACTCGGATTAAACGACTATTTTTAATTTGACACAAGAGAGACAAAATGACGATATCTGGACGAATATCAAATTTGGTGGCAACTCACTACTGACTGTTTTAAGTTTTGCAACCTTGTAGCAGGAATAAAATGTTTTTTAAAATGAGCATAGGAAGCAATCGAAATTAAGCAATTAATTGTTTATATTTTGGCTATGAGTCCCAGAAGTTGTTTTAAGCAAAGATATTATTGTTCACAATGCTTCTAATTTGGGAGCTTTTCCAACAAAACTAACAATCGTCAGTCCACAATTGGCTTCATCGTCAGCTTCATTTGGAAAGGTCTGTTCGATTCACATTGTTGCATGGCTTCAAAAATATGCTTCCTCCCTTCGTTCACTTTCTTTTGACATGATGGTATTTTTGCCATACTAGGACATAGGCCCTGTTACACGGGAACGCAATCGTTCCATTCCATTTTTGTTCCAGTTGCTGGAACGGAAGAGTATAATGTTCACACGGTAACGGAACGATTGCGTATCGATTTTTGTTTATGTTCAGACGGGAACGCAATCGTTCCGTTCTGCAATTTGCGCGCCAAAATAAGCAAATGATTTTTAATGCGCATGTCCATAATGGAGATAGATTTCATCATTTCGATTTATCTCTGAGACATCTCTGAAGTTTTTAAACAATTTGAATAAATGGAGAATACAAAAGCGCCCCAAAATAAGCAAGCTCGTGGGAAAATGGAAGCCAACCCTAAAAGGAAGGAACTTCAAAGTTTGCAGAATGGTGTTGAATCTTTTAAATGGACTGACGACGAGATTCAGCTGCTTCTCGAGGTGATGAAAGACTACAAGTCCATCCAAGCCCCAAGTAACCACAATTACCACAACACAGACGCATGCGCCAAGGGCAAAACTCTTATCGTTCCATTTTCTGGACCAGTTCTGCGCGTTCACACGGGAACGGAACGGAACGATGTCATTTGAAGCGTTCCCGTGTGAACACAACCCCTGAGCGTTACGCTTTTCGGAACGGAGAAGAACGGAACGGAACAATTGCGTTCCCGTGTGAACGGGGCCATAGATGGTGCTTTCTTCCGTTTCTTATGATAAATGCAAATTTAATGTCCTTACAAGACTTTCGTTTACTGTAACACCTTCCAACACAAGGCTTTTCGTTTTCTAGAGAAAACATAGCCATCGCCATTTCCATTTCTACTTGCGCAAGATATAATATTTTCCTTTACGTAGACCTGTGATGAGGACGCGATACACCTGCTGTTGCCGTTCAATTATGCTCATTAAAATTATGAAAATATCTTTATCACAAGAAGGTGAGCGGAAGATAACTTTTTGGTTAACTTGAACTTTAACGATAACTCATAGAAAAGATTCAAAATCTTTTTTCCGAACCTTGACGATGTTCCTAGCCAGTTTTTCTGATTTAATTTATCTGTGAAGGATGAAGTGGCTTGTACACAGCTGATGCATTTGGTCATTGGTCAGCATAAGAAATTATGTAGGTTAACGGGAACTTAGTTGTTAAAATACTTAGAGCAGCATTTTTGTATTTTTTTTCAACAAAGAGCCAAGACTTTCTTATAAGGTCAAGGGTAAATTGTGATCACGTGACACTTTTTAATTGAAAAAGAGATCGTTTTCAACCGAACGTACGCAAAAATGGTCTTACCCACGGTTGTGAAGCAAATAATGTAACTTGTGTTGTATCCAAAAGGAAATATTAAATTTTCTCCTCCAAAGAGGCATAACGTCTCAGTGCTAACTGTTTCACCCCCGTGTCCACCCGTTAGACCCCAGCAGATAACCGCTGACCATCATTTTCTGAACCCCTACATATGTGGGTACTTAAAAATAACCACAGCAATTCGTGCGCTTTGAGGTTAAGCTTGTCAAATAGTAAACCTTATTGCATTGGCATTCATTCAATTGTAATTATATGGTTGGATTGTTTCATTCTTTATTTGAGATATTTCTCAGCATAACCGTTATATGATGATTGAGCTCACCAAGAGTTTTTAAACTCTATGGTGCCATGCCCTTTAAAATTAATGGTGACTAGAATTTCTTCCAAATGTTGAAAGAGCAAGGGTTTTCAATGACTGATTTTTAGATAATTGATTTGCAATTAAATAAATCATTTTTTCAACTTCTTGCAATGTGCTATTTGAAATGAAACCAATACATAAAATACAACAAAAATGATAATAAGAAACAATTACAATTGATTTTCTTTTAGTTGAAATAAAAACAATGAATATTTGATTTCTTCTTCCATCATTCTGACTACTTTATCAACTTTTTTAAAATACAGCTACTTCAGTTGTAGATGAAATAAATAGCATTAATCTTTTTGTTAGTTTATGCACTAATATCTGGTTAATGATTTTGGCAAAATGACAATACTCTAGGCAACCAGTAGGTTGGTAAAGCTGAGCTCTTGGCTACGCAATTAAGATTCATAAAAAGTTTCATAAACACTTAAATATTTTGTGGATTACACCAATAAAAAATGTTTTCCAAATCGTTAATGTAAACCAAGTTGGAAAGTTGTATTGGAGTGGTCTATAGACAAAAAACTTTTTTTTAATTTATACAATGTTCTAATGCATCTAAGATTGAAATCATTTACCATGCCTGGCATAAAAAAAGGTAAAGAAATACAGGATGCTCACAAATACATGATTTTCAAACTTGTTGCTGAAAATTAGAACCAAATTTAAAACTTGGAAAGTTATAAAAAATTGGTTCTATCCAGGGGCGCCTGCACAAGATTAAGGCAGGAGGGGCAGTGTTGGTGCTGAGGGCAAAGAGTATAATTTTTTCCACTACCAAAATTGATTATTTGTGAGGGGTTTGGGGATGGGTGCAAAGTAAAATATTGGCATCGACCTGTTCCACCCATACAGCTGGGAGTTTTTTCAATCAGAGGCTCTAAACAAAGTCATAGGTTGACAAAATTCTCCATGCAAGTGGGTATTTAATGGCCTTGTCATTATTAGAAAAGTTTGGTTTTACGAAAATCATGGCAATTAAAAATGGGCTGGCTGTAAGACTTTGATTTTCCGCTTGGTCTCTATGGTTGCAGAATCATTGAGAATATAGAATGGAAAATAATAATCACAATTATCCAATGTCAATCAAATAATTTTTTACTTCAGCATGTTTTTTATTATATTTTTTTATTATGTTATTTCATTATATTTATATTAATCATGAACTAAGCGTAACATTCTTGTTCTGATGATGGGCAAAATAGTCAGTATCTTATAAGAAACTGTCCCTTTTTGAAGTTTATTATCATTTTCTGGAAAATAATTTCCCGTTATCAGTGACCGACAGCAAAAAAGGAGATTTTTTATTTTTTTGAATTTCTTATGAAAATTAACTTAGCGAGAGTAGCTAAACTAGTCAGGAATTATCTACAAGATTCTTTAATCTTTTGTTAGGAGTGAATATTCAAGGGCACTGCTTGCCCCCTCTGCCCCTCCTGGAAGAGGGCAGGAGGGGTAGCTGCCCCTGTAGCCCCTCCAGGGAAGGTGCCCCTGGTTTTATCAGTCCTGACCACTAACTAAATCTCTCACTAATATCTGCTACCAATTACTTTGGAAATACTTATTCAAAACTTTTGGAATTCAAAATAAATTCCCAAATATCAAAATAACATATTTTAGAATAAAGATAAAGGTAAGGAGTAGGCCAGAACAAACTAGAAAATGTGCATCTTATGTTTTACATTATTTGATTTTTCACCTTCCAATTAAACATTCTGATTTCCTCTCAAATACCCAAACTTTAAAATAAAAGATTTAAGTAAACTGCACCTGAAAAAACTCTACCTTGCTGTCATCGAGTATGCACAGTTTGACATGTGCACACAATAGGTTGCAAATGCACACATCTTTTTTGCTCACACAAAAACAAGATCTTGTCCAAAGCTGCCATGCCCTACAGACTGGGCTCTCATTTGATTACAATACAAACGGAGGGTTTATAATTTCATTTCTTGCATCAAGTTTAAAAAATCAAATACAGCCCTCACAAAATTACACACGCTTTCGTTCTGTTAAAATCCAAAAGAAAGGGCTTCAGTTATGTTGTGAGTGCCGATCGCCATTTATACACAGTGAAATGCTGCGAAACGCTTCTTCCGCCTGCCTAAATAAAAATTTGAACAACGTCCGCGGCAAAAGTGATATCAGAAGCCGATCACGGGTACTCAAGCTCATACATTGGCTGTAGTTAGTTTGCGAAGGACTAAAGCACAGACCGGGGATCCTTGAAATTTTACAACGATGAAGAACTGCACAATCTGGTCCGTAGATTTTTTTTTTTTTTTTTTAAAATCGAAAATCGGATCTGGTCCGTAAATTAATTCGCTTAAAAATCCAGGAACGAGCTAGAAGTGCTCAGATGGGAGAGAAATTAATTTAGGAAAGTACAAGGCCTAGTCCTATTACCCTTCCTTGCGCCTAAATTTTAGTCCACTTTGGTAGGCAACCTTATCTGCACATATGTTAAATTTTTCATAAATTGTTAGCGATTTTAACTGTTTGTAAACTTGTGTTTATAAGTAGAGGTCATTTTCATGCTGTAACCAGCTAAAGGAATTTATTGAGGTCCTGTCCTCTGTTTGGCAAGATATCGAAACCATTCTTTTAGAATTCATAATGACATTTCCTGGTTTGGTTTATGGTTTATGACTTGGTTTGGTTTGGTTTGGTTTTGGTTGGTAATGACATTTCTTTCTTGCCTGGGAATCATGATGAAATAATATATCTTGTTAAAATTATCAAAAAGCGAAAATGGGCGTCGCCCAATTTTGGAAGAAAGTCAAGGGCGTTGCCAGAAAAATATGGGAACACGTCCATATAGGAACCAACTTAGATTTTTGTCTAGATCCGCCACTGGTTACGGTTAACAGTTAAATTTCCGACAGTATTTTACTTACCAACGCTGTGCTTCCTACAAACTGCAACAGTTCATCGACTGACAAGAGAATGCAGTAGTGTGGTGAGTGCTAGAGGTAATTCAAAAGATCAATAGAGGTATTGCGCAACTGGCATGCTTTGCTTAGCGGCAGTTGTCTTGAGAAATTCACTGTGGTTTGTATTTTCATGAGTCGCAAAATCGCAAAGAAGGAACAGGGGAACGGGAATTCGGGGAACGAAGAATTTCCGAAAGGAGGAATCTTTTTGGAGTTATACCACTAATTTTATATTCAACTTAGTTACGTGATGTCCAGCTACCTAATGCTTCGATGTTCTTGATAATTCCGCTCCATTGTTCTTGCTTGCACAAAGGTTATGCGAATTGAGTGGATAACAAATCAAACGCATTTTTCTTCCTCTCATGTTACTTTCGATCCACAACTGGATATAAAATTTCAGCTTACTCTTGGTCATTATCCGATGTTATGCGCAGGCAGGTGCCACTGGGGGGCTGAACCCCTTCACCTTTTGAAAGATAAGATTTTTGACCGTCTTTTTAAATATTTTTATTGTTATTTAGTTCAATTTCCCCCAAAGTCCAATTTCTCGCCGCCGTCTCTGATACTCCAAAGAGTGTCGGAAAAAAGTAGCTTTGACTACCTATTGTCCTCCAAACATAGTTCTTCCCATCCGCTAATTTGCCTATGTGGTCATGCTTAGCAGTCTTTTTGAAATCCCTCAAGCAGTCAGTTTTGCTTCTTTCTTACTGCAAAAGGGTGTGAAGCTGTTACAACTGACAACTAAATACGAATGCCCTGATCAATTCAGCTAGCCCCGCCTTTCTCTTTCTTTTTACGCAACCCATCCAACTGTCCCATTACCTTGTATGCATCTGATTTGAATGTTGATTTAATTTCTGAGTCTGTCATATTCTGAATTCCGACCACCGCTAAATGGATAGCATGTCTGACAATAAGGTCCATTTGGAACAGTGTAAAGTACTTTAACTCCTCGCCAGCTTCGGCTGGGTCTGGAGTCAATGACTGCCCCAGCTTCGTTAAGGAAATGACTTGGTCTGGTGAATCCAGAAGTGGATACCACTTACAAGCAATAGTTACTGCAAGTTTTCCAAGAGTGGGTGGGAGCTTTGGAAATCCAGATTTGGTTTTCTTTTTTCCGCATGTAAACGAGCAGTCTTTATCGCCTGTTAAAACTCTGTCGGCAAGGTCCAAAGCATCGTCTGGAATGCATGGTATTATCATTTCCTTCAAACAAAATCCAGCTACGATGTAATAAAGATAGAGAGCAGCTCTTTTTCGCTCGGTTGCATTCAAATGTGAATAGAGTTGGGGAACTTGTATCAATGGATGACCTTTAAATGACGGTTTATCAAAACTGTAGAACGAGATGGGTTGACCTTTGAAAGTCACTAACATCTGTGGCAAAATGTCCAGAAATGCAGTTATAGGCTGTAATAAATAAATTCAAATAATTATCAATGGTGATCTATGCAGAAACCTTTCACTTTGTTAATTTCGTTAATATATAACATTTTCTGCTTAGATACTGAAGAACATGCCACGAATAAACAACAAAATATTTCGAATCAAAATTCCTTCTTGAAATTTCAAATTTGTTTTTTCTTACTTCGTCTTCACTTTTTGTAGATAACCAATTTTTAATATAAAAAAGCATTAGAAATGATAGATTATGGTATAGGGTACAATATAAAAAGAAAATGTATAGCCGCAATTCTGGAACGATACAAATAATATATCCAACTACAAAATCATCGTTTTATCAAGTCCTGAACCATTTACAAAATAATATATATCTTAATATGGTTACTTTATTTTTGGTAATAATTTGCTTAGTATAATTTGATAAGAATTCCTAAAAGCAGGTGTTTATTTTTGTTTTGCTAACAGATTTGGCAAGTAGTTTGAAGTCTCGAAATCTTGATTCGATTCTCAAATTAGCTTTGGCTTTAAGCAGAGTAAAGACAAAGCCAGATCTGCGAAGGGAGGTGAAAGATAGAAAAAACCAACAAACCTGCAAGTTAGCTGGTTGCAGAAAAATGACAACGAGTGCAAGGCCACCAACAAGGCCTTTGCATCTCCAGGTCATCTTTCTTGGAGAAAACGACGACTGAAGCGGTAATAGAAAAAAGAAGCATAAATATCTATAATCACAATTAAGAATGTACTTAATGAAAACAGCATGCAGAACAATGGATCTTCGTGCTCACTGAAGCATGAGCGGGTCTTTCCATTGAAACTCGACAAGGATGTTTGGTTTCAATACTTCAGCTTGGAACACCTTCAAGTAAGCATACCGGTTACTGATGCGTGGTTCCTAAAGCCTATTTGTTTCTGCTGCAAATTATAGGAAGTCAGACTATTAGCACAAACATTGTCTCTCATCAGAATATTCGCAATGAATTGCCATGGGCAATGAGTCCATTTTAACAAACAATATTGCTGGAGTTATTCGATCTTCATGATTTTCAATTGATCATTTTATGCTTGATTGCCAATTTTCCAACTCAAATATACCATCAGTTTCAATATGATACATGTAGCCCCATTGTATGTGCTTATCATAACACCATGTTCCGTCAACAGTTATTGAACAAGCGTGTATGTTTCGTATTTGACACGGGTTCATTGCCTTCAGCAGGATAAATAAATTGCACTCTAAAGCTTGGTTTAAGACTGTTAGAGGTCACGTTTTTTATCCATGATGCATATAAAACGGGCCTGGCGATAGACTTTCTGGGCCAATGTACACAAACCCAATAAATATTCTTGACCATCTAGTGAAGACTACAGACTGTTATCAGGCTATCAATGCTCAAAACTGGATGTCAAAAAAGTTGGTTTGCTACGACAAAAAACGAACCACTGCCATATTTAATTAAAGAAAATAATATCATATCGAATCAATATTTGGATTGCTAAAAAACATTTTTACAGTGTTTGAGTACATTACATCAGCAAGTTCTTCGAGTTCTTCTCCTCTAACTGCAGCCATAATTTCAAGGACTTGTCTAAGAGTGAATTATAAGCTCTTTAAACAAAAGGAATAGCAGAGAAACTATCAGCAAGTTCATCTGTTGTAGCTCTACCGGAATAAAATACAGAGACTAAAGAATAACGGTGACTCTGAGAGCAAGCCTAGGCCAATTTAAACAACCAAATAGCCAAAAATCCCACAAAAATCTGATTACCAAATTCAGGATCTTAAGGTTTTTGAACATTCCAGACGTGCTGTGAATAAAATAACGTGTAACCTGGGGTATCCTCATTTCTCATCCTTTGTATGCAATTAATTTTGTTCCTATATTTGTCTTTGTTTAATGTTTTACCTTCCTACGTAAATCTATTAGTTTTCCTGCAACAAATCTCGTACAATACATTCTTGTAGTAGGCATTGTTAATGTTTATGAATTCTATGTAGTTAAATTTGAAAAATATAAACTGAATCGAATGTAAGAAGTTCTTTGATTTCATTTGAAACAGAAATTATTGAGAAAGAAATGTCTTAAACATGGACATCAATTCGTTATACAAAGAAGATCTGCATGTAATGGTTTACCTGAAACCTGAAAAAGTACTGTAAGTAAATAGAATTACTTTTCATTGTAAAAGTATTCTTACAAAAAGACGATAACGAACCTAATATGTGCTGGCTCGTTCCTGGACTTAACACAAAATCCTTTCTCCCATCTTTCCTTTTTCTTAGAAGGAAACTGTGTTTTCACCAAAGATGATCCTGCGTGGGTGTTACGAACCTCGCACCAAGGTGCATCTTCAAAATAAGATGAAGTTAAATCCATTAGCCTTGAAAAAGAATTGCTGACATTATGAAAGTATCAACTAATACACCCATTACTTCTCAATTTCCATTCAATTCTACATTAACAAAATCTACAATATATGAACAAAGAATGGGGATGAAGCCTTAATTAATGGCATACTCGTGATTGTGTGCCGAATTGGTTCCTCGTTCTTTGTTAATGGCTCTATCCATAAAAGAAAACAAAAATAATTCTGTTCCAGTAGGAATTGTGCGATTATCCCTACCTCGTTCCTCAACAACCAAAATTAAGCGCAACTGCACCAATTGGCACTTCATTAAATCGAATTTCAGTGCCATATTGATCTTTTTTTGCTTACAAAAACTTTGCCTTATCAATATTTATTCGAAATATCACTTTTAATTTAAATGATTATTAAAGCCAAGTTTTAAGACATGCTTGCATGTATACAAGTTATATTTGGTGCAGTCAGACAAAATTAGTAATGGTAGAAACATTGTTATGCCTTTCCTTTGGAGGCTAGTTTTAGAGACCACAAGCTTTGGAACTTTACTTAGCGCGAGACATTGAATCCAAAAGAGATGCTTTCAAGCAGAAATCATTTATTCTTTTGTTGCAATACCTGTCTCTATCATCAATCTATCTATTGGAATAGATTTCAGAGTTTCCAAATTGTCAGCCGTCTTCAAAGAACTGTCAAGAAAAGAGATGCTTTTTAAAAACTCATAACAATGCTATACTTAATGAAATAGCAAAATAGGCTGGATTAAGAATTATTTGTCTTAACGTAGCTACGAATCGAGCTTGCCGATGGCTAGCAAAAGTGCATTGCAGACTTTTATGTCTACTTTTATATATCCAGAAAGATTTTTTTAGTTTATCAAGTTCCCAGTCGAGCTTGGGACCCTTCACCAAAACTTGTGATTCTGTCTATTGGCAACATGCACCAGTAAACCCAGAATGTGCCAAAATTATAATGGCAAAATATTTCAGATAAATGGCAGAGCCCGTTCGTCATTTCATCTGTCACTTTTAGAATCCGTTTACATAAAAAAACCACCAATGTGTAGATAAAAAGTGTTCGCTTTTACTACTAGCAATATTTTTAATAGGTTAAAGACACTGGTGGGGCACCCTCAACAATAATGTAATCGCGTTTCTGACTGGCGAATTTCAATTCACAACTGGGTTTATATATTTCCTAGCTTAGAAGTTTCGATAGTTATTTTGACGTTTTACATTATGAAGAAACGAAAAGTCAGACGAAATGCCTTTGTATGCTTTAATTTTTCTGCTTTTTCCAAAGCCATTTTAAATTCTGTACCGCCAAATAAATGTTTGCAAAAAGAAATTTTCTTATGTTTTTAGAACCACTAAATCTCAGTCTAAAGTCCTCATTCTAATGGGTTAGTTTCAGCTCGAAAAAATCATTCAAAGCAACGCAATAACAATCATAAATGTGTTTTGAGAACAATTAAACATATGGAGAATACAGAAATAAAACATGTGAAAAGTATTACCAGCCAGTTATACCAATAAAAAGTCCATTATCGAGCAACTCCTTTGCTTCGGTCGATGTTCCTGTGAAGCAATGGGCCTAACAAGGGAAACGAATCAAATAAATAAAAGCCTCAAAAAGGCTTGATAAAGAAGATTCCACATAAATTTTAAGTTTTGTATTTGTTTCTACCTAGCATCCCCAGGTAGTTTTCAGGACACTGAGAAGCTTATGCTTATCGAGCAGTGTCCTGGTCCTTCCTCTCAATGTGACCACACCTCGTGATTCCCATGCCTGGAATTACAGAGAGCTGGCAACTCTCCTCACTCTGGGTGAAAGTTTTGTCTTGCCACTGACTCAAACCACGGACCCTTGGGTATGTAGTCAGCGCCTTTAACAACTGAGCCATCCTCGCACCTAAAATTTTCAGTTTGTATTCAAGCATTGCTTAGCGGCTGCAGTACTAAATGTATTTGTAAAAGCATTTTTTCTGATTGTCTTCGTTAATATCAGTGTACGAAAAATAAGACTATAGAACAAGTTTTATAAGTTGAAAAAATAAGTTATCAGTTCAATAAACAGAGCAAATATCGCAATAAAAATCATAACAGGCAGTACAAAATTCCAACTTACAACTCCACCGAAAAACTTGTCCCTGTTTCTTTTAAGGATATCTAAAGAACAATACGAAATTGGGAGGCAATGTGAGAAATGTGAAGGAAAAAGCTGCCAACAATATCAAATGTTGACAAGAAAAACAGAAAACGTGATTTGCATTTGTTTTAGCTAGGGAGAGCCATTGTGAAATAGGCACACGGTAAGGATGATTGAATATCAGTAAAAAGAAGATAGCACGGGCAATGGCTCTGATAGCGGATCTAGCTAAAAAGTGCACTGTGCTTTCGACAGACATCAGTAGCTGTAGAAAGCATGGTATTGCTTACCCATATAATAGGCAGAGGGATAGGAAAGGGAAAATGACAAACATCATTAGAAAATAATCGGGAAATAATTCGCAAGCAATGCTTTTTTGTTTCTTACCAATGAAATCACTACAGGCGTTTCTCATATGAAGGAACATTGGAAGTTTCGTTTCTTCGGCAAGATCAAATTGCCTTTCAAAGTACCTATAAAAGGAAGTGCAAAATCTGTAAAAATATGGTTACAGATTAACGATTTGCTGCAATCACAACAGTATTGCATGCATAAAATAACAACAGTCGATGCGCTAGAGAGAGGTGCCATACTGGGTAAACCCAAGCTGAGCAAAAACAATGAGGGTCAAACCCATTATCCGTCAGCCCAATAAACAGTTTCAAGTGTCCTGAAGTCGAAATCTGGACTTAAAAAAGGAAAAAATATTTAGAATTTATTGCCTTTTTTGGTTATAGTCTTGTTCCAGACAGTCTCATCATAGCATGTTCTAAATTTGCGAGAAAGCTTCTCTTTCGAAGGGAAGAGCTAATTCAAGGATTTATGATTGTTGAAAAAAGCAAAAAATTAATGAGAACAACAGACGACTGTTGCATGAACTAAAGCATAAAAACAACTAATTTTCTAAGCACAATCGATTATCAGCCATGGTCATGGAGATCATTTGATAGTCTATCTATGCATGATTATTAAAAAGATTTTCCTCATCAGCTTTTTAAATAAAATCAATGTTTTTAGAGAAACTATGATAAAATGGAGATAAATACCGCATCTCCTACCTCAACTGCGTAGATCTTGGACAAAAATGTTCCCTGTCATAATCTAGACAATAGAAAATCGCAAGTTATATCTTGGAATTTAGAGGAAGTTGGGAAAGTATAAAACAAACGAAAAATTTGATAACTGCAAAGACTGAGTTTTTAGTTTGAACTTCAGATTGCTAAAACAAAAGAATTGATAGCAGCATAGAGATACTAAATTATGACGTCAAAAAAATATTTTATTAGAAATTTTCAATTTCGATCACATAACCTTAAAGGGTAGATGTGCGTAATGAAATACCTCTAAATGTATGACATTAGTAAAATTTGTTACAAATTGGCTGAGATATGGTCGCATAAGCAGAGGCTCTTTTCCTAGCAAACCTTTCTAATTTGGTTTTGGTTCATAACTTTATGAACAGTAATCCGTTAGTAAATTTAAAACCTTTTATCAGCCACATCCCACTCGCTTTTAACATATTCGTAACTGATATTTCAAATTACAGCAATTCATGATGCTCTTTAAATCATGTGGCTACAAGTAAAATATGTTATCTATAACGTCATACTAAAAAACTTTATTGAGGTAAAAAAATCAACACATTAATTTGCTTTTGAACGATAGATGATGACATAAGACTTTTAAGGATTGAAAAGTATTTTTAGACAAGTTGCATTTGCGCATTCAAAAAGTTTTGACATATTTGAGCAAGGAAAGAGACATTAATGTTTGGTTAAAATAGAAGAAAAGATTCAATGTGTAAGTTCAAAGATACAAATCAACTAAATTATCTGCCTAATGTGTTTTCACTATAATCTTTCAGCAAAACAATACTTAAAAAAAACGTTTGTCTTTAAGCTAAAACGTTAAATTCGCATAAGATTAAAAAAAGGTCAAAATCAATCTGAAATGTAAAAAAATATTAGATTAACAATATATGCACCTCGCCAACCAAAAAGAACAAACTTACCTAGGCCACATTCACCAATCGCAACTATTTTGTTTTTATTTTCATTGAAAACTTTCAAAAGCTCATTATAGTATGAAACTGGGTCATTCTTTGCCTCAAACTCTCCACATCTTGTTGGGTGACAACCAACAGTTGTAAACAAAGAGTCTAGTAAAAAAGAAGTCACTGTTAGGGAATGACAATTGACCTTTTACTAGTTAAGAAAATAAATCTAAGAACATCCAATATTCAAAACATACAAAAATGTAGGCTTTTGAAGAAAGACAAATGTGACAAATTTTTGGTAGTACAAAATTTGGAAATGTCTTTGAGAAAAGCAAACTTTTTGCAGTATATTTAAGCTTTTCGTCTGGCACTGTTCAGGATATAAAACGTCCCGCTAGCTGAAAAGACATACATTGCCAATAATCTAAAACATGTCGTCATTATAGTGAAGTAAGAATATCGACGAAAGTCTTGTGAGGAATTGCACTCGTTACTTGACATTGGTCCCGTAAATACTTAGATAAGAGCCGTTTTGTTGGTTTCATCAAAAGAAGAAAGGCAATGGTTGGCTCCAACTGACGCAAGGTTTTGTTGAGAAAGGCACAAGATCCTGGACGACCATCTAAGAAGTGGAACGAAGTGACCTCGAAAGATTTACGCTAAAGTAAAATCATAACAGAACTTGCTCAAGGTTGTGACCATTGAAAGAAGCCTGCTTCTCAAAATGATATCCTGACCAATGAAAATAATAATATCAGGCTGTATATTATATTAATGATGACAATGATGTTGATGAAAATTTTGATGACAATAATGATAATGGTGATGATGGTTTCTTGTTTTCCATAAAATCTGCTACTTAAACTCGCTGCTGGAGCCAATCTTCATTAAACAAATTAAAATCAAATGATGGAAAATGAAAACATTATGACAAAATACCTAACCATTGGCTTTTGCGACTTTTAGGGCATCCTTGGTTTCTGAAAGTCTACCAGCAGTTATAATAATCTAGGATTTTATAAAACAGGAAACATTGGTATTAATATAATCGAATTTGGTTTTTGAACAATCATAACATAACAAAAGGACAATTGATGTATAAATGGGACTAAATTACAGCAATAATAATGAACAACGGCAAATAAAGATACAATAATACATAGAAAATAACTAGATTTATATTGTGCTCTTACATCTTTACCAAACTTCAAGTTCTTATCTGTTGAAGAATCGCCTTTCAAAGCTTGTGAGGGTCAAATAAACAATTATCCTTTTGGTTCATGAGCCAGACAAACATATTGTTTTGGGAAGCAATTGGGTTGAGGGGTATCTTTCATAGATTGTGTCTTACAAAAATCTAACAATTTTCTGAAAAAGCAGACATTCTACACCAAGCGCATTGCCCATTCAAAATGCTTATTCCAGGAACTGGAAGAATAAACAATACTATAATAGCATACAGTATCATAACTATTAGGTTTTGTACAAAAAAGCACACAGTCAAACAGGTTGCTTAATGTGTTTGGAATACTATTGCAGCCACAACATTCACTTCACCAACGAAGAGGCAATTCTAAAAATTGTTTTTCGTTATACAACAACAGTCCTCTTACTTTTTCTACTCCATTTTCTTTTGACCTCTCCAAAACATCTGTGAAATCATCTGTAAAAAACAAAATATCCATTAAGTGACAGATTATTTGAACTGCTTACAATACAAGTATAGGAAATCTTAATCATTCAAATGAATTTGAAAGGCACTAGAAAGCCACATTCCTTACCTTGATGAGCTGTTTTTCCACGATAGATCCCTCTGAATACAGGGTCTTAAAAGCAAAAGATATCATACCAAAGTCAAATGCATTGAATTAAATAACCAACTTATTATCTTCAATATAAATTTGTCAATTCTTTGTAGATAATTCTTAAATATTCACAATCAAACAGCAGCTTGGAAGCTCAATACTGTATTTATGTGTATTCAATTCAATTCAATTCAATTCAATTTCATTGACAAATATACCTAAATACATTTCAATACAGAATAAAATTTATTAACATAACATTACAACATAGAACTTAAACATAGAACATTACAAGACATTATGTATTTAAATATATTTGTCTAAGGAGGACAAGTGTAACAAGTGACAAAGTATCTACTTAGAGAGCTCACAAATTACCTGTCAAATTTGCACCAATATCTAAAAATAAAATGAAAATAAACATTTATGAAAAGAAATAGACACATAAATTGCAGTTGCAATGACAAAAATAATTCAACATAAATGTAAATGTTATATCATATATATCTAAAAATATATGTGTTATTATCTAAAAATCATACATTCTTAGCTATTTTTAGAGGTGATAATGGTAAATGTTATGATCTATGGACTTTGCGCAGCCAATGCAAAAGCGCACAGATGTGTGCACAGGCAACATATTGCAGGTGCGCAACAAAGTTTCCAGTCTGGCATGAGTTTTTTGCAAGATTTTCAGTTTGTGCAAAAAATCCCTGGTTTGTCGGTTAAGTTGTCTATCAGTAGGTGAAATAGAACCTAAATTTCTCTTCATATATATGTCGGTGTCAGTAAATTTTGCTACTCATGACCCCTCCCCCCTCTTGTCTGGAAGTTCAAGCTATGCCACTCTCTATGGGCACGCCTGGTAAGTAGTCAGACCAGTCAACTCTCCTGGTTACCCTGGGAGACGCAAGGTTATGATTGCTTTCTCCTTGTCTCCCAATTTTTAAGATTTTCTCCATGTTTCTTCCGTATCTTTCAGCAGAAGTATTCTTATAGCAAAAATGGTTGCAACAGCTTTCTTCATGACAACATTTTTGTTAGTATTTACCAATTGATAAAAAACTCGAAAAAACCATAACAAAGTAAGTTTTCTATTATAATTTGTCATCAACTGTTTGCCCAGCATGACTTTTTATGGGTATGTTGTCTAAAAATTTAACCTAAAAATAGTTCTATTATTTCATCTTGATTTAAAAAATCAGGGGGATCCCCCTATTTTTGGCCAAATCTCCCTGTTTTTTAAGAAAAAATGTAAAATCTCCAGGTTGAAAATTGTAGGTTGACAGGTCTGTATACTCATTGCACAAACCAACCTTCAAACAACAAAAATCTTAACATTCTTTTGTTAAAAAAATGCGAGCTCAAGTCTAAGATAAAAAGACAAAATGTGCGTGAAAAGCGGGAGAGCCAACATGTCAACATTAAAAATGAGAAAGATTTTCTGCTGGATGATCGTAAATCGACAATGATTATAAACGCTTAATGTCTAGCAGTTTCAATATGCTAACAGCTTGATAATTGAATTAAGGTTTTAGTGTAAGCATATTGCTTTTATTTTCCAATTGGTGTAAAAAACCATCTATTATATTCTTACCAATAAACTTCAGTGTAGTGGCCGCCATTCTTTTCATTTCCTGGCATTGAGGTGAATTGATTCAGCATGTTGACATGAGAGCGAGACAGCGGTGAGCCATGGTGATATTGTATACAAACATGGCGGCCAGTTAGAAATCTGTTCGTGGTGATAACTTGGATCTCAAAAGAATGGTAAGTATCATTATGAGAAGTACCTGAAAATGAATTTACATTTACGCTGAAAAGTTTAGAGTTAGGGATTTAACAATTTATTGTTTGAAATCACTCTTCAGTGTGAAGCCTTCTTATGCTGCTTCTCTGCTTGTATCAGTTACCAGTTAATAAGCAATTCACGTATAGAATTTGAGAATTATGTTCCAAGCTGAGATCTTTAAATGTCCATAGGTAACGTTGAAAAGCATTAAAACCTTTTATAACTTACGACTTTTGCTTAAACTGGTAATAAAGTGAATCAAAAACATCTTGAGAAGTAGTCTTAGACACCACACAAATACACACAAATGTAAAAAATACATTTATCTCAGAATGGAGGTTACATGGTAAGATTACATTAAAACAGATTGAAAAGAAAAACAGCCTTGGCGTGTAATGAGTAGAAAATATAAAAGATTCAGCTTATAGAGTAGAAACAAGATTTTGTTCAGATTAGCACCATACATATAACCACAAAGAGCAAAATCCTGGCCGATGGCAAATAGCAAAATAGAGTAAGCAATATCGCGATCGAACCTGCAAATAAAGCTGCTCTGTATTACCTAACTATGGCATTTTTGATCAGAAATTGTAGGTTTTTACTGTTCCAATTCATATATTGAAAAGAATTGTTAAAACTGGGGAACAAACAAGTGATTTTGCATTAAATTGCAGTACCAATCTTCAATCAAACAAATATAAAAATAAACAAACAATTGGTTTGAAATCCAGATAGAATGAAGAAGCAAAAATATTTCATTGGTATTTTAAAAGCTGTATGATAGTATGAGACAGTGAACAGATCCAGTAATTTATAGGCAGAAGCCAGGCTGGAAAGTGTAGTACTTTTGGATAAGGTCTCGGATCTGACTTTTTCAGGTGCAGATGAAAGTGTGCTACACAGTTGTTTCAACTGTAATAAATCCAAACAAACATAGCACAGCAGTAAAGACAAACTTTAAATTATCCACTATCATAAAAGGCAGTTATTTTTTTGTTTTTACACTATTTTTGTTTTGATCAACCTCAATCTACATTGGTTCAACCACAATCTGAATTATTATTACTTACTGTATTTTTTAATTAAAATATAACATTATAATTTTTTTCTTGAAGGATAAGACATTAAACCCAGCAGCTGATCCAAGGCAGATGAGAAGAATCATTGCTGAAGATCCTGAATGGTAAAACACTTTATCATTAATCCCGTGCTGTAAATTTGACTACGAAGAACATATGCCTAAATACATTATTTCAACTTTGTAGGCCTGTTGATATTTCTTTTTCCTATTTATCAATTTAGGAAAAATTGTAAAGTCTTCTTCAAATTTAAAAAAGAACTTTTCAGACCCCATTGAATAAACACGATATCCAGCAGAAGCAATTAACATGTAGTAGAAGATTGCATTTAAGGTATTCTTGCCAAAGCTTGACATGAATTATGGTATTAATTTATTTTAATTATCAGGTAGTCTTTGTCAGTCAGTATCAGTAAAAAACTTTCAGCTCACTGCTGAGGCTCACCAATCTGAGTGTTGAAAATTTTGAAGCTCAGTAAGATTTGTATTCAAACTGTATGAGCAATATGAAAATTTTAACAAAGCATTTTTTTTAACAAACTAATTTTCCTATAGGAATCTTGCAACTGTTCCTCTCCTTACAGAGCTATGTTTGCAACACATTGTAGACAAATTTGAAGGTAAGCTTGAATGCACTTCTGTCTTAGGGAAACTCTGGCTAGAGGGATCAGTCACCATTTTGACTCAGCTCTAAGTTTTTATAGTAGTCATAAGACATCATTGATACAAGTTCATTAGAAAAAGTTTCAATTTTGATGATATGATGGTTCTTTTAAGGAAATTACAAGCAAGTTGTCAACATTTGCTTTCTTGGTAAATTTTTGTATACCAACTTTGAGTTAGTTTTGTTATTGGATAATTCACCTTTTCTCAAGGCAATCCTGTTCTACATGATCTGCTTCCAAAACACAAGACAAAGGTTCTTGAGAATCTTTCTCCAAAGTTACCATTAAGGTAAGGTGCCTTTTAAGTGTTCAAGTATGATATAAACAAGTAAAAAATACTTGTTGCTTTGCATAAAATTTTGACATTAAGATTTAAGTTTATTGTTTGTATGGAAACTCCCAAAACAAAGGTTTTCTTTGTGATCAATAGCAAGAACATTAATGCTGAAGTCATTTTATAATTGTCAAGAATTTGCAAATTTCTTTGAACTGTAAAACATTATAAATATGCCCAGTTTATGTTTCTTGTGTGTTGGTATATATTTTGTTTCAATGCCAAATCAATAATATGTTAATCTTTTCAGTTCTGTGGTATAACTTTTTATAATATGACATTAAATTTTTCTTAGAAGAGGGAAAATTATGTGACCATATGAATTTTTGCAATTGTTCCCCAACAGTGTTACAGCCAATCTTGTTCAAGACAATGGTTACTGGAAGAAATGTTGTAGAGCAAGGTGGAATGTGTGTGATGTTTCTTTGTACAATGATAATTGGAAACAGATGTATTTTGAAAGAAATCTTGAAGGTAAGTTGGAAATAGAAACATGATGATTTTATTTGCTAATTGGTACTAAGATTCATTTAAGCTATGTTGAATATCTCATTTAAAAGCTTTCATTTACAATGACTAGATATTTAATTGCAAAAACCTAGGCTATTCTCTTAAATGACAGTGAAGCCCCCAAATAAAGGCACCTTCCAGCAGGGATGCCAGACAAAGGGGGCAAGAGGAGTCAGCTGCTCCTGTTGCTTTTTGATAGGAGGGGCAAGAGGGGCTAGAGTGCACTTTTTGGCTAAAGTACCCTTGAAACCGCCCAAGTGTAAAAATCAGAGAGATTCACATGAAATTCTGATTGCAGTACTTACTTCTCTTCATGACAACATTTCTCAAATATTTTAGAGTAAATCCCTATGCCAAAAGTTAGCCAATATTCAAGATACCTACAGAAGATCGAAACAAAATGGCATTTAGTAGAAGGAATTAGTAGAAGCTGGGAGTTATTTTCCAAAGGCCCTTTTACTCAAGCCTGCCCTTTGAATGTTTCGGTGTCCCTACCTTCCAGACTAGTGAAATTCTCCATTGTATTGAGGAGTCTTTTGTAGAAATCATCCTTCAAAAAAGGTGTTCTGACCATTTTTGAAAAAATATACGTTTGCTGTAAAGAGGTGTTCTTTGTGTGTTGATGCCAATTTATGGAGGTTTCACTGTAAGAGCGTTTGTGCAATAGTCTTCCCTTTGCAAAGAGGTATTCTTCAGTGGTAAAATGGCTGTCATTTTCCACCTTCTCATCTCTCTTTTACCAGGCCTATTGTCTGAATAAACTGGTTTCTTCATTTCAGAAATAATAGAAAAATTTGTACCCGGAACAACAGATCCATCCTTGGTTAGTACATGTATGATTGTTCTAGGTTTTTTTAATTTCAACAATATTGTGAATTCATCGTAACTTTTTAACTAGATTTGGCAAATTGTTTTGTTATTTTACCAAACTGAAAAATCTCTTGAGAAAGTAGACAAAAACTCATACCCCTGAAAATTGTCATTATTGTTCATATTCACTACATGTTTAACTTTTGATATTTCATTTCTTCATTATATTTATTGTGTCACAAATCTATCGTACTATTAGCTTACATATTCTTTAGACATTGTGAAATCTCTTCTGCTGTTCAATTCATTACATATGACTCAGACCACGAGTTTACTCTGATTAGAGAACAGGGTTGCTCCTAAGTTGTAATGAACCCATTTTAACTTTTAGCTGGAAAAAACATTGAAACTTTCCTCAGATTATATAAAAAGCATCAATATAAAGCAGCTACTTCCGCCTGTGAAAGAACCACCAATAAGAGATGAAGATGAGGACGAAGATAGGTCAGCTTTTCCTTGAAGAATTACACTTTGTATTTATCTTAATTACCCTTTATATCACTTTGCAAAATTTATTGCAGTAAGGTACCATTGATTTTTGAATCATCACATCATCCATAAAAATTTTCAAGTATATCATCAGTCAAATCTGAGCAACCAACTGTGACCAAATTGTCATCTAGCGGCGCTCATTCTCTTATGTTAAGCGACTGTGTTTCTTAGAGCTTCTATTTCAGTGAAGAAGACTTAGATGTGTCCAGTAGCCAATTAAATTCTCATTCTTGTTTGCTTATATCCTTAAGTCATCTTTTTTGTGAATTCGATTTATTTCTGTTTCTTCGGATCGTTATTTTTTACTTTTCCCACCGTGTTACTTGGGCAAAGTAAAATCTTTTGAACTAATTTATCTTTCTTTGCATTAGCGGAAGTGAGTCAGGCGACACACTGAGTATCGATCACTTTGACTTCAACGTTGTTACGCAAGCACTCCCATTTTTAAGAGAACTGCGTATTACGTATGGGTAAGCAAAGAATTTCTTTCTCTTACATTGATTGTTTATTTGTTTACATTGAAAGTATTATTTGTATTCATTTAGTATAATTTGTAAACTTTATGGTGTCTGCACACTACCAGCTCAAGCACCAGATTTGCCGAGTCAAGTTTATCCAAGACTGTAGAAGTCTTTGTTTACGTCATCAAGTGTCTAGATAAGCCTTTGGTAGGGCAAAATTTGAGAATTTGCTGCTTACACATGGTCATTATGCGACGTTCGTGCTCTGCGAAGTTTCCGACAAAAAGTACTTAAGCACGTTACGTTTTCCGCTTTCTGCACTAACTTCGAAATACATGTCTACTACAATCTTCTGGGGGTACAAAACTTGAAAATGGCTTTCAAAAAGCAAACATTTGAGTAAACTTAAGCTTTTCGTCTGACACTCTTCAGAGTTTAAAACGTCAGAACATAGATCGAAAACTCTACGCTAAGAAATATAGATACCCAGTTGTGGATCGAAATAGGCCAATCAGAGACGCGAGCACATGACTGATGAGGTTGCCCAATCAGTGACGCTTGCCTATTGACAATGTTACCAATGGAGTCCTAGGGTGAAAACGAGCTCCTTTTGTCTACACAATAGCGGTTTTTTCATGCTAATGTAGATAGATTCCAAAACTGCTAGATGGAATGACGATCGGGCTTTACCAATTATACGAAACATGTCGCCATTAAGAATCTTTTACACAATCTGGGTTTTCCAGTAAATGCTGCCCGATAACAAAGTCGCAGGTTTTAGTTGTACCTTTAGTACAGATTCGCAGGTTTTAGTTGGACTTTTAGATCTGCAAGACCAAGGTGTTCTCTTTGGGGATGGGTTTTGTTTCTAATACTAGACGGAACATGCTTTAGTTTAATCAAATGTTTGCTTTTTGCAAAGCCATTTTCAAATACATGTCTATTCATAAAATGACATGTCATATTCAAATAATACGATTTTGACAAAAAGAAGCTCTAGTAACTTTCAATGACATCGATTTATTTTGAAAAATTGACTGTTGATAATCCTTTGCTATCTAATGTCATCAAAGAACTACCTGCTATCTGATTTTGCTCCTACCCTGTGAAATCTTCATTTTTGAAAATAATTTATATTTTTATAATGTCTTTTAGTGTACGAGACTGTGGGATGAACTTTGAATGGAACCTATTTGAGTTTACTTCACGAGACTGTTTACTGCTTGCTAAGGTAAAAACCTTACTTTATTTTATCATTTGATTTACCCTGCCTTTGCTAGTTTCGTAGTAACTAAAAACTTTTGATATTTTTTTCAGGTTAACTCCACTACTTAATACTGTAAAATCATTTTTTGAAGCTCTGTGTGAAACACGGCTACATAGAATTCGTAGAAATTCTATATGAACACCAATGCCGTGCAAAAATCAGTATCAAAGCATTTAGCACTCATAAAGGAATTGTTCAAGGCAAAATTGTTCTCAAAAAGGTTCCACTTGACGTAATTTGATAAAGCTTGGCCCCCTTCAAGTACCTTAAAGTTTCAAAAGATATCTTCTACGTTATATAGCTCTATTTTAAAATGCATAGTAATATGTTCTGCCTATATCTATTTCTTTTATTATTCTCTGCCAGGCCATAAAAAGCTGTGATTCTTTGATAACGTTCCAATTGCATCAAAGCAAAGTAGATGACGAAAAATGCCGAGTATTAATCAGCCATCTTCTTGACCATCCAACACTGAAACAACTTGGTAAGACTAAATATCTATCATTTTCGCTAAGCCTCAATAAATTTTTTGTTGAAATATGTTCCTTTTTGCATTTTTTTTAGAAATTTTATACCCCGATCTAAACCAACCTTTTAGACCACTATAGCTTTAACCAGTGGCGTGGTAGCAGGGGGGCCAGGGGGGGCCAGGGGGACATGGCCCACCTGAATAGGGTTGCAAATTGAGATAAGAAAGCGCCAAAATTGTTTGCTTGTAATATTTGGCTAGGAACATCAAAATTGATCGTACACGGGTAGAACACTTCGCTGTAATTTGCTGTGAACAATCTGATAAAACGTGTGATTCTTCAATCGAAGCATGTTGCGTTGTCATGACCCAATCAACATTTGTATCATATGTTTTCGTGTTAGTTATGTACGTGGCTTCATGTTTAGCACGCAGATTAGCGAAATTTTTACGTATGCCAAAAATGTTTTCTATTAGTTTGCACTCGGAACGCCAAAAAACTTGAGTGTACGCCGAAGATCTTCAGGCCTAAGTACATGGAATGCACCCTGGCAATCAATGCAGCAGCTTCTTGCTATTAGCATTTTTTTCCCAACGCATGAATCCTCCCCTCCCAAATTTGTTCTAAAAATGAAAAATCAATGTTTTTCTGAGCAACGTCGAAATGTTTATTCTGAGCGGTGTAGTAATTCTTAAAAATTAGTCTGGGAGATGCATTTTTAGCCATTCTAGAAGGCTTGATTTCAAAAATTTGCTTGCGCGTGGGACCCAACCATGGTGGGTCCTCCTTTGTCACTTAACTTGATTCTTAGTCCAACCCCAGAGTTAATTTCGTGGCGCCGCCTCTCTTCGATTCAATAGTGCGATTCAATACTTGAAACTTTCAAGTTGTTGAAAGAACTACCATTTAATAACTACTAAAGAATAACAAACTTGAACCATGTTTGTATATCATACATCCGATAAATGCGATGAGACTAGGCTTATCAAATCGCCCATAAACAGTGGCGAAATGGACAAAGGTTACCTTTAGTTAAAAAACTAAGGAGCCCGAAACAAAAATTTGCTCTAAATTTTTTACTCTGAAGCTGGTATTTTGGATATAATAAACGAGTAGCCTGTATGAAACTTCAGTGTAATTGAATAGAATGTCTTTTGATTTTATGTTTTGCCTACCATATTTCCGCGAAAATAGGCCGACTCTCGAAAATAGGCCAATTCAAAATAGCTTGATATTTTACCGAACCATGGTCGAGAAGGTCAAATGTTAGGATTGCATAACATTTTCTATCATATTCGCATTTTCAGTCCAAATCTTATTCATGAAATTTTGGATTCAAGTTGCAAAAATTGACTTCCCTTCTAGAAACACGTGCTTTTATATAGCCACGATATATAGATAGGGCGCAAAAATCGACTTGGCCACCCCAGGGAAACATAGCCACCCCGCCGCTGCCTTTCACTCAGTATGCTGACGCTTTAAATCTGTGCATACACGTTTTATAGGTGGAAGTGTCTTTTTCTTTTGTGGATTGAACAATTAATTATATATTTCTGAAGAGCATTGAAATCAGAAGTTGCTCTTCCTGCCAAATGTAACCTTTTATTCAACTCGTTTCTTGACCTAAACATTGTTTATTGTTCTGCAATAACAATATGCAAAAATGCAATAACAAACTTCTAAATTATTTGCAATTTATCCACCTGCTCGCTTTCATACATTTGTCATTCCTTAAAATATGAAGATTTTCATCTTTAAGAATGTCAACGAAACTGATTCCTTTATGTTTTTTTTATTTAGATCTTTCACATAACAAAATAGGAGATAGCGGAGCAAGAGCAATTGGCAAATTGATCAACGGAAGATGTCGCTTAGAGGAGCTTGACTTGAGAGATAACAAGATCAAAGCATTAGGAGCTGCGGCCATTGGGCACGGTCTTGGCAAAAACTCGACTCTTGCGGTTCTGAGCCTCCGCCTGAATAGGTAAACGCTCTTTCTCAGTATGTAAAAAAAACCCTTGACAGTCCCACAGAATAGAAAATACGCAGAAGGTGAACTCTCGGTCGGCACCTTTGAAGTTTGCGTGCACAAACCTCAGGTGGTCAGAGTAGGAAGAAACAATAGGTTTGCGCCATAAACTCGTTTTGGTGCAGAGGTTTGGGTGAGGGATGGCGACAGTCTTCCTCAGTTGCTGCGAGGAAAAAAATGTATAGCGAATCAATGATTTGTTGTTCAAATTTTTAATTACAATCTTTATCGTTTGGTTTGTATTCTTATCTTTTAAACGCTTAGCCCGGTTTTGCCCAGTTTCACGTCTCGTTAATGCAGCACTGTATGATAGTAGAATCGGTCAAAATATAGGTGGTAATATTAACTTGCGGCAAAAATAGTTGCATAACAATTAATCTAATCTACAATTTTATAAATAATTCTTTCGATAAACCTTGTCTTTATTATTGTTATGCAGTTTTCGATTATTTATGACCCACCCCCTCCCCTATGCGAAAGTCGGTTCGGGAAATGCCTAGACATTTCTAAAGATTGGAAAAAATTATAGCATAGTTGTTCCCAATAACTAATATAGAAATTACAGCAAAATTCAAAACTGTACACAGGTTAACCGTAGCTAACATATTTTGAACCATCATCGATTTTCTATCGTGCGGTTCGCGAATGGGCCTTCGTTTGTTTACTTCCGTAGAATAAACAGCAGGAATGTGATTTTCACAAAATAATCCTTTCCACACTGAAAAATATTTCGAATGAAAGTCGTCATTGTTAACTACATTTACAAAAAGCTCTTATTTCTAATTCTTTATCATAAGAACTGACTTTTTACGTTGATCAATTCTAAAAGGGCTTTTTCTAGCCCAGCTTACCTACCGAGCGGGATCTGGCAGAAATTTGTAGGTTATCTGCTATACCAGCGGGAAAAGAAAATGTTTAAAGATGACAACCGCATAATTAAACAATTTATTCAAAGTTATATTTAAGGTTCCAGTCATATCGACGAGGTTACTCCAGAAAAGTGTAGGTTGGCTCCTGTACGATCGATAATGTTCTAGTTTATTTAAACTCGATCTGAATCGCAGCCTCATTCGCGCGCGCATCCCGTGAAATGACCGGAGTTCACCTTCTGCGTATTTTCTATTCTGTGACAGTCCTTAGCAGCTTGTGTTTGAGACATCGCCTAGAACATTTTTTTCTCTGCACAACAATTATCTGCACACACAAAAGGACCAGAAAACAGGAATCCTATCTGATTTTCTACCTTATGTTATATCTTGGGCCTTAATTGATAATGGCCTGATGATTTACAGCTGCATCAGTGAACATCCAAAAATCCAGGATTCTTGATGTGTCGAAGTAATATGCCTGCTTTGCGCTTATGGAAACGTGTCAAGTCTTGCAAATAACACGAAATCAATAAATCTATTTTTATATCTGCTTAAACATCATTCTAAAGTACCAAAAGGAGTTTATCAGCTTTACAACAGAAATTCAATGCTGCATCATTTGGTGCAAGGAAGATAAATGCATCGAAAAGTGATGAGGTTTCTCATGAACATATCTGGATTATATTACATATGTTTCTGAAGAGACCAGAAATGTCTTGTCAAGCGAACTGAATTCTTTTAGGATTTATCTGCATCTCAGAATCAAGCCTTGTTTTTCAACCGAAAAAACCAATGTTCTTGAAAAGATTTTTGCTTACAGGCTTGGGGACGAAGGTGGCCAAGCAGTTTGCAAGGCGCTGCTGAAGAATACAACCCTTAAAGAACTTGATATTGGAAGCAACGACCTTGGCGAACCCACTGCCGCCTTACTGTCAAAGGTATTGCGAATTCATAACGTCTTCAGTAATATTTTTAGGCTCTGCTTTTGTCCCTTGCCTGTGTACATACTTTGATGACCATTAGCTTGCAATACCTGGTGTATTCCTTGCAGCTACCAAGTGTTTGATAACAGTAGAGATAAGCGTACATAGGTTATGAATTTGAAGATAGCACTGGAAAGCAGGAACATAGCACTTTTAGCCTGGCGCTACTCAAAGTATTAATGTCAGCAAATGGCGATCACATGTCAGGTCTGTCAGGCAAAACTATTTAAAGGCATTGAGTCATGATAAATAGACTGGGTATACCCTAAGTGCCAAAATCTGCTGAGTCATGATTTCCATGACTGTGATGCTATTGGCTGACCTTGAACTGGTCACATAAACTCACCTCGTACTGATTAACATAACAGTTTCCATCAATAGCAAGTTGTCAACAACGGATGCCAATATCACATGAAACAGCAGCGATCACGCCGAAACCAAATGATCCCCTATAGAGAAAGCCTATTTACCATGACTCAATGCCTTTAAGTATGCTATGTTTCCACATTTCCGTGCTGTTTTTAATTCGCTTTACAAGAAGGCATGTTTTATGAATCACTTTGTCTAGATAGCTACCCATTATATATTAATCTTGATTATGAAATTTAATTTGTTTCTTTAAAATAACGTAAACGCAAGCCTTGTAAAATAATCATCCTATTTTCTTCAAATCGCCTATTTTTCTAACTTTTACCGTCTTAACTCACTATAAGACTTTTATTACTTTAATAGTTTGTGTCGCTTTACTGCTCTTGACAAGATAAATGCCAAAATTGCTTGAAACCCAATTTCCACACAAGATCGTATTTCAAGCGAACGTGCAAATTTAAATCGCTTATAAGTCCGCCTGTTTGTTTCATGTTCTCTACCTCCACAGGTTTTAGCCAAGAACAAAGTCATAAAGCGTTTGAATCTTTCCTGCAATAAAATCGGACAGGTAAGGAATATAATTTCCCAATCGAAAACACTATTCTAATCATAAAGGCTTATTTATTATAAAATAGTCAAAAGCTTTTTTATAATAAACTGCTTTGGAAAAAATCTTTATGCAAAATTTTATTTTTACTTTATGATAAATATTTGAAATTGTGGAACCACGAAAAGTAAAACTCGTATGAAAGATTTTATAAGATTTAATAGTTTAGTTTTCGTATCAGAGCTTTCAATCTTTCTAGGACTTTCAGAGTTGATCAAAGTGGTATACTTTTTAAGAACTCAAAGATCCTCCTATTTTGTTCGATATTTCAGCTTCCCTTATTTGATAAGGTTTCACCAAATCGGTTACCCTGGTACTTTGTTTAGCGTTTGAAATGAAATGCGCCTAATCATGAATTATAACCTGTTGTCTTTATTTCCATCAAAGGACGGTGGCATATCTTTGCAAGAAGGCATGGAAGAAAACTCAACGCTGACACACATGGACTTGAGGCTGACAGAAGTAGGCCAGGAATGCGAATATTGTATAAATCAGCTGATACGAGGCAATGTTAACAAAGAACATTTGCATCGGAAATGATATTTTATTCATTAAAGGCTAAGTGCTAAGTAGTTACTAAATATTGTCGACCGTTAATTAAAATATGTAAATAAAACTTAAAGTGAACATGTATTTGTATTTGTATATTTCAATAAAGTTTCCCTTGAGTATCTTTCCTAGTTTTCAATGGAAGTTAATATGTTCGATGACGTCATAAATTATGGTTACACGTTTTTAAAATATCCTTAAGTTTTGAAAAAAGGGCTTTAATAGAAAATATCAGCTCTCGTACTGCTCGGCTAATATTCCTTCTCCTCGCGTCACAAGTTTGCTTCGTATCACAAATCATCCTAGTTCTAGATCACTACTATGTTAAGTCATTACTTTTGGCAACAGCTTCATATTCACAGTGAATGGTATAAATCCAACCCTCGAGAGATGTTATTTATGGCTTCATATCACTTGGAGAAAAACACTTAATGCAAGGCTTTGATATCTTGGATGATATATATTTTTTCAATTCTGCACATCGTTCGAATTTATAACGATGAATTACAATGATATACTCAAAATAATAGTACAAATACAAATGATAATTGACTATCGTAAATATGAAAAGGCTAAGTACATAATAAAGAAAGTAATTAACATTCCACCGTATAGAATCCATTTATCCTGAAAATAAAATGTATCAACGTTAAAGTATATTCAAAACTAATGATGTAAGGATGTAAACTGTTAAAAGGCTGTTAAAGAGTTATGTTGACTCAGAAATCAGATTTAATCAAATTTTGATAAAGAATTGACGACTTCAAATTTAATTGAACTTCCAGATATACGTGATAATCAGCAAATTTGGCAGCTTCTTTCGTGCTTTGTTTACCACGATGATTTCTTAATCCGGCCTTAATAGGTCAGTTTACTCTAGTGGAATCAAAAATCTGCAAGCTGAGAATTCGGGATTAGGCCCACAGCTAATAATAAACCCACTGCGCCTTGATATCGGAATAGGTTTGTATTTGTGCAAACATTGTACATAAAATATTAGGGGTGATAGAAGATCTTTTTGGATTAAACATTATTTGCGTTTCCATATCGGTGGAATATTTGTGGATTTTTAAGAATAAAATTCTAAAAATTCAGTAGTCTTTCTTTTTAATTTATAAAAAAATCAGTAGTCTTTCTTTTTAATTTATCAGCAAACTTTTTGACTACAGCTTGGCTACTGTTTTGGTGTGTACTAACTGAACAGTTTTTAATTTGAGTCTGGCTATTTTACTACGCTGGCAGAATATCTATACGATGCTATACGATGCTATACGATTTCCTACTGCTATAAGACTTTACGATGCACTTTTAATCTTAAACTTTTTGTAAAGAGCTTATAGCAGTAGGAAAACACAGCTCGCTGTTAGAACATTGTAAAGAACAGGACTTGTAAAGAAAGCTAAAACGAAAAGTGAGTCTCAAAGGTTTGCTGAGCGATTCACTTTCCAACTGCAATGAAATCTAACCTGAGTGCCTCTTTTTTCAATCAGCCTCATAACAGTGTTTGATAGTCCAAGCGTACTACCAATATCGAATATTCTCTTTTGAATGCCCTGAAAAAAGATTAAAAGTTTAGCCTCAATCATTCCTGTCAAATCGTCTTGGCCTATTTCGATCCACAACTGGGTAAATATATTTCTTAGCGTAGAGTTTTCGATCTTTGTTCTGACGTTTTAAACTCTGAAGAGTGTCAGACGAAAAGCTTTAGTTTACTAAATGTTTGCTTTTTTCAAAGCCATTTTCAAATCGTCTAGTACAACTGCTTGTTCCCAGGGAGTTACTTTGAGCATAGACATGAGTAGGGTTCAGCCATAAACATCAGCTCATTTGCACTAAGACCCAAATATTTCAGCCCTACAAGTATCAGGTACCCAAAATATAAAAAAATTCTGATGCAAGCTCAGAATCGATTTCATTTCGATTTTCACAGCAAAAAAACTATTCTATGATAACATGAAAGGTGTGAAGAGCATTGTTGTAAAGATGTGCTTGGACCTCGAAAACCTTTTGTGAAAGGTTCAAATCATTCATTTTGAAACATTTCGATATCACGCACGCATGCATATTATTATAGTTTCTCTTTAAAATTTGATAGTCCAAATCCAAGTCCGTCCAAATTACATAATGTCATGGCATAGACATCTTTACAACTTTGATGCGCATGTGTTCATGATGTAGAAATTTTGAATGACAATGCCTTAGCTTAGAACACGATTTATCTTTCGAACAAAATAGCAATACGATACAAAGCAAACTAATTTGACAACGTACAGCACAGTTGATTCAGATGTCAACGTCTCGTAAAAACCTTAAATACATCAGTTACTCTGAATTTGATACCTAGAAAATTAAAATTACATCTGCTACATTCTCACATCTGCTACAGGACACAAAAATATCACTTTAGGCAAAAGATTGACTCAAAATTATCAGACTCACCCTTTGTATGTCTATGTACCGAATCTCCTCCTGAGAGGGCTGTAGGAATTACGAGAGAACAAGGCCCTACTAAAAGACGGTATTCAGACGATACCCTACTACATAATAACCATAAGAGAAATTTTCCAACAAACGACATGAAAGCGCGTTTGTCAGGCACATCGTAAAGATTTTCACGTAAAGGTAAATTATTCTGACAGACTTTGGCAAACTCTACCTTTAATGACATCCTTTGGTCTCTCAAATTTGCAAGGATATTGCTGCCATTATCAAGCATTTCATCCATGTTTCTATTTGCACCGCCTAGGCGAGTATGATGTTGCAAGGAATGATCAATCATTATAGAAGTATCGCCACTTTGAGCCTGAAAAAGCAAAACCCATCAATATCAGAAGGAAGAAATAGCAAATCAAGCTACGCAACATTAGACTTGAAGTTCGCTAGGACCTGACAATCTGGTCGTCTCGGGTTGGGGGAAACGCCTAAATAGCAGTCTATTGACTTGCTTCATTGCCATACGTATGCAAATACCTTAGAAAGCACCTCTCCTGAGACAGTGTGATTTTACCAATGATACATTCCAGAAAGTATTGGCTGGACAATTGCAAAAAAATTGATACTGATATTTCCACCTTAATAAAAAGATTTTCTTCTATTCAATTCCCTTAACATGCCTGCTTTAAGATCTTCAGTAAGATCATTACTCTGTATAAACTTTACGTTATACAGAAAAACTGTGAGGCAATGAAAGCAGTTTTCATTTTCAATTTCTGACATTTGATTAAACGATCAATACTGTCAAATCACCATAATCTTGTTATATACATAATGCGTGGGCCGTTGAAAAAAAATCTTATAGATCACAGCAATGCAAATTTTAAGTTACATCAAATATGAGGTTTACAGTATGTGGAGAGACAGCAATGAAATAGCAAATATGAATGAGTTTATCTTGACTTTTTTCATTAAAAAGCTGATGTATTTCAACTGTCTTCAAATTATAATGGGCCATTTTTGTTTGCATTTTTAAATAAGGTTGTATGAGATTAACAAAAACACATAGCTTAGGCTTGTCAAAACATATTATGGTTGGAATTTTTTAATGAACCGCACAAAGTATTTAACCAAATCCTGTTTCATTCCTTCACTAACAAGACTTTGATGACCTGCCTAAAAAAGCTATATTTGCTGATATTATCTGAAAGAAGGAGAATCCTTTGCTAATAATCAAACAAGCTTTCAAAAAAGAATTTCTGCAAACCCAAACATTTAAATTTACGTAAGAACCAATCAATAGAACGATAGCAGTAACAAGATGAAATAAATTAGACATCAATTTAACAAGCCCATATAAAAGCATACAAGCGCATTTCAAACATATTATAAATAGAGCTTAGACCACAGCAAACTCATCACATTCAAGCAACATCAACAAAAAAGTTATACAGTGATACAATTTATACAATATTTAGAAAGTAGTTTAAAGGCAATCTGTCACGACGTTGATTGGTTATAAGAACAAAGGGATTTTTATTGTTTCCAGTCCCCCTTTAATTTATCGCATTGTAAAAAATATGACGGAGCGCTGGAATCGTGTTTAGGCCATTGTTCCAGCTATTGCTCTCGTTAACCAATCCACAACGAGACAGATTGCCTTTAAATGATACTTCTTTCTAGAAAAAAAGTCTAGTCTATGATTATGATTATGTATTTTTAGGTGGAAAAGATGTCCTGGCTATTGTTTCTGAAAAACCTTAGAAAATAAATGAATTAATTGCGTAGATTGACTTGAGACCATCTGAAATGACATAACAAAACATTAATAGCAAGTTGTGTTATGAAAATGCTGGAGATGGGGCAAATTCCAAAGTTTCATATTGAAGAAGCTAGTAAAACATTCCCAGCTTTTTATACTTTAGCTACCAGATTTGCATGCTCGCTTGTTTCCACCCCTTTGAAATCTAATCTAATACTCCCCCCCTATAGACAAACATTTCAATGCTCGCAAAATAGACAGGCTGCCTTTCATGCTTTTCATCACCGACTACTATGCAGAGTCCTGCAAATCTTTTACCCAAGAACAATGTCGTACCGTGATCAGGCCTCGCCGTTTGTATTTTTATAGGTGAGCTGTGAATCGATCCCCTCGTTTGCTGAGGCGAGCTAAATCAGTAACTCATAGAATGTACTTTGAAGACAATCGAAAGACGACTTTAACCCTTTAGTATCTGTCGGTTGCCTTTAATAGCCTCAGTCAGGAGTATGCTGTTTTACTTCTTTCAATTTGTATTTGCTTTAACCGTGACTTAAGCACCTTTACTTAAAGTATTTAAGAGAGCTGACTTTTTCAGTTTCATGTCAAGCTGGCACAACACCAAAACAACATTTCTCTTGCCAAACAATCTTTTTGTTGTACAGAATTTGAAAATGGCTTTGAAAAACAAATTTTGAAACAAATTTAGTATACGTCTAGTACTCTTCAGAGTATAAAACGTCTGAACAAAGATGGAAAAATTTACGCTAAAATACCCAGTTTTGGATCGAAAAAGGCCAATCAGAAAACGCGAGCACATGACTGTTGAGGTTGTCCAATCAGTGCCGTTTTCCTATTGAAAATGTTACCAACGGAGTCCTAAGGTGAAAACGAACTCCTTCTGTCTACACAAAAGCGGTCTGTCCTTTTTATGTAGTAGATAGATTCACAAATTACTAGATGGAACGATGATCAGGCTTTCCTAATAATGTGAAACATGTCGCCGTTATAATTCTCACCCAATCTGGGTTTTTCAGTAAATGCTGCTGGATAGTGGAATTCCATGTTTTGGTTGTCGTTTTTGTTCTGCAAGACAGAGTAACCTGATCTGCTTTTCTATTATATCCCCCAATCTACAATTCCTACCAATTTCTTCGACTTTCTTTCCAAAAATATGCCTGTTTTCTTAAGATTGAAGGTTCTAATTGCTACAAACGTACCTTTCGCTTAACTATCCTTTTCCAAATAGATCGAAGTTCATGCCTATCATAACAAAAACCGCCCAACAAGCAAAAAGTTAATGGCAAACAATGCAGTGACTGGAGAAATCGCTGTTACAAAAATAAACCAATTAACCCTTGTACCTTTTCAAGGTTCTCTAAAGAGGAAAAGGGCAAATGAATGGAAATTTTAGGGGAGCGATTCTTCCTTCATGTTCTTTTTAGGAGAGCAATTCATAGCTCGCCTAAAACGGCCAGGCCTGACCATGATGCCTACCAAGTTTCTGGTGCAGGAATGATAAGCAAGGAGGTGGACAAAAGAATGTGGGCCTTTCTAGGGCATACCTTGAGACATGGGGGACCTGCGAAACAAGCCATGGAGAAGAACAAAGAAATAGAGGCTTGAAGAAAAAGGAGAAAATGAAGACTGAAGCACAACATCGCCTACTTCATCAAAAAGATCTCGAAAAGAAAGGCTGCAAAAAATAAAATGCTGAAAATCATAGGAAGTGGAAAAAATGCCAAGAAGAACAGGAGAACCCAAAATGACAACTCAAAAAGAGGACTTTGTGTACTAGCTATCAATCAATCTATCTGTATCACTTTTTCACGGAAGCCGCTCATTTTTTCTTTAAAAAATCACTGTGCTTGTTAACTGCGTTAAATGAATGAAAATGGGCAGGTGCCTCTTCCATGTAGTCCTGATGCTATAAACAATAAACAGACTGAATGCAGAATGCCTTCATTCATTACACATGTGACAAAAAGTGTAACCAGTGAACATGATCATAGAATGCTCAACATTTTCAAAAAAATTTGCACACTAGCATCTTCAAACAAAATACAAAATACCCTACTGTTCATGTTAATTTTGGAAATTTTTCCTTCAGTAATGGAGGAATAAATTGAGCAATGAATACCTACATTTGTTGTAAATGTTGTTGACAATAGATCTTCCCTTGCCTTTTCCTGCTCTTCCTGGAAATCAGATGAATGAATTTTTATTTTTTCTGGTAATGAAATGTTTCATGGTTATTGTAAATTAATGCTGTCAAAATGTCATTTGCCAAAATGAACTAAAATTCCAGGCATAAGAAAATATACGTAAAATATACGATCAAATGCTTTGTCTACTTTTAGTTTGCTGCAATTATATAGCTTTAGAATTTTAACTCAGCAACAAAGACACATAAGCACAGAGAAAGGACATTATTTCCAAATATCAACAAGGAGTAAATAAAATGAAGGGCTATCATTTGAGCATCATGTGGGTGACAAAGACTTAAAGCATTGATACAATGATGCATACAGGAACAATCACCTCCAATCAATGGCCAATGGAGCATCATGTCTCCATCAATGCTACCTCTGATTGAATATAACTTAGAAGAAAAATGAAGAGCATCTAAATGCAAATGGAAGAATGAAATGGCAATACTACATTACAGCATTGACATCCTTTGCAAGCCCACCACTGACCCTACCATGACACAGGATGATGGCCCATTGTGTATCTCCCCATAAACATATTTGGAAATAAACTCAGTTTTAATGCGAACATGTCTTCAAAACTGTTCTATATATACTCTAATGAAACTATTTCTAATAACAAATGTTCAAGGATGAAAATAAAATACCTTCATTCTCTTTTTTCTCAAATAAGTCTTAAATGCTGTATCCAGGTGTCTCACATCATACTTGATCTGATCAACCTTTCTGAAAAAAGAATCATGATATTTTTTCACTGAAAATGAACATATACTTTATGAGCTAATTGGCAATGAAAGAGAAACTGATACATAATCAAATGTACCTATTTTTTAAAGCATATCAAAAATCTAGTTTGGTGGCTCTTTTTCTAGCGTAGGAAAAGTTTTAAAAGTATGTTTTGAAAACTTCATTTCATTATATTTTATATACTAGAAACAAGAGGTACCAGCTGAAATGGCATACAATTGAATCCTGTTAGAAGTACCCCAGATAACATGGACATTTACAAAGTTAGTCTGATTTGCTTTTCAATTTTCATTGGATTTTCCCTCCTTATTCAAATCAAAAGTTTCACATCAGTGCTTAGTCTGAACATTTCCTTACTCCCATTTAAAGTCAGACTAAACAGGATTCAATTTTATTCTAAAAAATTGAATTTATAATTTTTATATGGCTATTCAAATAAACAAATAACTTCCTAAAAATGTCCTACTGTGCTGTGTCATCTTGAAATTGTCTTGAAAATATAAGCAATGCTCACACCTAATTATGCAAATAAGGTTACTTCTGGTTATGCAACTTACAGCTTAGAACTTTGTCTTCTGTGTGCAGGTTCCTTTATCAATTTTGCATCTAATGCCTCAGTGTTTGCAAAAATATCTTTCAAGGTCAGATCAACATTGTTTTCTAGAGCTATCAAACAAAAGAGAAAGTTAGAGGCAGTTTTGCAAGCAAGAAATTTCAAAGTTTTATAAAACAGTACACAAGTTTTTGCAAGTAAAATAAGAACTTTTTGCAAAATTATTTTAAATTCTACTTAAATTCTTCTATAATATCATTGAGATTGTTTTTCAAAAACTTCTTACAGTAACTCCTTTAACAAAGTCAGTGCACTAAAACATTGAAATGATAAATAATATATCCTTAATTGCTGTATGAGGCTTTATTCAATACCATCAAACAACTGAATTCAATTATCAATACAGGATTTTTTTAGAAAACAAACCTATTCATTTATTATTCATTTTAAGAAAGATACATACCAAGTAAATCTTCTCCTGTTTCCCTCCCAAGTTGGTTTAATTGAGCTTGTACTTGAAGCACCAATCTTGTTAAGACAAACAAAGAGAAATTCAAAATACAGCAGACAATTTTTCGCAAGAAATAAATGCAAAACTAAGAGGAAGAAGAAGAAGACAAAAAAGAGGAAGACGAAGAAAAAGGAAGAAGGAAAAAAGCAGAAGAAGAAGAAGGATAACAGACAAGGAGAAGAAGGATAACAGACAAGGAGAAGATGGATAAGTAGCAGGAGAAGAAGAAGAAAAGGTAGTAGAAGGAGACAGCTTTTCTAAATTAGGACCTATTTTCTTTCACAAATTCTACTTGAATTCTCCCAACGAGCCTTTTAAAATCTACATAAATCTGCCTTTTTACATGCAAAACTCCATGAAAAGTGCCTTTTACATTTAATGTCCTTTACTTTTCTTATTAAAATAAACAGAAATCTGAGGACCAGTCGTCATAAATAAGTTTCCTTCGGACCACCACTGGCTTGCAACAGTACCATCAAGATTCGTTATCTTTAGTAAACCGTTCATCGCGACCCATCAAGTCAAAAGGATAGGACTTTGAAATCTCGAAAAACATAGTAGGCCTATCAATAAAAAGTTTTTTCCCAATTGTGGTTTGACCTGATTGCATCATTATTCAGTTAGAAGCTAAATTAAATACCTGTTCGTTTGTTGAGTTAAAGTTTCCATAACTATTGTCAAATTTGCTTAACCATCTCCTTGACATCAGATTAGGAATTTCTTTAGGATTCTTCCCAATTTCGAAGAAATAGGGATAATCGTGAAAGTTTACTTGAAGTATCTACACATATGAGTTGTCAATAAATTTGTTACAGGGATACAAGTAGATTAGATTGTTGTTCGGTGTCAAAAATAACCGGTCGCTCCAGTGGGCGTGCAGATACTTAAGACAAGAGTATGTATACTTCTGGTTTGAAAGTAAGAGTCGAAATTCTTAGAATTTGAAGATTCCAATTCTGTATTAGAATTATTCAAATTTTAACAAAATTTCGCGTATCCATTCCGATTTTGCGCAGCAAATGTGACACCGAAAAGTACCATGTCGTTGCTTTCCAAAACAACGAAGTTTTGAACAACGAAGAAACGACTTGCTAAAAGAACGATAAATATTCTTCATAAAGAATTTTTATGTCAATTTTCATCAAATTTTTTCGTAAGTGTTTGGCGTTCTAGACTCAATCAGGAGAAAAGTAGGTATTTTTTGTTTAGAAGAGTCCCAAAAATTTCCTTGCAAAGCAAATATGATAAGATACGTCATTTGTTAAATCCCTTTTATTGTTTTGTGAGCAAATCACGATGGCCTCTGGTTACATGCTTTCTGGCAATTTTCCTGTGCCTGTACTTCAAGTCTATGTGCACTAGAAGATTTTTTGGCCTTATGAGGGTTTGGAGATTAAATGCTATTGTCAGGTGTGTTATTTCATAGTCTTGTTTTTCCCTTGGCTGGACTTTATGTATCTGAGGCAAGAATACTGTGGGTACGAATAGTGCGGGTCTCGTTGTCTTCTTTCGCTTGGTGACGCCTCGTTACAAACGCACCCTTCGTTCTTCGAAATCTTCCCACCCTCATTTTTGCTTTCTCTTTATGAATACAGTAAATTCTCTTTAAAGACCCCAGGGGCTTTTTTATTTTCAGCAGGTAAAAGAGGACTTGGTAAAAAACCATCAATTTTTTGTTATTGTGAAATAAAAAACCATCAAATCAGGCTTTTACATTGATAATGTTGTCATCGACATCGTCATAAATTATTAATTCTTAAACATCTTCTTGCGTCATGTTGTCTTCTGAAATCGAGCATTCGAATGGCTCGACTTCCTCCCTCTTAGTGCTAACGGTCTTTAATTTTGGTAAAAGGCTCTCACATGGCCCGTGCTTAAGGCACATCACATCTTTGTCTTCAGATCCGTTGAGACTTAAACATGCTTTAAATTTTGATTCGATGAGATGAAAATCTCCGTTTTTTTTTCAAGTTTACTTAAGTTGGCATCAGTGAAAATTTGGGAGGGGGCAAATTTAGAGGGGGAAGCTTATCGAGTTTTTCTGAAAAGGGGGACTAATAAGAGAGAGGGCTTAATTGAGAGGGAGGCTTAAAAGAGAGATTACGGTATTTGATGTCAAAAAGAAGCCTCGTAAAATCTTCATTGACTTTCATGTTTTCCTAAAGATTATGTTTTTCCTTCAACAACAATATTGTTATATCTTTTTCGAGTTAAAAACTGATCAACTTCAAATTTCTATCTACATAGTTTCAGCTGTTAGAAAACAAGCAATTTTACTGTAGATTAAATTTGATTTCCAATAAAAAAGTTCATTCTTGAATTCTTGTAATGATCGCTCAGTAAACTAGGAATTGAAACCAATGTCCTTTTTGAGATATTGCTTCATACATCACATTGTCTTGAAAAATAATTTTTCATTTCATTTTCGCATAGGATTGCTGTGTTAATGTAATAAACATTATAAAAACGTTGTAAACAGTCTCATGTACATATGGGAATAGATTTATTCGTAAACAAGTACCAAACAAACAGTAAACAACCTGTGTATAAAAAGGGCTCAGTTGAGCTTGATAAAGACCTGGTTTGGGTGAAAGATAAGGTGAGTACTTCTTCGACTTCCCTGAAACACAATAGGAACCAGGAGTGATTTCGGAAAAAGCCTCTGGTCCCACAAGTGTCTCTATCACTATATCAATTGTTCGTGTCTGCTCTGGCACCTGCTATTTTCTACCTGTTTTCAAACATTCAGACAGAACACAAGTAAACAGAGAAAAGAAATAGCTCACTTTCATTTAACACCGTGAATTAATGAACTTTGCTTTAGCCGATTCCTGCTTGAAAGTAATGATTTTTCTTGTTTTTCTTAGGGTTTTTAAAAAATGGTTTTACTCAAAAGATTTTGCAAGGAGCAGGCAGAGAAATGAATGAATCCAGTGACGTGTAAAAAGAATCAGAAAAAGTGTTATTCAGGATCATGGTGAATGGAAAAGTAATAAGTAGAAGTAATAGCTGCTTGATGATTGCATTAGGAGTGAAACACGAAGTTGCAACTTAAAACCGTACTATTCTAGCGTGTTTGCCTCTGTCTATGCAACCACTTTGCTAAGATCGATTAACAGAAATTTTCGTTACATTTGACAACTTTCGTACTGACAATCCTATATTTTTTATAACGATCATTGTTTAGAAACAGAAAAATATAAGGCACAAAACTATGGTCGGGATCCCTGGGATTACACACCGCAGATGGGGTAAAACATTTTATCAGTATTAAATTTAAGCTCATTACAATCCTATTGTCAAAAAAGTTTAACTTCCAATTAGCTTTTATTTTCAGGCTTCTTGCGAGCAAACAGCATTGCAATTTACTTGAGGCTATCTTATACAGGCGCACTGAGGTCATATCTCGAAGTTTAAGCCCTCTATTCGCTAATATTAATCATCAGCATATCAAGGCCATGTTGAAAATCGACCACAAAAGTTTGAAGTTGAAATTTCTAATTAAATATTGTTATCATTCACTCATTATTTCTCAGTTCACTATCTATTCATAAACATTGAGTGGGAGAGAAGAATCACGCACGTGCATTGATACAGCTGATCAAGAGTTCGTTTGACCTTGACATAGCTGTCTTGCCTTCAAGAAAGTCACAAAATTCTTACAGTCATAACTATGTTAATTAGAGGACATTGTTCGATCACACAACATCTTGAGAGCACACCCAATTTTTGATTTTTTAATTATACCATGCGACAATAATCAGATTATCAAAACGTTCACAAGCCATTAGGGCGTCATTTAAAAAACACTAAAAACTGAAACATATGTAGAAAAATCCTTCGATTTTAGCAATCAACCCAACAGAAAATCGAAGATCTGATAACCCACGCCAAAATTTTAGCAGCTGCATTGATGAATATACATTTGGAAACGCAAATGAAAATTACCTTCGGCATTAAGAGGATCCTTGGAAGGAGAATTAATTCACAAGCAAATGAAATTAACCGGATATGCAAGACCATTAGCAAAACAGAATCATCCACGTATTGTGAAATAATATCCACTTTCTTTGTTTTGGGCTTGCAAAATTATATTCCAACTGCATTAAAAGCAGCTAAATATGAGTTTTTGCTGGTTGAAAAGACAAAATATTTCTTTCGCTTTACAGGGATGTTCGTTGTGCCCTTATTTTTCATAAGAATATTATATATTGTGTCTAGCCTCCATGCTCTTCAAAAATATTTGTTTTGAATCTGAAGATATTCTTGAAGTATCCTGATATTCTTCACATTGATCATCTTGTTTTGTTTCAGGGAACATCGCCCGCCCTAGAATGGAAAGCACACTTTATGAAAAAACGAGATATATTGTTAGTCATGCAATTCTCTGGTAAAAACATACAGGCAACTGGCAACTGCTGAAAGGTGGTACGGAAATTTTGCATCTTTTCGACAAAAGAATATTTGGAGTTCATAGAAAAGCAAGAAAAATCAAAGGAACTAATCAGTATAAGTAGGAAGATATAAGCAGAAAAACTTTTCTGAAGACTCGTGGTTGTTGATTCTACAGTCTGTCTATCAAAATCTGTACACTTGTACAGGAAATGGCAAGCTTTTCAACTAGATGCGATTGCACCTTTTTTAAAAGTTCAAGTATGTAAAAAACAGGCTGCGATCAACAATGCGCCAAGAGATGTTGAATAAATGTTGAGCTTGACCTATTTTACCCTCAGTTATGATGAAGAAATCTGCAAGTTTGCTGACATATCATTACTAAGGATACTTCTCGTACACTGAAAATCGTTCAGTTCGTTTCTTTAGATTCTTGAGATGTTAATTGCAAATCCTACTGCGTGTTTTACTGTTCATCACAGATACTAATTACTGATGATTATGATTATCCAATGTTCGAATTCGGATGCTGGCTTCTCTCTGACCTACTAAATCCTGTCAAGCAATGGTTGATGCAAGAATCCCTTTTATGATAGGTATTTTTGTGTTTCACTTCCACTTTTAAATGTAGGATATAGTCATAGTTTTTAAACCTAGATTTGTGGTTTTCTGCTTTCAGTTGAGAATCGCATTGTAAAAGCCTGAGGAGCATTTCAAAAGAAGAAGCCTATATTGACTTGAAGACATATATCTATGGAAAGCAAGCGAAAGATTTACCTTTCTCGCATCCTTCCCATTCTTTTTTACGCCAGCGAAACCATCACGTGGGCGGAGAATAAACTACCCAGCAAGTTGGTAGTGTATCAAAACGACATCATGAGATGAATGACAAACCACACACGTCAAAGAAAAATATTAATTATCAAAATTGCGACAAATCACTGGACTATATCTAATATAAAATAAGGTGAAATAGTGTAATCAAAAGTGGTTTGGACTTATGAAAAGAAGCAATCTCCCAGATACAGCTATATATGAAGGCTGTGTAGAGGGGAGGCGTACCAGAGGACGACCAAAGAAAAGATGCAGAGATCATATAGTGTAGTGGGCCAACCTTGTATGGAAAAATAAAAGTGCAGTAGTGTGCAACAGAAACAAAAGGAGAGAGTTACAGCGTTATATAACATTAAAGACAAAGTTTTCAATGGTCCAAGAGCAACGGTACTGCATTTAATATCTGCAGCGTGTATTCTCATAATTTTGTTGTTATCAGCGCTCTATTTTTATGTACCTCAGTGTTATCAAACATCTTCTCACTCACTGTTCGGTAAATTTGATGTATCCTCGCTGTTAATTTCTTATTTTAGCAAATATTCTTTTACATATTTAATAAGTTCACTGTTG